TCAAAACACATGTTAGCCAACGTAGACCTCGAACAGTGCACTTCTAGCAATATATATATATATGTATTGTGCAGTCTATGTTGTGCGACCTACGTGAAGCAATATATGTGGTACGATCCGTGCTGTGTAATCTATGCGGGTAAATCGTTGTTGTGTTATGCACGTGGTGCATTCTAAGCTGTGCAGTTGATATGTGTATATATGTGTGCTGTGCAACCTATGCTGCGCAATCTACTTTGTGCAGCAATGTGGAATGTGCAGTGTAGGTGGTGTACTACTTGGTGCAATATAGGTTGTGCACTCTATGGTGTGCAACATCTGTGGAGTAATCGGTCTGGTGCAATATATTCGGTGCAATCGACGTGGTGCAAGATATGTGTGAGATCTAGGTTGCGCAATATACGTGGTGCAACGTATGACACATTATATGTCGTGCAACGCATGTGGTGCGCAATCTATGTTGTGCAACCTATGTGGAGCAATCGATGTGGCAATACATGTGATGCGAACCTATGGGATGCAGTCCTTGTTGCGGCGACAGAGCAGCGACGGCAGCCCCGTAGCAGCCTGACCGCTGACCGACCGTCAGGCCCAGTTCCTTACAGAAGAAACAAGCAAGCCCTAAGTGCGAGCATTGTTTGCGGAATCAAAGAGCAGGTCGGATGGGACCCCTCGATAGGGGACCCTATCGGCCGGCGAGGTGGCCGAGTGGGAGTATCTACCAATAGGGATACAAACGGGTACAATCTTAGGAGGAGCAGTGCGGAACAGGGGCGAACATGATGAGGTAGAGGGGGGAAAAACAGAGGATGGAGGGGAGTGGGGCAAGACAAACTAATCCGGTGCGCTGGAAACACATCTGACATCCTCCCCCCCCAACCCGTCGCATTGCAAGGACTCCTTTTCTATCCGTCGACTGCGGTGTTCTAGAAGGGCTGGAACCCCAAAGGGCAGCTATATGAATGAACACATCGATTTTCCTGCGCAGTCGGACTAGTATCTACGTGCACAGGGAGAAGAGATCAGGGTGAGGAGGCAGACGAGCAAAGGAATCTGTGAAGAGGAGGTGGATGAGGGAGGAGTAGGAAGAGGAGGATGAGGATCAGCAGGAATAGTAGGACCAGAAGAATCAGGGGAAGGCGGAGGGGACAGGACAGGGACGTAACCGACGGGGAAAAAGACCAGATTAAGAAAGGTTGCCCGCGATAGGGCGAGATCGCCACTCTGAACAACGGGAACACATCATTGGTCCTGCCATGTGGCCATGCTGCAACGGATACACATCCTCGAAAGAACCAGAAACTGTCCGAGTAAACAAACCCGCTAAATCATCACATGCATGGAGGAGGAGGAGGAGGAGAAGGGAGGAGGAGGGTGAAGGAGGAGGGAGGGAAGCGTGCTGCGCTTGAGCAGGGCAAGAAGGAAGGTGCAGGTTGAGTAGAAAGAACGAGGCAGGGGACAAGGAAAACGAGGAATGGGGGGGAGGTGTGGAAGGGCCAGGGGATATGAAGGGAAGAAGAAGAAGGTTGAAGGAGAGAAAGGGAGAGGGAAGAGGGAGGAGGCGGAGGGCAAGAGGACGAGCAGGAGGACGAAGGAAGGAGCATGGAGAAGGCATGAGGAGAGTAGATGATGGATGCGTACGCAAGGGAGGACGCGGTTCTCCTCCTCTTCTTCCTTTCTAGCACTCCTCTTTTTCCTCTCTCCTCCTGCTCCCCCTCCCCCGCTAGCCGCCCTGGCAGCCCTTCACACATCCTGTGCGGCCACGGGACCGTGCGCACCTCCCTACCCAGCGCTCCCTTCCCCCTCCTCTCAGGCACACGTCTGCCACGGCGCGCGGCCAGCACACGTCTATGTTCTCTGTCTCTCTCTCTCTCTCTCTCTCAAAGTGCTGTGCTTCGTCCTTGGTGCAGTGTAGCATGAGCTTGGTGATGCAGGGGGAGACTCAGGTGCGTTTGCTCTCTCCGCACCTGGTGAAATCTGGTGGATACCGAGTCCAGGCAGTGCCCGCACCAAGGCCCCTCTTGCTGAAGGACGCGGGCCCGGTGTAGCCAAGAGCACCGGAACCCAAAACGTGGTCTGGAACGCACGCTGCGTGGATGGAGTGAGCAGCTGCAACAGCACGCGGAGGCCACGATACGTGAGCGGGAAATGATTGAATACTCGTGCAATCCTGTCGATTGGTTCCGCCGTGTTCATGGATGATGCTTGTACGACCATCTCCAACTTTCATGCGCATACCTTGAGTTGGGGATAGAGCAAAGACCCGCTCGTTTCGTTGCAGACTGGTGTTCGTATTAGACCTCGGGAGCGAACCGGTCGATTTCGCCACACTGCTCGTACTCATGTGCCACCCGCACCACAAGGGCGATCTGGTGCATCCGAGATACGTCCAGGCTGCCTTCGTGTACTGCTGCTGGTTGCATCTTTTCCCGTTCGCCCGCATGTAGCCGTTTAGCTTTGATTTTGCTGGGCGCTCACAGGCCCCAAGGCCACTCCATTTCCAACCCAACCGAAGATTTCTAAGTCAAGTCCCAAAGCATTGGATTGAGATCGACTGGAATCGGAGCTGGGCCGGCAGTTCCAGTCCGCAGCAGAAGTCGCATTGGCTTGACGCAGCTGCCTGCGTGGATGGACCAGGAGGAGGAGGAGGAGGAGGAGAGAGGAGGAGGAGGAGGAGAGAGGAGGAGAGGAGGAGGAGGGAGGAGGAGGAGGAGAGAGAGGAGGAGGAGAGAGGAGGAGAGAGGAGGAGGAGGAGAGAGGAGGAGGAGGAGGAGGAGGAGGAGGAGGAGGAGGAGGAGGAGGAGACCACCAAGACCTACCAAACGTATTCCCCGCCTGGCCTGTTGTGCACTCCAGGAGCGTGGGCAGGGGCAGGACGGGGGCGCGCAAACATGGATCGGGGGAGGTGCCCTCCCCAAAATGCGGCAAAGGTCGCCTCGCTAGGTGGCGGAAACCCGCGATTTCCCAAGGAAACGGGATCCGTCGCTAATCCACGCCCCCTTGATCCATGTTTCCGATCGCCTGAGACATCAGGGGTGCTAACCACTTCGGCGTCGTCATAGCACGGTCCCCCTGCGCTTCTCGTTCCCCCTGCACTGCTGCTGGGCCAACGCCGTCGTCCTCACGGCGGGCCTTTTCCTCCCTAAAAGGGGCTCCTCTCGTCGTCTTCCTTCCAGGGCGGGTGCGCGGGTGCGGAGGTCATCTCATCGCTGGGCGACCCCCTGCAACAGGTGCAGTCGCCACGAGGATCCCTTCCAGAAGAAGTGGAAGATGTTAGACAGCGACTGGTTGCTACAGTAGGGGCCCGACCACAAGAAACCTTCCACAAGAAACCCGGCCCTGAGATCCCAGGACGTCCATCGAATTTTGGTGTGGGAGCGTCACTCTTTCCATCCCAAACCCATCGACACCCAAGAAACCCAAGGCACCCTGGAGGCAAGCAGGGTGCTTCTTGGCATGGGTCTCCACTATTTCCATATTCTATTGGCTGCGATGTGGGGTGCCGCTGTTCAGTCATGAGGACGACACCTCGCGCGCATGGACTGGATGGCCTGGTGTGTTCCAGCGTTGCTTGAACAACTTCGTCAAGCCCAATTTCCCCGCACCATTCGCTGGGCAACAGCTCTCCGAGAGCAGACAATCCCGATCAATGTCCGGAAGCATGGCGGCAAGCTGCCCCCGAGCGAGCTGCGTTTGTACAACTAGCGGCTTCGGTGCGGAGTTTGAACCCAGAGCAGTGGTCCCAATTCCATGTAAGCTTCCAGGAGGTTAGCGGGTCGACGCGCCTGGACATGTCAGGACAGAGTGCATTTGCCATATTCCCTGCGCTCGATAGGGCGGGGAATCGGGATAAAGCAGACGCCGAACGGATCTTCAACTCCGCCACTGTCCGCATCTCTCAAGTCCAGAGCGGGTATTCTACTACCAACAATCTGGACGACGACGCGCGAGACAATGAGACTACTGATATGGAGAATGATGATCATGATACGGGGAACGATGACTCCATAGCCTGTGTAAAGCCCTTGCCTGATGAGCGTGCCAGCCTATGCCTGTGTTGCCAGCAGCGATATAGCAGTAACAGGTGCAGGCATCGGAGGAGTGTCACACCTGCATGTCTCCAATCGTTTCTTGCGGTCGACATCTGCAAGACATCTGCAAGACATGTGAAGGCTGAGGTCTGACCTAAGTGCTGAGGCCTCCCGCCCTTTTAATCGCTAAACTTTTCTCTATTTGCCTCCGCCTTCCTGTTCCTTCTGCCCTTCTTGTCCTCCTGTGCTGTGTGTGTCCTCTGTGTTCTCGCTTTCCCTCTCCCTCGCTTTGCTTCTGCGGTTGTGTGCGAGCTGACACGTCGTATTTCTCACTCTTCGGACTCGTGCCTTTGAGCTCTTCACGTTCGGGATGTCTTCGTTACGCTTCTCGACCCTACGTAACGTTAGCCATGGTGTCCCCTGCTTGGATAACCAGTCGTGGCGGGGTGCCGACTTAAATTCGCTTGAGGGGCTCCACCCCCGTCCAAGCGCACAGCGGTCGATTGCAATTCACCGAGGAGGTGCAGAGTTGACCAGATGCTGAGTACCACGACCACCACCACCACACCACCACCAACACCACCACCACCACCACCACCACCACCACCACCACCACCACCACCACCACCACCACCACCACCACACCACCTCCCCCACTCTCCCCCTGCCTCCTTCATTTCTCCCATTCTCCGCCCCCATCTATCCCTCCCTCCCTCCCTGCCTCCCGCTTCTTCTGCTCATGCTGCTGCTGCCCGCCCGCTCACCTTATTCTCTTGCGCAGGATAGAACGGAACACGCTCGCACCCGTAGCGTCGGAACCTTCCTCCTCCTCCTCCTCCTCCTCCTCCTCCTCCTCCTTCTTCTTCTTCTTCTTCGTTTTCTCCTTCTCCTCTTCCTCCTCCTCCTCCTCCGACGACGACAACGATGTCGACGACCACGATGTCGACGATGACTTTGACGGACGTCGACGGCGACGAGGTGCCCGATCGCGGCGTCCTCGAAGGCCAGCGACGTGCCCGTGCGCGACGACCGGCGGCTGCGCGTCACGGCGCTGCGGTAGCCGGCCCACTGCGCCATGCCAGGGGGCTGCTCCTCTTCGGGCGGGCCTTCGGGAGGGAGGAGGCGGGGAGGGGGTGGAGGAGGAGGAGGAGGAGGAGGAGGAGGACATGGAGGAGGAGGAGGAGGAGGAGGAGAAGGAGGAGGAGGAGGAGGAGAAGGTGGGGAGGCGGGGGGCAGGAGGGCCTCACCATCGCTCGGACGTCCATGTCCCGTGTACTTTTAGATGTCGAGAACATTCCCCGTGCATTGTTCTTCGATGTTTCGATTCCTTTGTTCGTCAAAGTGCCCCCGTGACCATTTCCCCGTGAATGTTTCGAGAAGGATCCCCAAGATCCTCCTCATGGGTCTTCGCCGAGGGAAACAAAAAAAGAGGCACGCGCGTCCGAGCGATGCCCGGGGGGTCAGGGCGGGGAGAGGGGAAAGAGGGGGGGGTGGGGAGGGAAAGCATGCGGGGGAGGCCGGGTGGGAGGAAGGAGGAAAAACAGCGTAGGCTCCCCTCCTCCTCCCCTCCTCCTCCCCTCCTCCTCCTCCTCCTCCTCCTCCTCCTCCTCCTCCTCCTCCCCCTCCCCCTCCCCCTCCTCCTCCCCCTCCTCCCCTCCTCCTCCTCCTTCTCCTCCTCCTCCTCCTCCTCCTCCTCCTCCTCCTCCTCCTCCTCCTCCTCCCCCTCCTCCTCCCCCCCTCCCCCTCCCCCTCCTCCTCCCCCTCCTTCCCCTCCTCCTCCTCCTCCCCCTCCTCCTCCTCCTCCTCCTCCTCCTCCTCCTCCTCCTCCCCCTCCTCCTCCCCCTCCTTCCCCTTATCCTCCTCCTCCTGCCCCTCCTTCTCCTCCTCCTCCTCCTACCCCACCTTTTCCTCCTCCTCCTCCTTTCCTCCTCCTCCTCTGACGACCGTGTTTCTTTCGTATAAAAACTTGAAAGCTAATGGGAGGAGGAGGGGGAGGAGGCCGACGACGAGGAAGGAGGAAGGAAGGAGAGGGTGTGCGGGGGAGATTTCGGGAGGATGGGTGGAACGGGAAGCGGGGAGGGAGGAAGAGGAGCGAGATGGAGGACGATATCGAATACTCTTTGCCCTTGCGGGCACTCCGCTTTTTCCGTTTCTCTCTGCACCTCCTGTGCTGCTTATTTCTGCACCCAGGCCTTTTCTACTTTTTTTGTTTCGCCACCCTTTGCCGCATTAGCGCTACAGCTCCGTTGCTACAGCTTCAAAAAAAGGGAGGAGTCCAGGAGGAGGGAGAAAGGATAATGAATGAAGGCGGAGGGGGAGGGAGGGGAAAGGGGAAATCGAATTGGATCTGGATTCCGCGCCGGGTCGATGCAAAACCAGTCCGGAAAGTGGCATAGGCGCACCTAGCACCTTCGCCTCGCCTTTGACGGTGTCGGGGGTGTAATCTGCTATTTGTTGAAAACGTCGGTGCCAATCAAATCGCATATGTAACAACCGTGACGGAACCAGATGCCTACCGTGGCACCCATGGCACAACATTCTCGTAACGCTCCTTCAGCACGAATCTGGAACAAGGGGTGGAACGGAACGGCCTGCATCGTGCACCGCGCGGGTGCTGCAGGGTGGGGCCGAAGCGCCCAAAACACTAGAACATTCCGGCCATGCGCTCATTGTCCAGAGTCGGTAAAAGGTTGGATCCAGAACAGATTCTGTCGTAACGGCGCTGTCCTCGGAATTGCGGCCGAATCGTCGCAACCAGATTCTGTCGTAACGGCGCTTACCTCGGCAAAGCTGCCGAATCGTCGTAACCTTGATTTGTGGGTCGCACTAGCCAGATTCTGTCGTAACGGCGCTTCCTTCGGGAATGCGGCCGAATCGTCGCAACCTTGATTTGTGGGTCCCAATAGCAAGATTCTGTCGTAACGGCGCTTCCTTCGGAAATGCGGCCGCATCGTCGCAACCTTGATTTGCGGGTCACAACAGCCAGATTCTGTCGCAACGGCGCTTCCTTCGGAAATGTGCCGAATCGTGGCAACCTGGAGTTAGAAGGCAGGAGTCGGAAGGCCCCGCCATCCCGTCGCAGTGAGGCCGTATTGTGTCGTCGTCCACCTCTGTCGGCGTACCGTCACAAAGAGTAATCGGCGAAGGCCTCCTCAAACTCACGCCATAAATCTGTGTCCGATATCTTGAGAAGTATGTGTATCGAATCGGTTGGCGTTGAAACCTGTTCCAAAACTGCCCTCTGAGACGCGTCCCCCATATCGCCAGAATTCTTGACAAAATTGAAAATATCATCCATCCATCTCCTCTTCGGTCTGTGTCGGCGCCGTTTTGCATGTAGCCCTGCGTGCTCCGATGGGCCCCACCTTAACACCTGCACTTTCCATTCTGACGGCTGTGATCCGGCCAAATGTTGGAACCACCTCCATTTCCGACGTCGTTGCAGCTGCACCCAACCTTCCACACCTAAACTGTTCATGTGTTGTTCCGCTTCCCGTGTGCACCGCTTGACCCAATCAACCCAAAGTTCCAATTCCGTGTTGTCGTCGTCGCAGTCGTCGCCCGGTGGATACTCATGTTGTGTTGGCGAATGCTCGCTTGCGACATCCCCCCCACTGTCTGCCTGTTCCGATGTGGCGCTTCTCGGTGACCCCGGTGTTCCGCCCTGCTGGAATGATGACGCAGTGGTAACCGCCCGTCGCCGAGGCAGATGTATTACTAAACGCAACATTTGCCTGCGCGTCCTTCTCAAACGATATTCGAATTCTTTGGTCGTGGTCCAAGCCTCCGAACCGTAAAGAACCGTTGGCGTCACGGTTCCATTGAAAAATCGTAATCTGTCTTCCAAAGAATACCTTCTGCCCGTGAGCTCTTGCTTCAAAGAGTGGAACGTGTTCCACGCCGCGGCGATGCGGTGCTCTAATTCTGCGCGGTTCGGGTCAGAAAAGCATAGTTTTCTCCCTAAATCTTTGGTCTGCTCTCCCATTTGCAATATCTCAATACCCATCCCGTTGATATGAGCATGTCCTGGAATGCTGTGTCGGTTGCTGGCGCAGTGGGCGTTGTGTAGGATTTTAGTATTTCCGGGATGCAATGTCAAGCCGACTTACCTGGCCTTTTCACACAGATCGCCAATCATGCGGGACACTTGTTTGGAGAGTTGGCGCCAGGAATAAGATGTCGTCTGCGAAGCGCAAGTTGCAGAGCCGCTCTCTTCGCACTGGGTGTAAATGAATGCCCATATTTGCACGCCCCCATTGTTGTTTCAAGCGCCCCATAATGTGTTCCGATACGCTGTTGAATAAAAGCGAGCTTAGCGGATCGCCTTGTTTGGTGCCTCTTTGAATTGCGAATGGGGCGCTGGTGCGATCAGTGCGTACACATGCCGTCTGCCCCCTATACATCCGTCTAAGTAGGTCGATGTATCCTTGGTCAACGCCTTGCTGTTGTAATGCGTCCCATGTCCCACGATGCGTGACACTGTCGAAGGCCTTCTTGAAATCGATAGCCGCGGCCCACAGCGGGACCTGCCACTCATCTGCTGTGCCCTGCAGAATCGACAGCGTGAATAGATGGTCAGTCGTTGATCGGTTCGGCCGAAATCCTGCTTGATCTTGGCTTTGCCGCTGGTCGAGAATGGGCAACAGTCGGTTGTAGAGCAGGCGCGAAAATAATTTGTAAAGCATTGGTATGATTGAAATAGGGCGGCAATTCTGCGGTAACTTCGCGTCTCCACTCTTATGCAATACCTTCACAACCGTGTGCTTCCAAGTATCCGGAAACGGCGCCTCTGCACGGACTATGTCGTTGTACATTATCAGCAACACACTGTGTAAATCGGCGCCTCCGTGCTTGAGCATCTCAGCAGCAATGCCCCCGGAGTCGGAAGATTTCCCAGCTTTTAGGTGCCGCAGTCCTGCCGCCAATCCCTCCATCGCAAATGGTGTAATGCTCGTTCGTGTTGACGTCATAAGGCGTGCTGGGTCGTTGTTTCCACTGTCCTGATGCGTATCCTTGTGCAGTTCTCCTTAACACTCCGCAAACACATTCGCAATCCCTTGTCTGTCATAGTGGGTGCTTTTCTGAGCGTCCTCCACGCATGCAATGACAACTTCTTTACGTTGTGTTTTGATGCTGGCGATTCTGTTGAAATATCGGTACTCAGCCAATATATGGTTGATCTCTGCGCGGCGTTTGGTTCGTACCTTCGCCCGGAGTGCGTTCCGTATCTGTTTGTTGAGGCACCGTTTTTGTGCGGTGTCCTCAGGGGCAGTACTTCGTCGTAGAGCTAGTAGTTCAAAAATATCGTTTGGAACAGAAGGCGTCCCCCGTTGTCCGCCCAACTGCGTCACCGATCGCATCGCATTGGTGATGGCCTCTTCCACATGTCTGCTGCCCGGGCGTTCTGTAGTACCAGACCCTCCCAAGAACCTGCCCACATGATCAGATAGCTGGCGTTGGTATCGTTTCTCATCATCCAGTGGCCATTTTGACGGTTTGGCCGTCGTCCTCTTTGCGTGCCTTGCGGTAGGACGACTACGAAAACAGTCCCTCAAAACTGCACTTCGCATGAAATGTGTTCTGTGGTCAGATCCCATATCCGCCAACGTTGTGGTCCTACTGTCTCTGATCGTCTTCCACAAGTTGTTGTTCACCAAAAACTAATCAAGCTGTTTGTGTGAGTTGTCCGTGTTGGTGTGTGTCCACCGTATTTCTGACCGTTTCCTGAAGAACGTGTTAGTCATGCGCAAGCGCCTAACCGTTGCCCAATTTGCGAGCCACTGTCCCCGGACGTTGTGTACACCGTATCAGTACCGCCCCACGCTGCACGATATATCTGATTCCTCCCAAACTTGGGCATTGATGTCCGCTCCAATTGCAAAATAGCACTTCTGATCTTCAGCTTCTTTATGCAAGTGCCCAAGAATGTCGTATACTGACTCCACATGCCTGTCTGCATAACCACTGTGGGGAAAATGAGCCGTAACCAGCCGCATGCGAAATCCACGCGAAGATACATCCATGTACGCAACCCTCTCGTTGATCGGGTGGAAGTTTTTGATGTAAGTGCGCCATCGCCTGTGCGCTATGATTGCTACGCCTCGCGTGGGTTGTGAATTCCCGGACGCCTTAAGTATATGACCATCCTTCGATTTCCAGTGCTCCTCTGGAATTGTTCTCATAGTCTCGTTGATTGTCACGAAATCCCATTGCACCCCATCCAGCCCAAATAAAATCTCCAAAATCCTGCAGTCGTCCGCCATGCCCCGGACGTTCTTGTGAATAAGAACCAAATCACCATCATTACGCAGATCACTGACCAAAGTTGTGTCGCCTTGATGCGTCATATTTGTACCACCGTGATCCTGCGTAACATCCTCCTGCAAGTCGGGCGGACTCACCGCAATGCCAAAACCTGGGGGTGGATCCTGAAGGCGGGCGTGACAAATCCGACCCAGAAAATCTCCGTCAACCGTTCTGTATTTACCCCTCCCTCCACCACAGAAGTCAGACGTACGTCCCCCTGACTGTTCTGGAGTCGGTATCTGGGTGGTCGGGTAAGTAGTTGGGTTGGGGGCTCCAGTATCCGAAGTACAAGCGACCGCAATCGGAAAATCATGTGCCCGAAAACTGTCCAGTGAAACCTCCACGGGTGAAACAATCGTTGGTGAAACCGATGTTCGAAAGGCGATGCCCGTCGGATGCCTCGAAAGACTTCCAGATGTTAGCGGCGAAATCTGTGACAAATCCCCTCCCTCTGTCGATGCAGCTGTCCTCCCCCTGGTACTATTGATATTGGTGTCTCCGGACCGTTCATGTGGTCAGGCTTCGGGGCTGTCGCCACGACCTTTCCACGAGTTCCCCATGTGTTCCTCCACGTCCTTCTGGATCTCGGCGCCCTCATGGTACATCTGCATGCTGCCGTCTGGTGCGACTTCTGCGACCAGTTTCCCTTTCATCTTGACCCGCCCCTGATCCCAATAAATCCTGATACTGTGCTGGTTGTATCCTTTTCCCATCAACTTGTGCTTTATCTGTCCCAGCGTCTTGTCGACAACCCGCTTGTCCAGTGAGGTATTGCTTTTGCACCACATCCTGTCGGTGGCATTCCACTTGTAGCTGCTCTTCCGCACTTTCGCAAGGAAGCCCTTTTTGCTTTGCAGTGTCTTGAACTGTGCCACGCCGATGCGTGCGGGATCGGTAAAGGTGAAGACTGCGTCCTGCTTGTCGTTGAAGCTCATTGCATTGATGGTTTCGGTAATATTGTTGATCATGGTTTCCTCGTCCGTGTCAGTCTTGAGACCTCCGAATATCACCTGCAAGTCTCTCTCCTCTTCTTCTCGAAAGGTATCTGTTCGATTGAGGGGTCGCTGTCCTTGTGTGTCTCCGCGTAGTGCTCCTTGGACTGCTGCTTCTGCTATAGACTTCATCTCACTGGCCATGTCTTCCTTAGTGAAATAGTCGGATTCCACGGTCATCTTCAAGTTCCCGATGTCGACCTGAAGGTCGCCAATTTGGTCCTCAAGGTCTCTCGCAACCTGTAAAGCTTCACCTGCCTCGTCCTTCGCTTCCTTCACCAACTTCTTCACCTCGTTGATGTCATTGGTGATGCCGCTGATCTGCGTCGACAGGCGGGACTCGAAATCTTGAAACCACTGTGGGGGTCCTGCTTCTACCATGACTCCTTCCAATGATCTCCGTGCTGAATCACCTCCTCCTTCGCCCTCGTCCTCCCTCATCTTCTTCTGCTTCTCTGGAGTCGATCCTGTCTTACCTCCTGCACGTTTGCCTTCCTCTTTCGCCGGCATCCCTGCCCAAATCGGTGCAACGAGCCTGTAAGAAATGGTGAGTAGGGTATCGAAGCGATGTAGGAGATGAAGGTGGCGCAGAACATGTGCAACTAGTTATCAAGGCAGAGCTTATCTAGCAGCTTCGCGTTGCCTTTGGCGGGGCCAGGGCGCATTCTGTGAATCATGCGCTGGCAATATGTTGGTTGCGTGCGTTTGAAGTACAGCCGCACGTGCTTGACGCAGGCCCTCGGCTCCTTGGCCTTGGCTCAGGCAAGCACACGGGCTGCACTTTGAGACCGAGCTGTTGACATCAGATCGGGCGATCTAAATCCTAGGCGAACGTTGGTTTGCAGCAGCTGCGCTAAACTGTAATGCTAGCCAGTGCAAGCCTCAATTCAAGAGGGCTCATCAGCTTAGCAACGTGGAAAGCATACGGTACAGCTCCAGACTTTAGCCTTACAAACGTCCGCCTGTGAAGGCCGTGCCCCACAAGCTACCTGAAGCCGCGCCCTCAGGGACTTGGGTGGCTGTGGGACCTGGCATGATGCGGCCATCGGCTGAGAAGCTGGGCGGGCGCGGCTGCGGCCGAGAAAGGCGCGGTGGGAGGGGGGGACAGAGGAGGAAGAGGCACCTCCCTCAGCCAAAATGGCCCATCCCCTGGCACCATGCCGAACCTGGCCCATACTGGCCCGAAATCTCGTCGCGACACCTTAGCTGTAAACAGACCTGCCTGCTCTCCTGGGGCCCGCTCTATGGTGTTGAGCGCGGCCTCCGTTCCTATTACGGGGTTTTGGCGGGGCAGGGGAACATTCTAGGGCTCTAGCGACGAGGTTAAATACATGTTCTAAGCTGTAGCCATTTTCGCCTGCGCATTCAGCTCGCCATTCACGGCTGGGAGTGCGAATCGGCTCCTATCTTGGCTGGGGAAAAGTAGGACGACGGGGCGGGGAGGGAGGAGGAGTGTGAGGAGATGAGCGCAACCAAACAGGAGTGGGGAGGAGGGAGGAAGAGGGGATGGGAGGAGGATGGGAGGGGAGTATGAGGGGGATGAGGATGACGACCTCCAGGAACTTCGGACGGTCGCGGCGATGATGGCACCGCGACAACCTCTTTGAACTGATCTGGGTCCTTCCCCTGTACAACGTGTTTGAAGAGCTTCTGCGTGACGGCACTCTGCGTGTTTTTGGGCGAAGCGACATCGAAGACCTCGCAGAACTCCGAAACCTCGCCCTTTCTCCTGGTAGCCCGCGCGAGGACTACGCCACACACCCCACCAACACAGATGACCCCCAGACCAAACATCACAACGCTGGCGACGTTGACGGTCCCCTCTTCGTCTTCTTTGTGCGGCAGGGTGGTGCTGCCGAGCGCGGTGGTGGTGGTCGTCTGTATGACGCCGATTGCACCAGTCTGGACGGTCACGATGCCAGGCACGGCCTGCACTGCCTGCAACACCGCGTCGGCGAGAGAGTCGAATGAGCCCAAGTTGTCGGCTACTGTGGCCGCGGAACTCGTATCCGGAACTGTGACAAGGGCCGAGACGATCACGGAGCCGTCGTACACTGTCACATACACATCGCTGGCCGCGATGCCTTGGCCTGCTTGCGCTGCAACTGCCTCAGCGCACGCCAGCTTGAACGACTCCATGATGGTCGAATTGGCCAGCAACGAGTCGTAGTCCACGTTCTGCACCACCATTGCAACAGTCTGGGTATGGGCAGTGGTACTAAAGGTGGTCGTGCTCGATGTCACTCTTGCAGCTTGCGTAGCACTCGTCGCGGTGGAAGTGACGCTTAGTGTGCTACTCATACTTGTGGTGTGCACGGTCGCGGTGGAAGTGACGCTCAGTGTGCTACTCATACTTGTGGTGTGCACGGTCGCGGTGGAAGTGACGCTCATTGTGCTAGTTATACTTGTGGTGTGCACGGTCGCGGTGGAAGTGACGCTCATTGTGCTAGTTATACTTGTGGTGCGCGAGGTCGAAGTGAAAGTGGCGCTGATTGTGCTACTCATACTTGTGGTGTGCACAGTCGTGGTGGAAGTTGCGCTGATTGTGCTAGTTATACTTGTGGTGTGCACGGTCGTGGTGGAAGACGCGCTGATGGTCTCGCTGGTGTCGGACGTGGAAGTGCCGGTCGAGCTTGAGGCCGATGTGGTCGTGCCTGTCTCGGTGGGGGTAGTCGCGCTTGAAGTCGATGCTGTCGTGCCTGTCTCGGTGCGAGTGGTCGCGGAGGTCCCTGTGGCGCTGCTGGTCGCCGAAAGCGTGGAGGCGGTGCTCGTGTGAACCGTGGTAGTGGATGTGGCGGATGTGGTCTCCGTAGCGGAAGTGGTATGAACAGAAGTAGTTGTGCTGACCGTCGTAGAAGCAGAAGTGGCAGTCGACGTTGTGCCGCTGGTAAGCGAGAGCGTACTCGTCTCAGTGGTATTGGTCTGCGTCGTTGTGGTGGTGGTCGTGCTCGTCGACGTCGCCATTTCCACGGTCGGCTCCGAGACCTCAACCAGAACATCCTCGATGTCGGCGCCCAACACCGTGGTGGCCTCTCCGCTGGCCACCTTCTCTTGAAACTTGGTAGCGATCTCCTGGAGCGCGGCCAACGACTCCACGTTCCATGAGACTCCAAGACCAGCCTCGGTCGAACCATTCGTCGAATTGGTTTCATTCGTTGAATTGGTGGCATTGGCCGCATCGACCGGCACGGCTTCCTCTTCTGCGATCTGAACCGTGAGAGCCAGGCCTGAGGCTGCAGAAGTCTCGTTCCCGTCGGCGGTGCCGTTCGCTACGAGGCGACGAAGCCGACGGGCTCCGATCTGCACCGAGACCACCTTGATCCGCGATGGGTCGATCTGGAGGAGCAGCGCCAAATTGTCGATGAAGCTTGAACTGTCGAACTGCTGCACAGGGATCGAGACAGTGAGGGAGAGCTGCACGACCTGAATCATCTTTAACATGATCCACCCGCCTCCCCGAGTCGCCTCCGTCCCGCTGTGCATGCCGCCGTGCATCACCAGATAGAAGCGGCGCGCGTGGGGGTCGAAGGCGTGCGAGCCGTGGGGGTCGGAGAGCACGGGCAGCCGAGCCTCGGCTCGCGAAGTGCTCTCGGCCGACCCCGCCTCGGACTCCGGCTCCGCCTCGGACTCTGGCTCCGCCTCGGACTCTGGCTCCGCCTCGGACTCTGGCTCCGCCTCGGACTCCGGCTCCGCCTCGGACTCTGGCTCCGACTCGGACTCCGGCTCCGACTCGGGCTCTGGCTCCGACTCGGGATCTGCCACCGGGGTCGCGGTGGAGCACGTCGCGCAGGCGATGCTGGTGTCGAACTCATCCCCGAGCAGCACGCCGTCCACGTACACCTGCAGCTGGAAGGGCTGGGTCAGGAAGATGTCCAGGCGTACCGAGGCCGGGATCTCGCTGAAGTAGAACAGCCGGTGGTGCTTTGGGGGCGAGGCGAACATTGTCAAGTTGTAGCGGTCGCTGGGCCGGAGCAGCCAGTACCGGTCCTGGTCGGGCGGGTCTGGGATGCAGCCGTCGTCGTACGGGCCAGATGACCACGTTGACCGCTCGTCCGACTCGCGCCAGGCCTTGAACCTGCTGAAGACCGCAGGGATATTGACGTCATAAGCTTCCCACCAGAGCACCCGCGGCTTGAGATCTGGACAAGCGAAGTGGCCAGGCCGTTCTTCGCAGGAGCTCGTCGCGAGGTCGGGGTTCAGGCTCGTCACCGCTGAGCCTTCGGCCCCGACGCCCAGCAGGCTCCCGTCCATGTCCAGCAAAGCCGCCTGCAGGACGCCGTCGCACGCTCCGTCGCACTGGACGCGATTCCACGAAGCAGCCCCGGACCAGTCGGCCAGGTCGATGCGGGCGTCGTCGGAAACCGTGCTCAGCCAGACGACATCGGAGAAGCGATTCGGGTGAAACATGTCGATCCCCGTGGGATTGTTCGTGAAAGCCACAGAGGGTGTGCCGCAGTCGTCGCTGCTGAAGTGCCCGAAGGTGGGCGACGTCCAGATCACCTCCGAATAGCGCGAGCCGTGGCTGCCGAGGCGGTGCTCCCACGGCATCACGCACAACTTCTGCGGAGTGTTGGGTGGCCGGCACACGGGGACTTGGCCGCCAACCTCGCACAACTTCCCGATGCCGTTGACGACGTGCGAGAGGAAACCGACCCGCCTGAACACGGAACCCACCACGGAGTTGCACCCAGATCCCACCATGTCCGACCTACCGTAGGCGCGGCACCCGATGGACGCATCGCACGTGGAAGCCGCCGTGGAGCCGAAGATGGTCACGTTGTGCATGTAGACACGGTGCTCGTTGTCGTCGCGAGCACGGTTGAAGTGCAGAGAAGTGCCGATGTGATTGTCGGACAGCAGAACGGAATCCATGCGGAAATTCATGCTTTGGTCCACCGTGAGTACGCCGATGTGACTATTCTTCCAGGCCACGGCCCCGCGCAGCGTGGCGCAGTTGCCAGCCCACCAGCCACGCAGGATGAAGAAGCCAGTCATGCAAGCCACGGCCTCATTCATCATATCCTCGTCCAGTGGGGCCAGCCCAGCGTCTCCCTCGACGCAGGCGTCCAAGGAGGGACGGATCATGAAGCCTGTATCAGCGGATCCGGCGGCGATGTTACCGACGAGGCTCGCCACAGGCACCTCTATGAGGAAGGCAGCGAAGCCGGTGATCCAGACCGTGGCCTCGAGCGGGTGGCGGAGCGTCTCGATAGCCACGTTACCCTGCACCACGACGCTGTCCCCGACAGCCGTACTCATGATCCACAGGGCCGTGCGGTACGTCCGGTGGAAGATGTTGCCGCTGAGCGTGAGCCGCTGCACGCCATCACCCACCACCGCGCCCGCCTGCGAGGAGCTGAAGAGGCACCGCTCCACGCTGCTGCTGTTGCCGGCTCCGATGCTTCCGCCCTGGAACTTGAAGTACAGGGCGGGGTACTCGTGGAAGAACTTGCCCATCGACACGAAGTCTACGGCTCGCATATGCGCAGAGCCCACCCACGTGCCGTCCTGCGAGCCACCGATCATGACGTGACCCCCGTGGTAGTACGCATCGCTGTCCCCCGTCATGAAGACGACGTTGGAACGGCCCGAGAGCAGCGCCACCGTGGCCTCCAGCCGCACCGTCGGCCAGTGGCCGGCGCCACCCTGCGGGATCTCGCCGCCGAAGTGCCGGATGCTGAGGGGCTGGCTCAGGCGGATCTGCGTGGAGTCCTGCAGGCACGGTCTACAGTCATCGTGCTACCATAAGGAGAGGCATCATGAGGAACGAAGAGGCTTTTCTGGCCACGGCGGGCCTAGGCCACAGACAGGCTCCACGACGCACATCGAAGGCACGGCCCGAGCACCCGAGCCCCTCCTGAACCCAAAGCGGTCCTTATTCCAGCGTCTTGACTGCACACCGCGAAGTGCATGGCAGGGTGCCATGATGTGCCCATCTTCCACCACCAACACTACCATAGGTAGGAGAGGTAGGAGAAGGAGGAGGAGGAGGAGGAGGAGGAGGAGGAGGAGGAGGAGGAGGAGGGGTAGGAGGAGGAGGGGTAGGAGGAGGAGAAGGAGGACGAGGAGGAGGAGGAGGAGGAGGAGGAGGAGGAGGAGGAGGAGGAGGAGGAGGAGGAGGAGGAGAGGAGGAGAGAGAGGAGGAGAGAGGAGGACGAGGAGGAGGAGAGGGTAGGGAGGAGAAGGGAGGAGGAGGAGGAGGAGGAGGAGGAGGAGAAGGAGGAGGAGGAGGAACTCCCCATCTTCCCTCCTCCCCCGTCCTATCCATGGCAGCGGTGGTGGATAATCGGCCCACCATGCCAGGGAGCTGGATCTGCACATGACCGGATCCGCATGCGGCATGCGGAGCATGCGGCGGCCACGCGCGCGCACGGGCACGCCTGCGGAGGCCACGCGCGCACACGCGGCCACACAAGGGCGGAGCGCTGTCGGAGGCAAGTGCATGGCAGGCTGCCAAGATGTGCCCATCTTCCACCACTACCACTACCATAGGTAGGAGAGGGAGGAGAAGGAGGAGGAGGAAGAGGAGGAGGAGGAGAAGGAGGAGGGGGGGGATGAGGAGGAGGAGGAGGAGGAGGAGGAGGAGGAGGAGGAGGAGGAGGAGAACGAGGAGGGGAGGAGGAGGAGGAGGACGAAGAGGGGGAGGAGGAGGAGGAGGAGGAGGAGGAGGGAGAGGAAGAGGAGGAGGAGGAGGAGGAGGATGAGGAGGAGGTGAACCAAGCAACAGGGTAGCCTTCATGTCCGAGCAACGAAAAAGGAGGATGAGGAGAAATCATGCCAAAGATGCGTGCGCGTTCGGTGTAGATCTGCCCTGAAGTCCGACGTGGGGTCGTAGACGGGCTGCCCCTCAATGTTGGCAACCTCCGTATCCGTGGTCGCCGGAGGCTGCGGGTACTCCGTAGCGGAGATACCGATCTCCGCGCCCGCTGGCCACTCGCTCAGGTTGCCTCTCAGCACAATTTCCTGCGCCCCGGCCTCAACGGTGGCTTTCAGCTTGGCCCAGAGCGCGCAGCCGATGTCCGATCCGAACGCGGTGAGCGTGCCGAGGACCCCGACCACCTTGTTGACCATGAAGAGGCCCTCGACCATGATGACCGTCTGGTCCGTCTCCCCGCCGTGCAGCGCCACCGTGGCGCTCACGCCGGGAGGTATCGGGTCGTCCGCGGTGCCTGGGCAAACAAACGCGTACGGGCACGGCTACTCCCCAGACCTCTCCCAGGGTGAGTTCTGACCAGCATGTCGAAGCGAATCCAGCGGTGGCGACGCGGGCCTCCCAGGAGGCCCGAACACAAGGGAAAGCGGGCAGCGGGTCGCGGTATGTGGGTACCTCTTTCTCCTCCGAGCTCCGATGTCAAGAGTGCCCCAGACCTTCGCTGAGTGGATGTTCAGCCTGCTGCTGACGTTGCGGGAGAACTCCAGCCGCCCCTCCACGACCAGCCACTGCAGCAGCGGCGTCTCGACGTCGAGCAGGACGTGCTCCGAAGCGTTGATCACGACCGTGTCGCCCGCCTCGGGCAGCCGACCGGAGGGCCACCTCGACGCGTCGGACCACGGCCTGATGGGCATGAGGACCACAGGCTCCTCGTCAGGGATCGGCCTACAGTCAACCCGCATCACAAGGACACACGACAAGGATGCAAGGGCCCTGGCCCTGGAAGGCCATTTCGACGCTTTTCGAGGGGGGCGCGGCCAGCGAAAATGGCAAATGATCGGCGGACATAGCAAGGATGCAAGGGCACCCTTGGGAAATTATCCCATTCTTATTATGCGGGCTGATAGTAAACAGTGTTTCTCGTGTTCGTTTTGTCGGTGGTGTCCCTCGCTTCGCCGTCGTTTTGCCCCTGCTGCAAAAAAACGAAGTCGGAACGAGAGCGGCAAACGGAATCGCCCAAAGACGCAGGTTGGGTCGAACCCCGCTCCTCGTGGAACGTGGGCGTCGGGCAGCCCTCGCTGGCGATGCGCAAAAGGGGGGCGGGGCAAGAGGTGCGGGCCTCCTCCATCAGGCGGGGGGGGGGCGGTTTCCCCCAGGGCCGTAGGCGACCCGAGGAGGGGAGGGTGAGGAGGAGGAGGAGGAGGGAGGGAGGAGGAGGAGAGGAGGAGGAGGAGGAGGGAGAGGAAAAGGAGCAGGAGTATGACCAGGAGGAGGAGGAGGAGCAGGAGGAGGAGGAGGAGGAGGAGGGGGAGGAGGAGAGAGGACGAGGACGGGTCGCCTGAGCCTTTCGGAGGAATCCTCCAGGGGGGGAGGGGCTCCTGGAAGGGACGGGAGGATCCCGAGGAAGGCCTCCTCGGCGGGCGGGCCCCCCCGAAGCCCCCCCCTCCAGCGCCTCCCGAGAGCCGAGCCGCAGGATCCTGCAGGCTCCAGCGCTCGTGCTGCGACCCGTTTGCGCGGCACCCTGGCGGCGCGCGCCCAGGATAGCCCCAGAGTCGCATCGAAAAGTCGGATCGGCGATCGACATGAGTCGGATCGGCAGAATTCGGCAGCCGAGTCGGGAGAAGCCGAATCGGCAGAAATCGGCAGGCTAGTAGGTCTCCCTGGAGGAATCGGCACCCACGTCGGCATCCGAAGCCGCATCGAATCGGAATCGGAAACCCATCGCAATCGCATCGGATCGTTCCGCTCTGGGAGGAAGCCCACCGCCCCTGGCGCCCGCTACCCCGCCGCGCGCCACCCGCCTCGTCGGGGCACTCCCGCGCCCAGAACGTCTGCGAGACCGGCGACGGCGAGGCGACGTGCGCGGAGAGGGCCGCGGTGAGGCGGCCGCCCACCTGAGCGGAGGAGGAGGAGGAGGAGGGGGGAGGAGGAGGAGGAGGAGGAGGAGAGGAGGAGGAGGAGGAGAGAGGAGGAGGAGAAGGAGGAGGGGAAAGAGGAGGGAGGAGGAGGAGGAGGAGGAGGAGGGAGGAGGAGGGAGGAGGAGGAGGAGGAGGAGGAGGAGGAGGAGGAGAGGAGGAAAAGAGAGGAGGAGGAGGGAGGAGGAGGAGGAGGAGAGGGAGCAGGAGGACGAGGAGGAGGAGGGGAGGAGCAGGAGGAGAAGGGGAGAGGAGGAGGAGAGGAGAGGAGGAGAAGGAGGAGGAGCAGGAGGAGGAGGGGGAGGAGGAGAGAAGGAGGAGGAGGAGGAGGAGAAGGGGGAGGAGGAGGAGTAGGAGGAAAAGGAGATTACGATTGCGATTGCGATTGCGCTGAATGCGGTGACCAAGAGCAGCAAGCCTGGGCGCATGGGCAACCGACCCTCGCACGGGGAAGCTCATACCTGACTTCGGAGGGAGCCCTCGGGACAAACGGTAGAGCGCCTCCCGCCCTTTCGCAGTGGGGGCTCCACACAAGCCAGAAAGCTTTCGCGTTTGATCAACTCCAAACGCGCCACAAATGAGGCAGTACAACACACCCTGACAAGTGGCGAGGGTGTGGGAAACATGGACATAATCAAAGAGAGGGTGGTCGGAGGGGGGGCGCCGCGCCTGGATGTCCGCCACCACCATGGGGGGCGCCTCCGCGCGGGGGTCCTGCTCACCATGAGGGATCCACTCCCCCGCGACCTGCCCAAACTCGGACAATGGGATGCAGGTGCGAGGCCAGAACTGCGGCAGGGCTCCTCTGCGGGAGAAGGAGCGGCTACACCTCGAACACTTGAACAACGTGCGCCTAAGAGAGACATCATGGCCAGCAGCGATCAACCTCGACCGCCGCGCCTCCAAACTAGTGATGCCAGCACGCTTCCGAGCCGCGGCGAGGCCACCACGGCTGCCAGCACCACGCTCACGCTCGCAGGTCAGGAAAACTTCACGCTGAATCGCCACCAGACGGCGCAGGATCTTTTCCTGCAGCTCATCAGCATCTCGGACAGAGGCGACCTCGTCTGGGCCTAACTTGCCCCTCAAAGCCCCTTCGTTGGCACAGAGGTCGGCAGCACTATTCAAAAGCAACTCGGCACGGGAAATCTGCATGTCCTCAATGTGTGCCTGGGTCGGGTGGGATTTAGTCCAACGGAGATCAACCTTGCCCGAACGCGCCCCAAGACGTTCCCAAATACGAGCCCAGATATCAAGCATACTACTCTTACTCCTCTTCGCATGCTCTGGAGACCTCCGAAAACTCCGAACAACAGGGAGGTAGTCCGAGAACACCAGAATGTTCCCTGCAGTACCCGTCAGCAGGACGAGCAACGCATAGAGCTCAAAAACTCCACCCGCAAGATCAGATTCATTAGGATGTAGCAGAACAGCGCTCCACCCACACCTCCTTAGCCTCCAGTCCTCAGTTTCAGAGCCTCCCGATCCGTCGATCCCCCACGCCCCACCAACCACAGGGCGGGCACCTTGGAGAGCTCCAAAGGCCCACTGAGCAGTTTGGGGCATCGGGAGACCTTTCACAACCTGATCGAGCGACATCAGACCGCGGCACCAGAGGGAAGGGAGGGAGGTACTTTCCGGGATAGCAATCGGGGACAAGCTATCTGTGGCCGAGACATCAGGATTATCCAGCTCACAGTTCGCCGCACACTGCCAGAATCGGTGCGTCGGCGTCTCGGGCTCCAGCCCGCACCTGGGACACAAAGGGCTAGCTGCGTAGCCAGCCTCGAACAAACGGGATTCAGTCCAATATCCCCCCACCAAGGTGTTCCGCAAGATAGCCTGGGATTCGTAATCCAGGTTCCGACCAAAGTGTTTCAACATGGCCCGAGGGGCGGAAAAATCAACGCCCTCTTGACACCCCGCCCCCAAATAATGCTCCGCAGCTTTGCCCCAAACCACATCAGAACAGGTAGCCTGGAGAGCCCGCCACAGGTAGAACCGAAAGGGGGGAGTCTCAACATAGAGGGAGGTACCGTACTCATCCCGCCATTCACAAGGAGAGGCGGGGACCCACTCAAGGTCAAAAAAGGGTGGCGACGGTAGCCATCGCAGGTCCTTTGACCCGCCTCCAACGGCAATTCGCAGGAATGCCCAGAAACAAGTCCACCGCCGCCACCCAAACATTCTGGACCCGCATGCGGTCCTCAGGTGGCAATTCACACCACGGATCAGCAAAGCTCAGCAGGTGCTCGTGCCTCAATCGGAAGATGGGGTCCTCCGCGCTGCTACAGACCAACGACAAGACCGTGGTGGAACAGGACCCAGGGGTCCACCAACCCGAACACTGGGCCGCTTGGCCCCTCACAGTTTGCAACTGGTGAGGGGGCATCCCCATCAGTTGATGGCCCCAGTTCCCAACCGCCAAAACACCAGGTTTGCACAGCTTGGAGGCCCTCTTATAAATGCGGGAAAGGAAAGACACCTTACACGCACGACGCCGCGCTTCAAGCCTCCGCCGCTTCACTTCAAGAATCCTCCGCCGTCTTCCAGCCGTGGTACATGACCCCAAATCCCTCGTTTCAGCACGATACCGAATTGGAAGCCGCAAGGCCTGAAGACTATCAGCAAGGTGGGCGCCTACTGCAGGGGAGGAACAGACGAGGGCGCTCTTGCCACTGAGCGCCAGGCCCAGCTTGTCGACCTCATGCGCGAACAGCGTCGCAGCCGGCAGGACATGGGCAAGGAGCCCCTGCTCCGTGCCAGCCAGATTCTGGGCAATATCACCAACATAGGCCCGCGAGACCACTCGAGACATTTCACCATTCACTTGGTAATGCGCGGCCTCCAGGGCCTCGTAAACGTAGATTTTAACCCACGGCATGCTCAGGGAACAACCAGGTAAAACCCCCCTCCCCGCGGACACCACGCGGGAGACGTTACCTTCAACCTCCAACATACGGGGGGCCGTATGGATGAGCACCCCAAGATACAACAGGTGGGGTGGGCATTCCATGCGCAGGGCCAATCGGATGAGCAACCGAGGGCTCACCGCATCGAAAACTTCGTAAGATCCCAATGGGTCGCAACAGAGATCGCCCCTTCATGTCTGGCACACTCGTGGTACAACTCCCGAACAAGCGCCGCTCGGAGAGCCGACGATCCTCTGACCGCCGTGTCCCAGAACGCCGTGTGGTCAGCAGTCCACGCATCGATATCCCCCCCCCCCCCCGGATTTTGGCGCAGAGACGGCGCAGGGTGGGGCGCTTGCAGACGGGACGCTCATCAATCTGAGACTTCGGCAACAACGCAATCAAACCGAGCAAGATTTGAGCTGGCCAAGCCATACTCCGCTCGCACAGGGAGTAAAGGGAGGCCAGGGCGTGGAGGGCCTCGGCAGGGAGCTCAGCCACCGCCCGAGGTCCCCACCCATCGACGCCGACAGCCGTTGTCGCCGAGAAAAAATTGCACGCTTGAATGCATGGGGCGGTAATGGGGGGAAGGTCACCAACATGCTTAAGAGCCACCGCACGGAGGTCAGACATGGCACACCCAGCCTCAATATCACGTCCTCCGACACAGACCAAAATCCGCCCCACAAACGGGCCCGACATTCCATCATCTCTTCAGGTAACTGCTTGACACCGTCAGGGGGGGGGGGGGGGGGGTAAAATATTCAACCACACTCCGATTGTCACGCTTCAACCAAGAATGCACCCCCTTGGCACCATGTGGGATGGCGCGCAGCAGCCAGGCCTTAAGGCCTTTGGAAGACGCCGCCTTAGCTGCCGTCCAAGCACGCTTCAAAACCTCGGGGGTGAAGTCAACAAGGCGATCCACCATATCAGGATCCCCCAGCGCAGCAACGGTGACCTGATCGGTCCACCAGGGGGAAGGCTGAGCTGGTGGCAGCACCTCGGAAAACTCCCCGACGCGGCTAACCATGTCCATGATCAGCCCGTAAAGGCGGCTCTCGGTGGATTGCCGACGCAACAACGTGCGAAGCTCAAATAGCTTGGCAGAGAACCGAGACCAACACGCCAACGCCGGACAACGAAAGGATGTGCCCCTGCCACCTTTATGCGTGATCGTCGATGTAACCAATTTCAATGCATCCCCTCTCCCCATGTACGCATGCTCCTCCTCCTCATCGATGGCGGCACAGGCGCGCGAAAGAAACAGACGCTCGGTAGCACGCGACCAAAGGGAATACTGCACAGATATCTGATCATCAAGGTGCTCGACTGCATGCGGGATGAGATGGGCCAACTGCACAGGGCACATACACAACGACACACGGTCAGAGCAAATCTCATGATGAAGGTGACGCCGCCACGGTAAGTCAGGTCCGTGACAAACGGGAATAACTCGAGGGCGTACTCGCCGACAGAGACGCTGAACCAACACTCGGTGAGCCAACTGAATACGAAGTGCACGATGTGTTTTGAAGGGGTATGGTTCGAACACACCGACCTGGGCGAACGGGGCCAAATCCTCCGAGACCAACGCATAATCGATCATCGCCCCTGACACCTGCGAACACGTAAAGTCAACTCCCATCGGGGCCAACACCCGAGCGTGAACAGACTGCGGACCGACCAACATCCAGGGAATCCCGAGAGCACGAACGAACTCGGCGATACCCCGCATTTTGGACAGGTTCCCCCCCGCGACACCCAGGCGCGAGACAAAGTAACACACTCCGACCGCAATGGTCGCTTTCTGAGTCTTGAGTCCGAGAAACATCCAACCAGGGCCCGACCCAATGTCGGGAACAACGCCCGCATGGGCAAGAAAACGTTTAAGATACAGGCGCCTACTGACGACCATCCCGACCCCACTGTGAGTCCCCCCTCCGTCAGTAGGCACACCTGCCTGCAGATGCCCCCCCCCCCCCCCCCCCCCCCCCCCCCCCCCCCCCCCCCCCCCCCCCCCCCCCCCCCCCCCCCCCCCCCCCCCCCCCCCCCCCCCCCCCCCCCCCCCCCCAGCCCATGGCTGCAATCTCTCGCTTCGCGGCAGGCAAGGCAGGCCGCTGCAAGCGGTGCTCGCAGAAGAGGAAGGCATCCACCTCAGGACAGATAGCAGACGCAAAGTCCTTCGCAACCTTGGACCAGCTCGTGACATTACAAAACACAATATTCAGGCCGCCATCTGCAGCAAGCGAATCCTTGGATCGGGGTGGACGGGATCGATGAGGCAGACCAGCGCGAAAGAGAAGCCGCCCCTTCCACAGGCATCGCGACGGCCTGCTTGAGCAGCTCGGTGAACTGGTTGTGGATATGCTCCTTCGTGGTCCGCAGGCGCTTGGAGGTGCGAACTCGAACACGATCACGGATGAGGCTCTCCATGCGCGCCTGCTCCTCAGGGGTGGGCACCTGCTCATGGCCACGCTTGCGCAGTCCCCGCAACTCTTCATCGCCAGCTCCGCCTGCATCGCCAAAGCTGGCGTCGCTGCCAGCATCACTAGCAGCATCGTCATCAGCACTTTGAATGGTGGTCCGCATGGTCACGAACGCCTCCCAGAGGCCCTTCGGCAAACGCTGCTGACTTGCCCATTCGTTCTGCTCGGCTGCCGACATCTGCGAGAAGTCAGGAAGATCCACCTGCATGGGCTCCTGCACTGGAGCGCCCACACCTTCCTCGCCGCCATCAGGCACACCAGCAGGAGCGGCGCCGCCATCGCCAGCACCACCAGCAGCCGCGCCGCCACGCGCCGCGCCGCCACGCGCCGCGCCGCGCCAGGGAGCGGCCGCCCGCGGCGCTGCAGGGGCCCCAGCGGGGGGCGCAACCCGCTGGGCCTGGCGCGCCGCCTCAGCGCGCGCCTCAGCAGCCTTCGCCGCCTTCCAGGCCTCGGGGTCGAATGCCTGCAGCTCGGCGTCGGCATCACGGCGGGCCTTCTGAGCAGCATCATGCTCCTCCTCCGCAGCGTGCAAGGCGTTCGTCGCCTCGTCGAGTTGCTCCCGTACACGTTGAGCCTTGCTCCTCTTCTGTTCCACTTCCTGGCACGCAAGCCGAACCTGCCGAGCAGCATCCTCGACCACTCGGGCCAAGCGGGTCCGCTCGGTGTTCGCCGCGGTGTCGAGCTGGGCAGGCGTGAGGACTGCCGCGGGAGGCGCAGGCTCCTCCGCCAAGTCGCCCAGGGACTCGCGGAGGTCAGGCCGCGCCGCCAGGAGAGTGGCGGCGGCGGCGCGCAGCTGCGCATCAGGCTGCCCAGCAACAGCAGCACCCGCTGGGGCGCCTTCATGGCCTCCCCCTCCACCAACGTTGGATTCGAGGTAGTAGCCGCCGCACTTGGAGCACACCTCGTGACCACGGCTCGCCCACTCCCAGTGACTGCAGGAAGCACACACATTGTATTTCCGCTGGCGCAGACGGCGCCGCGGAGCTCGCTTGTCGTCCCGTGAACCATCAGGCTGAAACACCCAGCTCCCTGGCTCGCCACGATAGCTGCCAGTCCGCAGACCAGCACCCCCGCGACGCCAAGGGGGCTCAGGCGCCATGGCCACGGGCGACTCCGATATGTAGGAATGATGCCAAACGGGAGCCTTCGCTCCGCCTCGAAAGCAGGCTACGGAAGCCCCACAGCTAATCGCTGGTTCTCAGGCGTCCATAGCCCTTCACAACGTTTAGCCTTGAGCCAACATGGTTACGGGGAGGAGGAGAAGGAGGAGGAGGAGGAGAAGGAGGAGGAGGAGGGGGAGGAGGGGGAGGAGGGGGTGGAAGGAGGAGGGGGATGATGATGTGATGATGATGATGATGGTGATGATGATGATGATGACGATGATGCTGATGATGATGATGATGATGGAAGGAGAGAGGAGGAGGGGAGGAGGAGGAGGAGGAGGGAGGAGGAGAGTGGGGAGGGGAGGAGGAGGAGAGGGAAGAGAGGAGGAGGAGGAGGAGGAGGAGGAGGAGGATCGGGGATCGAGGATGCATGGGAGTTCGCGGTCGACCTCGCCGCCGCGACCCCGATCAAAGGAGCAACGCGATGAGCGTACCTTCTGGTTTGCTGTCGGACGTTTTCTGGCGGTGGGAGGGGAAGCCGTCGTTGTGACGCTCTACGCCCGAGGACTCCACCGAGGCAGTGGCTCTGCGAGGTTGCCCAGCAGCGTGATTGAGACCCTGGGATACGCCCTTCATGCACGGCTCCAAATCAGCACCTCAATACTCCCGAAGGGCAAATGCCAAAAATGAGCCGGCACTGGTTGACACAAGTAAAACAACTGCGCCACCTGACTGCGCCCCGCGGTCTCTTGCCACGGCTTGAATACGTATTTGAACACACACACACATGAACCACCAGTAGCTTGGATAACAAGGTGGCAACTATGGATCCCAACACTGATGGTTGAACCCTCCAAGCCCAGCTTGAAGCAATTTCGCATAAACTCCCTGGGCGGTTGTGGGAGACTATGGCACTGCAGTTGATGATGCCAGTTCCCAGCATGTCTAACCCGCCTGGCGCGCTGAGCATGCATGGCAGAACCTCCCGTTCCGTCTTCAAAAGCCCAGCTAGATACCCTCCCCTGCGGCTGTGGGAGATTTCAGCACCGTAGCAGATGAAACCACGTTCCAGCACCGTGCCTGCTGGAGTTGGCCACAGGTCCAGCATCACTTGATGACGAACGACGGGGATCCCAACAGCTGCACTCCGATGCCAGCCCTGGAAGAGTACACGATGAGCACCAGCGACTTTCGCATGTCCCCTGACACCCCCTCAAGTTGCAGGCCCTGGTCCACTGCAGCTTAGCCCACAACAGCCAGGACGGTACTCGCGCTGGTGTGGCACCAAGCTCCCGTCGCCGAGTGAGCCAAAACGGGCGGGGGATGCTGACTTGGGCCGAGAATTGAGAGGAGGATGGGGAGGAGGGGAGGGGGAGGGGAAGGAGCAGGAGGAGGAGGAGGAGGAGGAGGAGGAGGAGGAGAAGGGGGAGGAGGAGGGGGAGGAAGGAGGAGGAGGGGGACGAGGGGGAAAGGGAGGAGGGGGAGAAGGACGGGGAGGAGGAGGAGGAGGAGGAGGAGGAGGAGGAGGAGGGGGAGGAAGGGGAGGCGGCGGAGGAGGAGGAGGAGGAGGAGGAGGACTTCCTCATCCTACCTTCTCCCCCGTCCTACATAAGTGCATAGGGTAGTGGTGGTGGAACATTTGCCCATCAGGAGCGACGATCAAGAACTAGACAAGCGCGTTCCACTACTCGCAGAGTAGCTGCTCGCAAACGGACTGAATCCGCCGAGGTGGATTCACGATCCGTGACATTGAGGAGGCCATGCTTTGTTTCGGACGTTTGCGAGTAGGCACTTTGCGAGTCGTGGAACACGCTCAGTGAAAAACGGGTCTTACGCGAGACGACACAGCGACCTCATGCGGCGGCTTGCGCGGACCGCCGGCGCGGCACGCCACATTGGAAGCGAGGGCGTTCACGCGCGACCTCACGCGGGCAGCTTGCGCACCAATGTCGGCGCAGACGACCCCGTTTTTTGGCGTCGCGCACCTGGGGCAGGTAGAGCTGCTCCTCGAGGTCGGCCTTGAGGCTCAGGCCCGTCTGGTTGACGTACTCCCCGTCGCAGGTGTCCCTGCTCGCGTTGGTGAGGTCGAAGAGCTCGCACTGGTGCAGCCAGAGCTTCATCGAGAACGATCCGAACGGATGGTCCATCGTGGGCTCCTTGCTGAGCGCCGTGCCCAGCGCAGCGTCGAAATGGTCTCGCCAGGTCGAGTAGTTGAGGTGCACTATGACACCCTCGTCCTGGGGCGCGACGCGAGTGGTCCAACCGTGCTCCTGGAAGACGTAGTTCCAAGTGCCTCCATAGTGGAGGCTCACCTGCTGGTAGTCGTTCGCATTGTCGATCTGCAAGTCGTAATCCTGACCGCTCACCACAGGAACAGCCCAGCCGTAAAGAAGCTGTGTAGTGAAGACGATGTCGCTCTTTGAAATGTTCGTCTGCACGGCCAACGAGTTGTAGTCCAACTGCCAAGGCTGCTGGTTGTTCACCAAGAGCCGGCGCATGCGCAGGGATCCGTCGTGCTTGCCGCAAACGATCCCACCGGTGTGCTGGCTGGAGACATGACACAGGCCGTCGAACTCGTTGAAGGGCGTGTGCATCGCGACGAAGCCGTTCGGGAACCCGGTGAGCGATCCATCGAGGTCGTGGAAAATGCCCGATATGTCAGAACTGCTAAACGTGCGGACGTTAGAATTGTACCACTCCAGCCTCTCGAAACGCATGGTGCACATGGTTTTGAAGCATCCGTACAAAGCTGGCGTGCTGAAGAAGTTGACGACTTTCATACCCGAGACGAAGAAGTTCTCGTTGTCCTTCGGCGCGCGTATGCCGAGGCCAGTCCCTCTGGACCACTGGGCCATGGGATCGACGCTGCCGACGAGCAGCAAGTCCAAGTAGAATGGCGCGGTTTGGAGCCCGGAAGACAAGTGGTTCATAAAGTGGCCAGTGCCGCACTCGAGAAATCTGTGGTCGATGTGGTGAATGTTTCCCGTGCCATAGTAGAACATGCCGGTCGAGCAGCGGAAGGCGGTGAACGTCTGGAAGGTGTTCAGTGTGGGCGGGGCGTGCGGGGGCTTCAAGTGCCTGGGCGCTCGCTGGAGGGAGAAGGGAGAAGATGGAGAGCGGGAAGGTCGAGGGATGACGGGGGGAAAAGGACATCGAGGAATACAGGGCAATCGACGGAGACTTGGCAGGAGGTCAGGGGGAGGTCAGGAAGAGCGGGGAGTGGGGCCACAGGGGGGGAGAGTGTCGGGGGATACAAGGCAATAAACGGAGGCGCGGCAAGAAGTCAGGAGGGGGGCATGGAGGGCGGGAAGTGGAGGTCACGGGAAAATGAGCGGGGGTCATGAAAAACGAGAGGAAGGGTCAAGAAGAAAAGGGGGGCATGTGGGGCAAGAAACGGAGGTGCGGGAAACGGAAGGGGGGGCATACGTGGCAGGATGGAGGGAAGGGGTAATTAGAGGATAATGGGTGGTGTGCGGGGCAGGGCGTGGGGCGCGGGAAAATTGGGTAGAGGTTTACGGTCCGGGAGGTGAGGATACGGGGGACGAGGTGGCGGATGAAGTTGGAGCGAGTCAATTGGGCACATGAGTTGGAAACGTGGGTCTGCGAAGTCGAGAAATAAGATCTTCGAGGCAGGAGATGGGGGCGCACGATACATAAGTGGAGCTACATACGCACAAACGATTCATGATAGCCACCAGTGAACGAAGCATGGGGGGCATACGGAACCTGATCTTGGGCTGGGGATATGTGGCCCATGACGAAAGCAGGCTCTGCGGGGCGAGCGGGAGTACTGGAGCAGAGAGAGAGAGAGAGAGAGATACACAGGAGCACCAGCCGAAGCCGCAGGCGTGCGCGGAGTTGTTGAAGAACGTCAGGTCCGTCTGCTGGCTGGCCACGCCCTCCAGTTTCCTGACGCGCCAGCCGCGGGCGGCGCTGACGGCGAGGTTCGAGCGGTGCCAGCCCGTGAACCCAGGCAGCCAGAAGCCCGCTGGGGTGTCGTCGTCGTCCAGCAGCAGGTGGTGCGGGAGCGGCGCCACCGCGAGGTTGTGCTCGAAGAGGGCGTAATGTTCCTGGCCAGTCTCGGTGAAGAACATGTGGCCGCGCACGTGGTAGGCCACGTTGTGCTGCACCGTGGCGTAGTCCGTGCTGTGGACCACCACGGCCCGCTGGAAGGTGTCGTGGTACGAGTTGTTCCGCAGGTAGGCGATGTCCATGACGTCGACGTTGCGGCCCGACGAGAGCACGTGCCAATGCGAGGAATACCTTCCCAAGTTCGCTGCCTGCCCCGTCCTGAACAGCTCGGTGTTCTCAATGCGCAGCTCTCCGCCCATGAATGCGCCGACGTGGGCGCCGAACATGTAGGCGTTCCCGTGCCTCTCAGAGGCGTCGTCGCCCTGCACCTTCACGTTGCGCGTCAGCAGCCCGACGGCGGCCCGGAGGTCGGTCGGCGTGGTGTTGTCGTGGAAGTACCACTCACCGATGTGCTCGTGCTGCAGAGGCTCCTCAACCTCCAGGGCAAAGCCGTCCTGGCTCACCGACCTCACGGTGAGCACCTCGTCGGCAACGTTCAGCTGCGACGTCGTCAAGATCACCTTGGCGCCCACGTCCCAATCGACGGGCTCCTCCAGTAGCAGCACGGTGCTCCCCACCGGCGCGGTGGCCACAAGCCTCGTCCACGACGTCTGTGGGCGGCCGTGCAGGTCGAGCTTGCCGACGGACCTGACCCCGCACACGTTCGAGACCGCCGTGAAGCCGGCGCTCGTGAGGCGGAGGCCCTGCGTGGAGCAGCCCGTGTGCAGCCCGCCCAGGTTCGTGACCGCGAGCATCTTGGACCCAACGAACGGCAACTCGATCGTCCACCACCGGTCGCCGTGGAGCGTGATCGTTGCCCTCTGCAGGAAGGGGTCCGCCTCGGTGCCGACGGAGAAAGTTCCGCCGGCCACCCAGATGTACGTGGCGTTGAAGGCGAGGTCCTTCCGGTCGAACTCCAGCACGCCGCTGACGATGACAAGGAACAGCTTCGGTGAGTCCACGTCCAACAAAATAGCCTGGCCCTCTGGCACGATGACGGAGTCCCCATCGAACGGCGGCTCGGAGTCGAGCCAACTGCGCACGTCGCTCCACCTGTCGATGTATCGAAAGGTGGTCTCGTTCCCGGCGCCTACGATGGTGGCGTAGCCTTTCCCGGCTACCCACACCGATGTAGACGCTGGGTTGATGCCTCTGTCACGCACTGCGGTCAAGCACTCCGCGTGCGTGTCGTTAACAAAAGTGACCTCGCAGGCGTACCCGTTGAGTAGCACCCTGATGAGCGCGGGGTCAGAAGTGGGAGCGTCGCTCATGTATGGCGTTAGAGCAGAGCCACGCAGCGTCACAAGCGTGCCTCCTCTCGCGGACCCGCTTGTCGGCGACAGCGACGTCAGCAGAGGAGTGCGCTCGAACTCGTGCAAGAGCTCCACAGAGGTGGGGGCGGGCACGCTGGCCTCTGAAGCCAGCGGGTGCACAACGTGCCCGATGGAAATATTGCAAGTGCCAGAGTCATCTGCGTCCAACAGCACCCCGCTGAAGCGCGCACCGCGCATCAACTCCCCCTGGGTATTGCAAATGCTGGGCAGCAGCCGCACGCGGAACGCCTGCGCCACCACCCCCTCTGTGCCAAACACGTTCCAGCCCTGTGCGATGGTTTGCCCAGTGACGACGGCCTCTGTGAGGCTGGCCACGGCGGTCCACTCGGAGCCGTCAGAGAGATTCCTCACCTCGAAAATGGTCTCGATGGCCAGTTCCCGCTGGTTGGGGTCGGTCGGGGGGAATATGCTCACGGTCTGGAGGCGCGCCACCTGGTACGTGGGCAGCTCGAAAGCGAACCAGCACTCCTGGCGGTTGTGCCAGCTCAAGTCGTAGTAGAAGTTGATCTCGTGGTCTACAGAGGATGTGAATGTGCTGTTCGCCAGGGCGACCTCGTTCTCGTCACTGGCGCCCTGGTCGGTGTAGAAGGAGCGGGCATAAGGCGCCAAGTCCTCAGCGGGGAAAGCGCCGGGGTACACACCTGCCAGATCTGCACTTCTGAGCTCCGGCGTCTCACACCGCAGGCTGCTGCTGTTGGTAGCCTCCAACATCTGGCAGCGCCTGCCGCAGACGAGGACCTCAGTCTGGTCCAGGTCGAGCCCGAAGTGCTGGCCCCGCAACGTCAGCTCGATCCCGCCTCTCAGCCCCGCGCGCAAAGTGCCGTCCGTGCCGGCGGGCAGCACGACGCCCTGCACTTCGACCTCGGAGACGGTTGGGGCCATCTCCAGCATCTCTGGCGCCATGGAGGACCAGCCCGCGATCGGGTGCCATACGCGTACACTCCAAGAGCCACCAGGCACGTCCCGGGCGACACAGCGCACTTGGGCGTCGCTCCAGGACGTGGGGATGCACTGTAGGTTGGCCGTCGGGTCGCGGTGCACGCCGAGCGCGACGACCCCTGGCGCGCTGCCGAAGCTCACACCGTCGACGAGCAACTGCACCTCGGCCGCAGCCGACGCGATCGTGGTCGCCAACGCCGCGGGGGAGGACCCTGCGCTCAAATACTCGAACTGTAGCTGGGGCCCGGCGCCGCTCTGCAGAGGCTTCAACGCCGTCTCTGGAACTACCACGGTCACCTCCCCTGTGTCAGGCCCAGCGTAGCTAAACACGAGATTAGAACCGCCCGTGGTCTGCACGTACCTGACCTCGATGTCATGGTCGCCCTCTTCCAAGTAGGCCACCCTGCCGCTGACCTCCAAAGTCGAGTGGACACCCTTGTTGTCCACAACCAGGGCGTCGTCTACCCACAGGGCACTTCCGTCGTCTGAGAGCAGCGAAAAGACGTAGGCGCCTGGGGTGGCGATGGTCAAGTAGCCCCGCCAGCGCACGCCGAAGTACGTCGTGGCACCGAGGCCAAGCGCTGTGCCCACGTCGCTCTCGAAGTTCAGGACTGGTGTGGTCCCCGACGAGTCTGGCGAGTGGCCACCGAAGTCGTCGACTGCCACATAAGAGCCGAACAGGTAGAAGTCGGCGGAAAGGCCCGCGCCCGTCCCCGACGGTCCCACGACGACGCGCACATCGTGCGCTCCCTCGACACCCCCAGGGGCAGGCGGGGACCAGCACCGCAGCTCGCCAAAGGAGGCCGCGGACACCGGGCAGACCCGCGAGCCGATCGTGACGAGGTTCTCCTCCAGCACGGAGCTGAAGCCAGCTCCCAGAATGGTCAGCTCCGTGCCTCCGTGGAAAGAGCCGTTTTCTGGGCTCAGCCCGAAGAGGTGCAGCTGCTGCTCGAAGCGGAAGTCGGTGCCAAGGTACGGGGAGCCGTGCAGGGCGTACCCCTCCGGGTCTGCGAGCACGTGGACGGGCACCTCCGACGCTGGGAACTCGCAGAGCGGCACCTGCAGCACCGTCTGCGTGAGGTTGAGTCCCCCGAGGCCGAACAAATCTCCCTGGGACAGCTCGTAGTCGCCAGGCTCCACCCTCCAGGACGAGACCGGGCACTGCACGTCGCCGAAGAGCACCTTCATCTTGCTGCCGTCCAGTTGGCCTTCGAGGGTCACTGTGACGTTGGTGCCATTGGTCCCGTTGAGCGGCGTCACGCCCAGCAACTTCGGCGTCGCGGCCTGGGAGTACAGAACGCTACAACCCTCCGCCGAGACGCAGCGCGCTGTGACACCGTTGAGCGTCAGCCTGACAGCAGCGACGGTGTCCTGAAACCTCGTGGTGGTCGCAGTGGTGGTGCTCGTCTCGGACGTGGACGTCTGCGTGGTGCTCGTTAGCGTAGATGTTTGTGTTGTGATCACGCTCCTGCTCTCCGAGGAACTCGTCTCGGTTGTGCTGGTCAAGGTGGAAGTCTCCGAGGTGCTGTGGGGTGATGTCGTGCTGGTCTCAGTGATCGCGGTAAGGGTTGAGGTCGCTGTCTCCGAGGTGGTGTGCTCTGTGCTTGAGGACGTCAGGCTGCTGGCGGTTGTGCTGGTCAGCGTGCTTGTGCTGCTGGTCGGCGTGCTGCTGCTCGTCTGCGTGACGCTGCTGCTCGTGGCGCTCGTCGTCTCCGTGGCCGCCGCCATGCGCCTGGCCGCGCTCGGTGGCCCTCGGCCAGCAGGATCTGTGGCCACCGCCGCCTCCCATCCTGCCGAGGGGCCGGAGAACGCATGCGGGGGCGGGGTGGCCGCCAGCCTGGCCAAGCCCTTGGCCATGGAGTGCTCGGCGCCCATGGAGCGCACCCTGCCCATGCTCATGACCGACTTGGCGAGGCAGTGGCCCTTTGTCTTTGGCGACCGGTCGCGTGCGCAGTCGATCTTGCGGCCGTGTGCTCCGCCCGCGCTGGCCCCAGCTGAGGCCAGCCTGCGCCCAAGGACGGTGCCAACGTGATAAGCGCTGAAGATGTAATCGTCTGGAGCCGCCGCAGAGTCAATCTGGCACCGGAGCTCGACATCATTGCCCGAGAGCACGACGCAGGTGTGCTCGGTCCCATCTGGCAAGTCCAAGAACACTTCCTGCTTCCACGGGTCGGTGGGGTGGAAGCCGGACCCCGTCAGCGTGATGACGCCTCCGCCTGCGATGGAGGCGTAGCTGGGGCTGACACTGGCCACCTCGAACACGGACGTGAAGGATGCCGATGAGTCGACAGCTGCACGCCCCATCTCCTCGACCCAGACAGTGGGCTGCACCGTCGAGTTCGAGGGCGGCGCAGGTACAGAGCGCTGCAGCCAGCACCCGACGTGCGAGGCGTTGTGCTCCTCGACGACGCAGGGCCGGCCGCCGAAGGTGACGACCGGGGGCGCGCCCCCCCCGCCGAGGAGCTGACCTGACAGGACCAGCTCCACGGTCAGTGCGGCCGAGTGCTGCTCGGGCGAGACGGCGCTCACGGCCGGGGTGCTGTTCCTAGAATACACAAACGTCCCGACCGACACCGGGGTGGGCCTAAGCAGCACGATCTCCGCCTCCACCTGCTCCGGCGCATCCCCGAGAGAGGTGCCGTTCAGCGCGTCTGGCGTGAGGCAGACGACACTGCCGCCGCCCAGCGACGCAGTGGCGAGGGGCGAGGTACCCGCCTCGGCGCAGGCCGCGCCACCGACAGTGATCCCCGCGCACGGCGTGCCGGCGAGGCCGTCACCCGTCAGCGTGAAGGGCGTGCCACCTGCCAGTGAGCCCACCAGGGGCGCGATATCCTCCACGGTGGGCAGGTATGTCACGTTGGGCGCCAGCGACGGGTCTGCTGAGCCCTGCGTGGCGGAGAGCAGCCGCACCTGGTGCACGCCGGCCGTGCCGTTTGACAATGAGCAGTTGAGGACCCTCTCCCCTGCGCTCAGATTCCACCAGTCGGTGTCGCTCCAGTTCTCTGTCACGTCCGCCAGTCCAGCACAAGCCAGCCAGGATCCAAGGTAGACGGTGGCATCGGTGGTGTTGGTGATGTTGGCGATAATGGCGGTCAACGTGCTGCCGCCCTGCACGGTGCTGGGATACACGGTGAGAAGGACTGGAGTCAGCGCCTCCGCGTAGTAGAATGCAGGCGCATCCTCGGTCTCGGTAGCGCTGACCACACCGAAAGTCTCCACAGTCACCACCATCGCCCCGCTGTCTACCGGACGAGGCATCTCAAAGAGATCCATAGGGACTCGCTCCATCATCACAGCGTCAGCGTCGCCATGCTCGACTGTCACCACAGTGACGCTGTACACGGCCGGACCATCCGGGTCTGGCACCCCGACGAAATTGCTGAGGTCCAGCTCCAGCAAGCCTACATCCCCCAACGGCTTCCGGAAACGTATGAAAATCCGCCACCGTGCCGTAGGCACTGAGTGGAGAGCCAGGCGCTCCCGACAGTGCCCGCACGACTTCTCCAGAGGCCTCGGGAGCGCGGCTGGGAGTCTCATACTCGAACATGATATAAGATGGTCTCAGGGGCCCTGGGCAGTTTTGGAGGCTGGCGGGGCTGACCCACGATATCCAACTCGGTGACAAACAATACGTTTGTTGTTGTACTAGTTTTGCGCACCTGGCCTCTGGGCCTCAGAAGCGAGCAAAGCGGCCCAAGAGGCCCCTACGATCGCCTCAAGCCTGTCTAAAGAGTGGCCGAAGAGGGGGAACACACACTGACATAGTCCTCCATCCGAAGATGACCCCCCCCCAGGCCCCCCAGAGGCCCAGAGGCCACCAGAAGGCAGCCGAGGAAGCCTCCAAGAGGCCCTCAGAAGGCCTCCCAGGTGACCCCAAGAGGCCCGTGTGAAGTGAAACTGCGGCAGGCGCCCTTTGGCCTTGCCGCAGGCTCCTCGGCCCTTGGCTGGGGCGTGCGCTGTCAGCCTGCTCTGAGGCCGCCGTGGCAGTGCAGCCCTGCCGCTCGGCGCCCGGGCAGAGCCTCAGCCCGAAGACCACCCACCGCCACCGGCGGAAGAGCGGGCACCGACCAGATCGCCGCCGCCACCCCAAGAGGCCTCTCGGAGGCCTCTGGTCAACGACCCAGACACGCCGGCGGGACGGGCCGAAGGCCGCCAGATATCCCAGGCCTCCTCCGAGGTCCAGCCCCACATCGACGGCCATGCCTCGATCTCGACTGTGCTGCTGTCGAGCCCCATCCTGGACATGCCGTAGACGGCGGTCCAAATATCGCCCCGAGGGTCCACCTGGTCGCTCCACGCGCCGCCGTAACCCAAGCGGATGGTGCCAGAGGGGCCAGGGGTCCCTGCGACCAGCAGTCCCGCGGTGGCTTCCGCGCTTCCCGCTAGCAGGGCGGGTACAGAGAGAGACATAAACATTGCCGTGCCCTGGGGCAATACGCACCCGGCAGTCACCTCGAAGGTCCGATTCACGGTGTAGGCGTCTGGATACCACTCGGTCGCGGAGACGACTAAGCTGTCCCTGCAGGACAACAGATAGACCCCGGTGTCGCCGATAGTCATGCCTGTGAGGGCAGTTTGCACCTCGGCTGCGGAGTAGTCCGCGCTAAGGGTCAGGTACTCCACCGCGCCCCAACCAGGGTTCGCGACGGCGAGCCTGTAGGTGCCCCCGGCGGTGGCGTTGCCAAGCTGGATGTAGTGCTTCTCGCGGAGTACGCCCGTGCTCCTGTACCTCACGCGCTGCAGCGCCATGGCAGGCTGCGCTCTAATCGCCTCCTCTGCCGCCTCTTGGCCCAGCGCGGTGCCGTCCGCTTTTAACGCGTTGCTCAAGCCACTCACCTTCATTCCGAATCTGTACCAGTCCGATCCGGTCCCCTCGGTGTGCGTCAGTCGGAAGGCGTAGCGCTCCCCAGCTGCCAGGCGGACGGGCTCGGAGACCTGCTGATTCAGCTGCCCATCTGCCGCGTGGTAGAACCATGCGTGAGGATTGTACTCGGCGTACCAGCCCTGCGTAACCCAGCTCGGGCAGGTCGCCACGGGCTGGAGGGTGTCGAAGGAGCTGTTCCGCCCCAGCTCAACTACCACCACGTCGTCCCCCGCAACGTAGAATGTGTAGTCCGCCGTGAGTGGGGGCACGAAGAAGCCCTCCGCTACAAACTGGTAGTCGTGGCCGCCGCTGTCAGAAGACAGGAAGACGGCATGAACGCAAACTTCTGGAGGTCCGCGCGGATTTCTCAGATCGGCAGTGGACCCCCCTGGCGGCGCCTCCGGCGCCGCCCCTAGCGCACTCCGTTCGCCATTGACAGGGGGCAAAACGCCGATCTCGGAAACTCGCGCGGACCTCCGAAAGCTTACGCTTACGCCGCTTTCACTCCTTCGAGCTGTGCCCCCACATGGACGTGCGCCCCACCCAGTCGATCCGCCCGCCCTTCAGCACTCCGCCGTCGAGCCGCGCGCCTCCCGTGAACGACGTCCACGTGAGCCCGCGCGGCATCCGAGCGCTCAGCACCGCGGGGTGGAGCGAGCGGTCTCCGAGCACGCACTTCAGCTGGCTGGCGGTCGCGGCGGTAACCTCGCAGGGGACACCGCCGACGCTGACCTTGGGGTGGCCTCGGAATCCCCAACGACCTCGCCGCGCGGTCCGCCGTGCCACGGTCTGAGGCATCCCGGACGCCCCCGTCACCCGAGACGTCCTCGGAGGACGAGCAGGGTCCCAACACCGAATCCCCACCGACTCGCCACGCGGTGTGGTGCCCACACCGTCTGGGGGCCCCGGCTCCTCGCGGGCACGGCTGGGAACGGGGAGAGCCCCTGCTCAGCGTGTCGCGGCGGCGGCCCCCAGCGACACACCATGCCCTGCAAGCGGACAGCGCGTCTCTCCGCCTCGCGGGGCTGGAGGCGGGACGAGGCTCGGGACGCTGGCGCTCGGGGGCCGCGACGTGGACAGCGGGTCGAGTCCGAGCGGCGGCGCGACACGCTGAGCCGAAGTTCCTGGCCGTAAGAAGCAAGAGCTGTGAAGCCACACGGAAGGGCGATGAAACAAGATTCAACCAGGTGTGAAGCCGCGCTGGGCCGGACGAAACTACATCAGTCTGCAGCAGAACCAAGGGAGTACGGGGGCTGATGTTCCATTCAACCTCCCATAGCTGCAACCGAACTGACCTGGTTGTCCGCTGGGGTTTCAGAGAAGGAGGAGCCGTAGATTGTGAGCAGGTTGCCACCGTGAATGCCGCCGACAGTAGGCTCGATGCTGTTCACCTGTGGGTACACCGTGAAGTGGTACGGCCGCCCCGTTGAGAGATCCACGGTGCCGTAGAACTGGGAGCCCCACGAGGCGATGCTCGAGCTCAGCCAAGGCACAATCCCGCCGGAGCCATAACTGTCTGTCGACCCGCTGACGTCGCTGCTCGAGAGGGGAAAGCATGCGCCTTGAGTGCACGCCCCATCCTCGTGATCCAACATGTTCAAACGCCAGGAGACGTTGTACAGGCCTGGGGGTGCCATCTCGTCCTTAGGAATCTGGCATGATACCGTCTTCTCGTCCCATCGGCGCCTGCGGTTCCATGTCCGCTCAAGCGGCCAGACTTCGTTATCAGTCGCGCAGAGGGCTTCCCCGATCGATATACGCACGTGGCCAGCTGAGTCAAAGTCCAGGGGCATGATCCCCATGAACCGTAGCACGTCGCCCCCGGTACCTGCCCATGATTCCGCGAAATGCAAAAACGGAGTCTGCGACGTCTGATACTGGAAGGCGCTGGACATCTGCACGATCCCCGCGTCCCCGAGGCCACTGAATTGCCGCACGGTCACAGTCAACCAGCCAGAGTTCTCGTGGGACGTGTAGGGCTCCGTTAGGCAGACAATCTGCGAGCCGCCAGAGTAATGCTGAATGATGTTGCAGGGGATCGAACCGACGTAGACGTCCTGAGCATCCCACGGGTTCGCCTCGGTTGGGTACAGGAACCCCGACCCAGAGATCACGAGATACGTGCCGCCATACGTTGATCCAGACCTCGGGAAGACCTCACCTGCCACGAGGGAAAGGGTGTCCTGAAGGAACAGTGAACTCTGGACCCCTGGGCCCCCCCCAGGTACCCTCTCTTAATGTTGAGCCGTGTTCCTCAGGACCCCTTGCCTGCGGGAGCACAAGAAAGGTACAGACACCGCGTTACTCCCCAGACTTCTCCAGGTGCGCAGGACTTCGAGGAGAATCCAGCCCTGGCGATGAGGGCTCTCCAGGATAAGCAGCAGTGCCGGTACCCTTTTTTCATCGTCTCACCTCCACCCCACCCCGAGATCCGACGCTGCCCCAAAAACTGCAACGCCGTGAGGAATATGATGGGCCTGTCTTCCACCACCACTACCATGGGTAGCACGGGTCCTTGTCCTCCTCCTCCTTCTCCCCCTCCTCCTCCTTTTCCTCCTCTCCCCCCTCCTACCCATGGTAGTGGTGGTGGTGGAAAATCGGCTCATCAGAACCACGACCAGAGCCAAGGACCCCATCTTCCTGCGGCATTTCCCTCGCCGGATGGGTCCGTGACGGCCCCGAAGTCCGCAACTGGGCGACAACGCGCGGCGAGCAAGCATTGCCTCGCCCGGATCTCGGGGCGGTGCCTCTTCCCCCCGCGTCGGCTCACTGATGGATACGCCGCTCGCGCGCAGCAGCAGGCCGGCGCACAGCTGCAGCAGCGCCTCTCGGGGGCGTCCCAAGAGGGGTTCGCGAGCCATGGCCCGACGCATGTGCACGGACGAGGGGGCGACCTTGGGACGCACCCCAAGAAGAAGAGGAGCCATCAAATCTGGGGAGTTGCAAGCCATGACACAGCCAAGCTGCTGGAGTAAGAAGCGCTGAAGATGTCGAATCCGTGTCGAATCCATGTCGGCCTCGCTGGATCTGTGTCGAATCCGTGTCGAATCCGCGTCGAATCTACGCCTCATCCGCGTGGAACTCGCATCGAGCCCGCGTCGGGCACAAGAAAAACCACCAATGTTTGGGACACGCGAGGTCCCCCGAAGACGCAACGGAAAGGAACACTCCCAGCTGGGGTCGAAGGATCGCGCCGCATCGACCTCCGGCGACGCATCGGCGATGCATCGGCGACGTCGGCAATGCATCGGCGACGCCGGCGCGGAGAATTCGGGCCCCGCATCGAGCCGCATCGGCGATGCATCGGCGATGCGGCGCGATCCTCCGACCCCATCTGGACAAGCGCGGTCCACTACTCGCAAAGTAGCCGCTCGCAAATGGCCTGACTCCCATAGAGGAAGACATGCTTTTTGTTCGGACGTCTGCGGGCAGGCACTTTGCGAGTACAGTAGGGGCCCGACCACAAGAAACCTTCCACAAGGAACCCGACCCTGAGACCCCAGGACGTCCATCGATTTCTGGTGTGGGAACGTCACGCCTTCCATCGCAAAACCATCGAAACCCAAGAAGCCCAGGGCACCCTGGAGGCAAGCAAGGTGTTTCTTAGCATGGGCCCCCACTGTATCGGGAGCGGCCAAGAGGGGGGTGTCCAAGAGGGGGGGTGCAAATCATGACCGGCGGCATGTGCGCGGCCCAGCGGGGGGGCCAGGGCCGCAGTGGAATACGAAGAGGCGCCCTGAGATCTGGGGAAATATCATGGCCCCCGCCATGATATCCACCCCCCCCCTAGTCATCAACCCCCTCTTTTCCGCCCCCGACTGCAGCGGAACGCGCTCGGTGACCATCTGGGAGGCCTACAGAGCCCCCGAGCCTCCCCGCCGCGCGGCGGCGAGGGCCTCCGGGGCAGCATCGGCCGAAGCCCGCGCGGGGCGCGGCCGCGAGGCCGGCGGCGCGCCCCTCCGCGGGCGGGGTGGCCCGCGGCCTAAGGGCCCCCCGCGGCCGCGCTGCCCTCCGCGCTCCGGGGACGGACCTCCTTAGCCAAAACGGCCACGCCGACGGCGACGACGACGACGACAACGGCGACGGCGCCGACGGCGACGGCGACGGCGACGACGTCGTCGACGGCGACGGCGACGTCGACGACGACGACGACGGGGACGACGGCGACGACGGCGACGACCACAGCGACGACGATGACGACGATGACGGCGACGGCGAAAGCGACGGCGACGGCGACGACGACGACAAGGACGACGACAAGGACGACGACAAGGACGCCTTGGCCAAACCATTGTACGAGCGACGAGCGTGTAGTCCCTTGAGCAATCCCCCTGGCTGGGGACGAAAATTTCGCTGAGGTCGCGCCATGCTGTGTTTTGGTACCCTCCTTCAAGCCGCCCTGCGCTGTGCGTCCTCGTCGCTGCAAGTCGTGATGAAGAAAAACGTTGCGCGGGTCCAGGGGGCAACATGTCATGCTTTATCAGCTCCCTGCGACGGCACAGGATGCGATTGCAGGCCACGCCGCAACGAGCAGCTCTCATGAGCGTGGATCCATGATTCCCTGGTCTGCGTCCGCTGTTGGCTGGGGGGCCTGTCTGGGTAATACGTCGATCTTGGCATGAAATACCCAGTCCTAGGTCCATGCGGTAATGCGCTGCGTTGCATCTCATATCCACATGAGCCAAAGGAAATAGTGAAACCGAAGGTCAGTCCATCGAGCGGTGGTGGCTCGTGCACCAGACGCTTGCCAAATGACAGGCTGATACGGGACTCGTCCAGCACGGGCAGCTACAAAGGTGAGACACTATAGGCTCGGACGTTTTTCTCCGAACGCCACGCCGACGCCCCAACACCTCTCGACAGAGAACCGAAGGCTTCGGTGCCCAACCATGTTCGCATCAGCGGACTCGCGGTTCGCACGTCCCCCTTGAACTTCGTAATGGGCGTCCGCCTGCGGCCACCCCCCCCCTCTCCCTGGGGGTGGTCCACCCCGTTCGTTAGAAGTTTATGCAGGAGAGTGGATGGAGCCTGGCCTGGGCGATTCTGCCTTGGACGTCCTCAAATCTACGCGGATTGGCCCCAGATTTGGCGCACATCCACAACGCGCTGTGAATCGGCATGGGCGCGTGTGGCGGCGTTCGGAGAAAACCTTTTCCGAGCCCGTAAGCTACGCGCGACGATCTCCCAACCGACACCACGCACTGAATGAGCCGTGCGAACATCCTTACGTTGTTCATTGCGGGCGGCGAAACAAGCACGTATGCAGAATGTGGTGGACTGTGAAATCAAAAAAAGGTCCACCACAGTTCAAGGACACTGAACATCACTGGAATGGATGGTCGAAGGGACGGGTAAGAAATCCTAAAGAGTTACACGTGTGTACATCTATATATATATATATACACTAGAACCACTCGCGCGCTTCGCGCGCGCTTAGGTTCTAGCGCAGGCCAGGACAGCGTTACAGCACAGTGGGATCCTCCGCCTCCCCACTTTCGGAAACGAGAGACGGGAGACGGAAAGGGGCAGGAATGATGAGCCAGGGGGAAGGAGTCCACCGACGAACCCCGCTTGCCAGGTGTGAAAAGGCATGTGAAAGATTTGGCGCTCCCCCTCCCCAGGGGTTCGAAATTGGATTGCAAGGGGGGGGTGCTCCGGGGGGGGGGGGGGGCAAACGAGCTCCTCAACGCACCCCCTAGGCTTCCGGAGCTCTCAGAGATCCGCAAGAAGGCCCAAGACAGCCCAAACCCAGCGTCAACACAGCCGAAGGGAGCGTCGGAACGATCGTGCGATCGACAGTGACAAGAGCAGTGAGATCGATCGCGAGATCGATAATGAGATTGATTGAGTGAGATCGGTTGCAATCCATAGTGGTAGCGGTAGCGAGGTCGACAGTGAGATCGATCGTGAAATCAATTGAGTGAGATCGGTAGTGAGATCGATCGTGAGATCGATACTGACATTGATAGTGAGATTAGTGAGATCGACAGTGCGATCGATAGTAAGACCGGTTGTTATCGGAGGTGAGGGGGTAAGATCGAAGTGGAACGGAGAGCCCCCCACCGGGAAATCGGTTTCGGTTTCGTGTTCGTGTCGTGCGTGCGGGCGAGGCGAAGCTGCGTGGGCGGGCGAGAGGAATTCACTCTGCTGTCGCTAGGGGTCCGCCAACACAAATGTTTCCCCCCCCGGCCTTGTCAAGCGGGGGCCCGCATTGTCCCGTCGGTGGCTCGCCATTGTCCCGTCGGTGTCCCGTCGGTGTCCTGTCGTGAGATCGAAAGTGAGATCGACTGTGAGACCGATCGTGAGATCGATAGTGAGATCGATAGTGAGATCGATAGTGAGATCGATAGTGAGACCGCATGTGAGATCGATTGTGAGATCGATTGAGATCGATAGTGAGACCGAATGTCGGTTGCCCGCCGTTGTCCCGTCGGTGTCCCGTTGGTGTCCTGCCGTGAGATCGATAGAGAGATCGACTGTGAGACCAATCGTGAGATCGATAGTGAGATCGATAGTGAGATCGATAGTGAGATCGATAGTGAGATCGATAGTGGGACCGAATGTGAGATCGATTGTGATATCGATTGAGATCGATAGTGAGACCGAATGTGAGATCGATAGTGAGATATATTGTGAGATCCATAGTCTGATAGTGGGATCGATAGTGAGATCGATAGTGAGATCGATTGTGAGACCGAATGTGAGACCGAATGTTGGATCGATACTGAAATTGATAGTGAGATCGATAGAGAGATCGATCGTGAAATTGATAGTGACACCGAAAGTGAGATCGATTGTGAGATCGAATGTGAGATCGATAGTGGGATCGATAGTGAGATCGATTGTGAGATCGATTGTGAGATCGATAGTGAGATCGATTGTGAGATCGATAGTGAGACCGATTATGAGATCGATTCAAAGGTCGATAGTGAGACAAATTGTGAGATCGATTGTGAGATTGATTATGATATCGATCGTCAGTTCCATAGTGAGACCGAATGTGAGATCGATAGTGAGATCGATAGTGAGATCGATTGTGGGGTCGATGGTAAGATCGACTGTGAGATCGATAGTGAGATCGATAGTGAGATCGATAGTGCGGTCGATAATGAGATCGATGGTGATATCGATAGTGAGATCGATTGTGAGACCGGATGTGAGACCGAATGTTGGATCGATTGTGAGATCGATAGTGAGATCGATAGTGAGATCGATCGTGAAATTGATAGTGACACCGAAAGTGAAATCGATTGTGAGATCGAATGTGAGACCGATAGTGGGATCGATAGTGAGATCGAGTGTGCGATCGATTGTGAGATCGATAGTGAGATCGATTGTGAGATCGATAGTGAGACCTATTATGAGATCGATTGAAAGATCGATAGTGAGACCGATTGTGAGATCGATTGTGAGATTGATTGTGATATCGATCGTCAGTTCCATAGTGAGACCGAATGTGAGATCGGTAGTGAGATCGATAGTGAGATCGATTGTGGGGTAGATGGTAAGATCGATAGTGAGATCGATAGTGAGATCGATAGTGCGGTCGATAGTGAGATCGATTATGAGACCGAATGTGGGATCGATGGTGCGATCGATAGTGAGATCGATAATGAGACCGAATGCGAGACCGACAGGGCGATCGATTGTGAGATCGATAGTGAAACGGAATGTGAGATCGATAGTGATATCGATAGTGAGATCGACTGAATCAGATCGATATTGTGATCGGTTGTGAGACCGATTGTAACATCGATAGTGAGATCGATCGAGTGATATCGATAGTGAGATCGATAGTGGGATCGATCGCGAGATGTATTGAGTGACGCGTTGGTTCCTCCTCCCCCCTCACCTCCTTATCACCCGAAGGGTGGTCGTATAGGTATGAATGCTGAGATCGATCGTGAGATCGACAGTGAGATCAACAGTTAGATCGATAATGGGATCGACTGTGAGATGATCTATCGTGAGATTAGTGGGATCGATACTGGAATCGATTGTGCGATCGATTGAGTAAGATCGATTTGGTGATTTCGGTTGAAAGTGAGATCCATTGAGCGAGATCGATTGTGATATCGATTGAATGAGACGTTGGTTCTTTCCCCCCCACACAACCTCCTTATCACCCGAAGGGTGGTTGTATGAGTCAGAGGCTGGGGGGCGAGATCGAAGCGGATCGGACAGCCCCCCACAAGAAAATCGCTTTCGGGCGAGGCGGAGCTGCGAGGGAGGGCGAGAGGACTGACCCCGCTGTCACTGGGGCGGGCCACGACAGTTGTCCGAACATCCCTCGATTGGCGGGCGGTGGCCGGGTTGTCCCGCCGTGGTGTCCACCGTTGTGTCCACCGTGGTGTCCCGCCGGTGTTCCGTCGATGTCTCGTTGGTGTCCCGTCGCTGTCCCGTAGGTGTCCCGGCGGGGTTCCGATGGTGTCTCGTCGGTGTCCCGTCGCTATCCCGTCGGTGTCCCGCCGCTGTCCCGTCGGTGTCCCATCGGTGTCCCGTCGGTGTTCCGTCGGTGTCCCGTCGGTGTCCCGTCGGTGTCCCTTCGGTGTCACGTCGGGGTCCCGTCAGTGTCCCGTCGGTGTGCCGTAATTAGACTGTGCGTGAGATCGATAGTGCGATCGATAGTGTGACCGAATGTGATGTCGATCGTGAAATCGATAGTGGGACTGATCATCACAAGACGTCTCGCCGCTTGGGCCCCACCGCCAGCCCAAACGGCGAGCATAAATCAGGCGTAGCTCCGCACGCATTCGAATGCCCACACTTCGCCCTCCTACTACTCGCATTCCCCCCCGTCCTCCTCCCCATCCTGATCGTCGTCGTGATCCTCCTACTCGTCCTCCTCCTCATCATCCTCCTCGTCTTCCTCGTCTTCCTCCTGCTGCAGCTCCTCCTCGTCGTCCTCGTCTAGGGCCTCGTCCTCGTTTCTCATCTTCCTCCTCCTGCTCATCCTCCTTCTCCTGGCACCTCGGCGACCGAGAATAAAACCGTCTCCTATCGGTTGCGCCCTAAGTCACGCCCTCGGCGGCCGAGAATCAAACCGTCTCCTATCGATTGCGCCATAAACTGCCAGCGGCGGCCGAAAACACAACTGTCTCTCATCGGTTGCGCCATAGGCTGCGCCCTCGGCGGCCGAAAATAAAACCGTCTCCTATCGGTTGCGCCATAAATTGCGCCATCGGCGGCCGAGAATAAAACCGTCTCCTATCGGTTGCCCCATAGGTTGCGCCCTCGGCGGCCGAGAATCAAACCGCTTCCTATCGGTTGCGCTGTCGGTTATGCCCTCAACGGCCGAGAATAGAACCGTCTCCTATCGGTTGCGAGAATGAAACGGGCTCCTATCGCTTGCGCCATAGGTTGCGCCATCGGCGGCTGAGAAGAAAACGGTCTCCGATCAGTTGCGCCATAAATTGCGCCCTCTGCGGCCGAGAATACAACAGTCTCCCATCGGTTGCGCCCTAGGTTGCGCCGTCGACGGCCGAGAATGGAACCGTCTCCTATCGGTTGCGCCATAGGTTGCGCCATCGGCAGCCTATGATAAAACCTTCGCCTATCGGTTGCGCCATTGGCGGCCGAGAATCAAAACCGTCGCGTAACGGGTGTCACCACTCTGATCGGTTCAATTAAGGTCAGTTCAGTTCAGCTCGGCTCAGTTCCGTTCAGTCAGTTTACCTTGCGAGAAACAATTTAGGGCTACGCCCGACATGCGATCTATAGTAAGATCGATAATGAGATCGATACAAATATCTATAATGAGATCGATTGTACTATTAATCATGAAATCGATGGAGACATTGGTAGTGAGATCGACCGTGCGATCGATTAAATGAGACGTACGTTCATACGCCCGAACCCTCTCCTCTTATCACCCGAAGCGTGGTCGTGTAATTATGTACGTAACACCCCGCAATTGCGGATGAGAGTGAGGGGGCGGGCGCGGGCGACGCGGGCGTCGAGCCCGCAGACCTCGTGGCCTTAACCTTCCCTGTCGATGGCGCCCTTCTCCTCCTCCTCCTCCTCCTGCTCCTCCTCCTCCTCTTTCTCGTGATTTGCGTGCTCTGACAAGTTCAGCGCGAAGGGGATCGCTGGTGGGCCACCCGGAACGAATGCAAAAACAGCCCGCCGCAGGCGCCGAATTTTTGGCTTGTTCAGTGAACGTAGTTTGGGTCGCGGGTGTGTCGCGGTGTCTCCACCTCCACCTGGAAGGAATTCAAAAACGGCCCGCCGCAGGCGCCGAACACTTTTTATTTGCACACTGAACGCGGTTTGGGTCGCAGGTTCTCCAGCTGGAACGAATGCAAAAGAACCTCGCCGCAAGCGCCGAAATTTTGGCTTGTTCCGTGAACGTAGTTTGGGTCGCGGGTGGGTCGCAGGCTCTCCACCTCCACCTGGAAGAAGGAATTCAAAAACAGCCCGCCGCAGGCGCCGAAAATTTTGATTTCTACACTAAACGCGGTTTGGGTCGCGGGTGGGTCGCAGGTTCTCCACCTCGAACGAATTCAAAAGAAGCCCGAAAATTTTGGGTGGGTCGCGGGGTGGGTCGCGGGTGGGTCGCGGTGTGACGGGGATGGGTCGCGGGCGCGGTTTCGGTCGCGGGTGGGTCGCAGGTTCTCCACCTGGAACGAATGCAAAAGAAACCCGCCGCAGGCGCCGAAAATTTTGGGTGGGTCGCGGGGTGGGTCGCGGGTGGGTCGCGGGTTGGTCGCGGGTGGGTCGCGGGTGGGTCTCGGGGTGGGTCGCGGGTGGGTCGCGGGTGGGTCGCCGGTGGGTCGCGGGTGGGTCGCCGGGGGTCTCGGGGTGGGTCGCGGGCGGGTCGCGGGGTGGGTCGCGGGTGGGTCGCGGGTGGGTCACGGGTGGGTCGCGGGGTGGGTCGCGGGTGGGTTGCGGGGTGGGTCGCGGGTGGGTCGCGGGTGGGTCGCGGGATGGAGCGCGGGGGGGTCTCGGTCGCGGGGCGGGTCGCGGGCGGGACGACGACAACAAACAACATACAACATACGACATACAATAAACAGCACACAACAAACAACAAACAACCAACAAACAACAAACAACAAACAACAAACAACAACCAACAAGCAACAAGCAACAACCAACAAACAACAACCAACAACAACACCAACAACAACAACAGCAACAACAGCAACAACAGCAACAGCAACTACAACAGCAGCAACAACAACAAACAACAATAACAACAAGAATCCGCATCGCGGAATTCCACTTCAGCCACGCACCCAGGGACAGTGAATGACCGTTCGGTTCAGCCCCCTCACTCTGACGATATGGCGCGGCTGCAACTGCCTCCCAGGTGAGGGCTGTCGTTGCCCAGGTTGGGTCCTGCGGCTGCTCATCGCGCTGAAGAAAAAAAGACCCGACTGAACCAGCAAGGCATCTCGCTCCACGGTGCACGTGTCGCGATGTCCGCCCTCAGTCGCAGCAGCGTCCAGAGAAGCACGGGGCATGCAGACATAACCGACGGTCTGACACTTAGTTCGGACCACAATAAAAAGCGACTCCACACGTAAGGCGTATCAGGAGTCTCGCGAGCCACTAAAAGGGGAACATTTCGCCCTCGGCGGCCGAGAATAAAACCGTTTCTTAGCGGTTGCGCCATAGGCTTCGCCCTCGGGGGCCGAGAATACAACCGTCTCTTATCGGTTGCGCCATAGGTTTCGGCCTCAGCGGCTGAGAATAAAACCGCCTCCTACCGGTTGCACCATAGGCTTCGCCCTCGGCGGCCGAGAATAGAACCGTCTCCTAGCGGTTGCGCTATAAGTTGCGCACTCGGCGGCCGAGAATAAAACCGTCTCCCATCGGATACGCCATAGGTTACGCCCTTGGCGGCTGAGAATGAAGCCGTCCCCTATCGGTTGCGCCATAACATGCGCCATCGGCGGCCGAAAATAAGACCGTCTCCTATCGATTGCGCCATAAACTGCCAGCGGCGGCCGAAACACACAATCGTCTCTCATCGGTTGCGCCATAGGCTGTGCCCTCGGCGGCCGAAAATAAAACCGTCTCCTATCGGTTGCGCCCAAAATTTCGCCATCGGCGGCCGAAAATACAATCGTCTCCCATCGGTTGCCCCATAGGCTGCGCCCTCGGCGGCCAAAAATCAAACCGCTTCCTATCGGTTGTGCCATAAGTTGCGCCATCGGCGGCCGAGAATAAAACCGTCTCCTATCGGTTGCCCCATAGGTTGCGCCCTCGGCGGCCGAGAATCAAACCGCTTCCTATCGGTTGCGCTGTCGGTTATGCCCTCAACGGCCGAGAATAGAACCGTCTCCTATCGGTTGCGCCATAGGTTACGCCATCAGTGGCGTAAGATGGAACCGTCTCCTATCGGTTACGCCATAGGCTGCGCCCTTGGCGGCCGAGAATAAAAACCGTCTCGTAACAGTTGCGGCCAGTCTGGTGAGTTCAAGTAAGTTCAGTTCTGTTCAGCTCAGTTCAGTTAAATCAGTTTACCTCGCGAGAAACGAATTCGGGCTACGCCCGAATGAGATCGATAGTGAGATCGATAATGAGATCGGTAGGAAGATCTGCCATGAGATCGAGGGTACTACTAATCATGAAATCGATGGTGACATTGATGGTGAGATCGATCGTGTGATCGATTAAATAAGACGTGCGTTCATACCCCCCAAACCCGCTTATCACCCGAAGCGTGGTCGTGTAAGTATGTACGATATGGCGCGGCTGCAACTGCATCCCAGGTGAGGGCTATCGTTGCCCAGGTTGGGGCTTGCGGCTGCATGCCGCGCTGTGCGGAAAAAAGACCCGATTGAATCAGCAAGGCATCTCGCTCCACGGTGCACGTATCGCGATGTCCGCCCGCAGTCGCAGCAGCGTCCAGAGAAGCACGGGGCATGCAGACATAACCGACGGCCTGACACTTAGTTCGGACCGCAGTAAAAAGCGACTCCACACGTAAGGCGTATCAGGAGTCTCGCGAGCCAGCATAGCGAGAAAGGGAGAACGAGGACAGGGAATACGGAAGGCAGGAATGGAACATGAAGATGGGGGAGGTGCAACTAGTTATATACTTGTACTGCTCTGGGGTGTTATGGAACATCAAATAGATCTATGGCCTGGAGCACCGTGGACGCAGCAAGGCCGCAAGATCATGGGGATGCCCTTTTCCATCTTAACACGGCGCTTCCTCCCCAGCCCTTGCTGCCCCTCCTTCCCCCTGCCCCTGCTCGCGCCGCATCTCCGCCTCCTTCCCTCGCGGCCAACCCCGCTTCTCCTGCTGATCATGGTCGGGGGGATTCCCGTCCTTCCTGCATGCATCGCTCCTCCCCGCCGCTCTCCTCGGCCTCCCGCTGTGATTCTCTGAAGGCCGCCAGGATCCTCTTGTGCCATCCTGTTCGCAGAACTCCCAGGACCCTCCGAGCAGAGAACCGAGCAGAACCGATCTGCGAAGGCCCGTAGGGCCTGAGAGTTACGGTGACATCGCTGGGTGTGAAAACATGGCAACGACGGGACCTCGGGTAAAAACGTGGGGCGCCCTGGGCCAGGATCACACTTCAGCCGAGCGTCGTTGCCACTGCAGCTCGTGATTGCACACGATCTGCATGAGTTGCTGCAGGTGTGCAGGGTTTCGTGAGACTGTGCTGCGGACCGTAGCCACCGAGGCTCAAGTCTAGAAGTCGCAAGACACAATTGCACAATCGCAACTTGAGAGCTCAGTGGTATCATCGCACCCCCCCGGAGGACGACGCGGATCGAAGAAGAAAGAACAGCATAAACATAAACATTTGGAACTCCGCGCGGATCTCTTGGGTCCGCGCCGGACCCTCCTCCCAGGCGCGCGGAGCGCGCCAGGGGCGGCGCCGGAGGCGCCGCCAGGGGGGCCCGAGCGCAGATCCAAGAAATCCGCGCGCAGCGCCAAAAGTTTATGTTTAGGTCGGGCGTGTCCTCCTACAGGCGCATTTTGCATGAAAAATTGAGAATAACCAAAACTTAAACAAGACATGCAAGCAAATACCAACAAAAAACGTCACCATACTATTGTTTGGCTACTTCTTCCTCCTATGGAGGGATGGGCCCGACTTAAGTCTATGCTTATGCCGTTTTTCCTTCGTCGAGCGGAGGGCGTTCCCGGCGGCGTCCACGGCTTCGACGCCGCCTCGCCGAACGACCGGGTGGCCGACACCGGCGGCCCCGCGGGCTCGGGCTGCGCACGGTGCTCGGGCGGCTCGGGCTCGGCCAGGTCCTCGAGCGAGGACGACGCGGATCGAAGAAGAAAGAACGGCATAAACATTAGCTTTTGGCGCTCCGCGCGGATCTCTTGGATCCGCCCCAGACCCCCCTCCCAGGCGCGCGGAGCGCGCCAGGGGCGGCGCCAGAGGCGCCGCCAGGGGGGCCCGAGCGCAGATCCAAGAAATCCGCGCGCAGCGCCAAAAGTTTATGTTTAGGTCGGGCGTGTCCTCCTACAGGAGCATTTTGCATGAAACAATGAACAGAATCAAAAAAGCAACACATGCAAACAAATACTAAAAAAATCGCCCACCATACCACTGTTTGACTACTGTTAATTACCTATACGACCACCCTTCGGGTGATAAGGAGGTTCGGGGGGGGGGAGGAACCAACGTCTCACTCGATCGGTCTCACCATCGATCTCAGTATCGGTCTCGCTCGATCGATCTCCCTCGATCGATCTGACAATCGATCTCACTCGATCTATCTCACAATTGATCTGACTATCGATCTCACAATCGATCTCACAATCGACTTCACAATCGATATCACAGTCGGTCTCACTATCGATCTCACTATCGATATCACAACCGCTCTCACAATCAACGTCATCATCATCATCAACAACATCAACATCAGCATCATCATCATCACCAACATCAGCATAATCGGGACACCGTCCTCATCATCAACACCAACATCATCATCATCATCATCATCATCATCATCATCACGGTCATCAACATCATCGGGACACCACCATCATCATCATCACCATCATCACAATCATCATCATCAACATCATCATCATCAGCAGCATCGGGACACAGTCATCGTCATCATCATCATCAGCAGCATCATTATCGGGACACCATCATGATCACCATCGTTATCATCATCATCATCATCATCGTCATCATCATCGGGACACCATCATCATCATCATCATCATCATCTCATCCTGATTATCGACATCATCATCATCAGCATCATCAACATCATCATCAGCATCATCATCATCGTCATCACCGGGGCACCATCATCATCATTACCAACATCAGCATCAACAACATCATCATCATCATCACCATCGGGACGCCATCATCATCAACAACATCATCATCATCATCACAATCATAATAATCATCATCATCGGGACGCCATAATCATCATCAACCTCATCATCCACATCATCATCATCGGGACACAATCCTAATCAGCATCATCAACATCAACATCATCATACTCATCATCATCATTGGGACACCCTCATCGTCATCATCATGATCATCAACATAAGCATCATGATCATCATCATCCTCATCATCGGGACACCATCAGCATCATCATCATCGTCATCATCATCATCATCGACATCATAATCATCATCATCATCATCATCATCATCATCGGGACACCGTCATCATCATATCATCATCATCATCATCATCATCGTCCTCATCATCATCATCATCATCATCATCATCTGCATCACCATCATCATCATCGGGACACCATCATCATCAGCATCATCATCAGCATCACCATCACCATCATCATCATCATCATCATCATCATCATCATCATCTCATCATCATCATCATCATCATCATCATCATCATCATCATCATCATCATCATCATCATCATCATCATCGCGGGACACCGCGGGACACCGGCGGGACACCGCGGGGCACCGCGGGACACCGCGGGACACCGCGGGACACCGGCGGGACACCGCGGGCAACCGGCCGCCCGGAAGGGAATCATTTGGTCTGGCCGCGCCTCAGCCACACGGGACTTTCGCGGGACACCGGCGGGACACCGCGGGCCACCGCGACCGCCCGGAAGGGAGACATTTGGTCCGGCCGCGCCTCAGCCACAGGAGACTTTTTCTCGCCCGCCCACGCAGCTTCGCCTCGCCCGCACGCACGGCACGCACGAACACGAAACCGAAATCGATTTCCCGGCAGGGGGGCTCTCCCTTCCACTTCGATCTCACCCCCTCACCTCCGATTCCTCCTGTACAGGGATGGGCCCGACTTAAGTCTATGCTTATGCCGTTTTTCCTTCGTCGAGCGGAGGGCGTTCCCGGCGGCGTCCACGGCTTCGACGCCGCCTCGCCGAACGACCGGGTGGCCGACACCGGCGGCCCCGCGGGCTCGGGCTGCGCACGGTGCTCGGGCGGCTCGGGCTCGGCCAGGTCCTCGAGCGAGGAAGACGCGGATCGAAGAAGAAAGAACGGCATAAACATTAACTTTTGGCGCTCCGCGCGGAATTCTTGGATCCGCGCCAGACCCCCCTCCCAGGCGCGCGGAGCGCGCCAGGGGCGGCGCCAGAGGCGCCGCCAGGGGGGCCCGAGCGCAGATCCAAGAAATCCGCGCGCAGCGCCAAAAGTTTATGTTTATGTCGGGCGTGTCCTCCTACAGGCGCATTTTGCATGATGACAAAATAATCCAAAAATAAACAACACGTGCAAACACATACTAACAAAAATCGCCCCCCATACTATTTCTTGACTACTCTTGAATCTTCCTCCTGTACGGGGACAGGCCCGACTTAAGTTCATGCTTATGCCGTTTTTCCTTCGTCGAGCGGAGGGCGTTCCCGGCGGCGTCCACGGCTTCGACGCCGCCTCGCCGAACGACCGGGTGGCCGACACCGGCGGCCCCGCGGGCTCGGGCTGCGCACAGTGCTCGGGCGGCTCGGGCTCGGCCAGGTCCTCGAGCGAGGAAGACGCGGATCGAAGAAGAAAGAACGGCATAAACATTAACTTTTGGCGCTCCGCGCGGATCTCTTGAATCCGCGACAGACCCCCCTCCCAGGCGCGCGGAGCGCGCCAGGGGCGGCGCCGGAGGCGCCGCCAGGGGGGCCCGAGCGCAGATCTAAGAAATCCGCGCGCAGCGCCAAAAGTTTATGTTTAGGTCGGGCGTGTCCTCCTACAGGCGGACCTTGCACGAAGAATAAGCAGGTCAAACATAAACAACGCATGCAACAGCATAATGAAAAGATCCCCCCCATACTATTGTTTGTCTACTCTCGAGTATTCCTCCTGTGCAGGGATAGGCCCGACTTAAGTTTATGCTTATGCCGTTTTTCCTTCGTCGAGCGGAGGGCGTCCCCGGCGGCGTCAAAGGGTTTGACGCCACCTCGCCGAATGACCGGGTGGCCGACACCGGCGGCCCCGCGGGCTCGGGCTGCGCACAGTGCTCGGGCGGCTCGGGCTCGGCCAGGTCCTCGAGCGAGGGGGGGAGTAGAATCCTCCCCAATTTCCAAATCCTCCCCGCCTCCTGCTATGCCTGGCTTTGCTTGCGTTGCACTGCTTTTCGTTGCTTTGCATCGCACTGTACTTCACTTCGTTGCTTTGCATTTCAATGCACTGCTCTTCATGGATTTGCCTCACATTGCATTTCTCTGCGTTACTTTGCTTTGTTTTGCACTGCTTTGCAACACACAGACTGCGCCGCACAGTTAGCACCACCCAGATTGCACCACAGTGACTGCACCACCTAGACTGCGCCGCCTCTATTGCAAAAGATCACTGTTTCGGGTCTACGGTGTATAACATACATATTCACGTACCAAAAAAAACGATTAGCCAGCGTGAACCGCGAACAGTGTATTTCTAGCAATATATGTTGTGCAATCTATGTTGTGCAACCTACGTGGAGCAATCTATGTGGTACGATTACTGATGAGCAATCTATGTGGGTAAATTGTTGTTGTGCTATGCATGTAGTGCATTATACGCTGTGCAACCAATGGTGTGCAATATACTTTGTGCAGCATGGAATTTGCAGTGTAGGTGGTCTAATACGTGGTGCAATATATGTAGTGCAATCTACGGTGCGCAACATATGTGGAGCAATCGGTCTGGTGCAACATATGCGGTGCAGTCGACGCGGTGCAAGATATGTGTGCGATCTATGTTGCGCAATATACGTGTTGCTCAAGTGGAGCGAACAATCTAACACATTGTATGAGGTGCAACATATGTGATGCGCAATCTATGTTGTGCAACCTATGTGGAGCAAACGATGTGGTGAAACCTTACTGTGCGACCTATGTTGTGCAATCGATGTGGTTCATATGTATATATATATATACATATGCGATGCAGTCCTTGTTGCGGCGACAAAGCGGCGACGGCGGCCACGTAGCAGCCTGACCGCTGACCGACGGTCAGGCCCAGTTCCACACAAGAGAAGTCGAACAACCCTAAGTGCGAGCATTGTTTGCGGAATAAAAGAACAGGTCGGATGGGGCCCCTAGATAGGGGACCCGATGGGCCGGCGAGGTGGCCGAGTGGGAGTATCTACCAATAGAGATCAAGGATACGAACGGGTATAGTCTTAGGAGGAGCAGTGCGGAACAGGGAGAAGCATGATGAGGTGGAGGAGGGGAAACAGAGGATAGAGGAGACTGGGGTAAGACAAGCTAATCTGGCGCGCCGACTGCGGTGTTCTAGAAGGGCTGGAACCCCAAAGGGCGGTTGTATGAATGAACGCATCGATTTTCCTGCGCAGCCGGACTACTGCCTGCGTGCACAGGGGGAAGAGAACAGGGTGGGGAGGCGGATGAGCAAAGGAGTCTATGAAGAGGAGGTGGATGAGGGAGGAATAGGAAGAAGAGAAGGAGGATCAGCAGGAATAGTAGGACCAGAAGAATCAGGCTAAGGCGGAGGGGACAAGAGAGGAACGTATCCGACGGGGACAAATTAAGAAAGGTTGCCCGCGATAGGGCGAGATCGCCACTCTGAAAAACGGGAGCACATCACTGGTCGCGCCATGTGGCCATGCTGCAGCGGAAACACATCCTCGAAAGGACCGGAAACAGTCCGAGGAAACAAACCCGCTAAGACATATCACATGAATGGAGGAGGAAGAGGGCGGAGGAGGGTGAATGAGGACGGGGGGAAGCGCGATGCGCCTGAGCAGGGCAAGAAGGAACGGGCAGGTGGAGTAGAAAGAGCGAAGGAGGTGGGCGAGGAAAACGAGGAATGGAGGGAAATATGGAAAAGCCAGGGGGTAGGGAGGGAAGAGTGAGTGAGCGAGAACACTCGCAATGCGAGTCGAAACGACGCCTACGGACGCCTGCGAGCTAGCTCCTCGGCTTTGCTGAGAGCCTTCGGCCAACGATCGGACTCGATCCGATGCAAATAATCAGCTCGATTCGCATTCGTACGCCTGAGACAGACCTGCCCCAAACATCTGATGACGCTACTGGCATACTACCCATACTGTAAACAAAACCAGAGGCCCATGGAACGATGCAAACGCATAGAACGACTGCTGTGTGCCCAGCGCCCCCCTACATGCAATCTAACCCCCGACGGCAACGTGGCAAAACGGCCATCCACAAAGGCAGGTAAAACAAAACACGAAGAACAAATCCATTCGGACACGGTGGCTAAAGTAGCAGAACTACAGCACACCATACAACGCTTGCCTGAATCATCGGCACACAGAAGGTGCACAGAAGGTGCAGGAGGTGGCGGCACCTCGCAATTAACCTCCTTTTCTTCGGCAAGCCACTCTCACGAACCAACAAATTCTCGGCATCCAAGGAATCGATGGTGGCACGACTCATGCGCGTTCTGACATGGTAAACATGTTTGTCCAGCAAGTAAACGCGTGCCCGCTCTCGCTCGGGCACTCGGCGGCGCTTGGCAGCAGCGCCTGCGACGAGGTCCACAGCAGTGTTGCCGAGGATAAACTGCCATGGTGCCTTGCCTGCCACCACCTGCTGCGATGACAGGTGTGAGCTGGCGAACAACACAACAAACTCGGAGTCGCGCCTGGCAGCGACTGCGACCCCGACCCATGCCACAAGTCGGCGTCCTCGCCGGCTGGCGACACAAACCAGCGGGCGCACCATCCGTCGGCAACGCCACTGTTGTCGGTGACACAATAGACAAACCCCCGTGACATCTGGATCGCGATGAGCAATGCATACAGCTCGCCCCGCGGCGCACTCTGCCGCGCGCCTGGGAGACCCCCCGGCACCGCTCCTAGAATCGCGAACGGAGCCAAGGAAGCAGCGCAAACCACCGCCAAGCCAACCCGCCTGAAACGGTCGTCGGCGGACTCGGCGCCGCCGCTCGCGTCGGCAAACAGCCGCGGCGGGGCCCGCTCAGCGCCGACCCCGGACGTGCTGTTATCCGAGCTGCTCGCCGCGGCGCCTGACACATGCCGCTCCTCCTGCTCCAGCGGCGGGGTCGCTGCTGTCCACGGGATTGGTAGCAAACCCCGCAACCAGAAGCGCTCCTCGCTCTCGCGCCTGCTGGAGGCACTGCGAATGTTCGTGCGCCAACCGCCCACGCTCTGGGAGCAGCTCGAGATCCTATGAAACATGGTCTCGTCCTGATCGCCGCACCTCGGGCATAGGCGCGATAGCCAGAGCGCCCTTGCCCCCGCGGCGTCGACGCGCCGAGCCCTTGGCCAGCTCCCCCCGGTGACCACCATGCCGAGCACCTCCGCCATGCGGCGGCCCCTCGGCATGCCCTCGAACTGCTGGTATGGCCTGCGCAGCGACATCATGTCCACGCCGTGCTCCACGCCTGCGCCACAGGAATGCCAGCTAGCCTTCCTCCACAATGTGGCCGAAATTGAAGCCCTCATATATCGCGCCAAGCCTGCGGGCGCGTCGACGTCCACGAACCCCGACCAGACCGCGTCGGAAGAGACTGCCGCTCGATGGCATCGCCAGACTCTGCGTTCGGCATCGCCCAACACGGCGCGGATCTAGGATCCCAACCATTGTCAAACAACAAAGACACAATCGCCGAGAGTGGCCCTCCGATATGGCGTGCACGACGATTCGGCGCAACATTCCTGAGGTGGGCGACAACCGCTGGCCACGTGCCGCGCACTCCAGCCCGCAACGACGGCACCTGCTGCCATTTGCGGAACCAAACGCGTATGCACTCCTCGCGCATGCGCAGCGCTGGGCCACCTGGAGCCTTCAGCCCGATGAGCGTCGCGCGACAACTCCCTCGGGCCGTCGACCCCACTGCTGCGCCCAGCCTGTGGCGATACGCTGTGAGCTGCATGCTGAACACGCCGTGGACCTGGTCGGCGTAATAGGACCCTGCTGCCTGAGCCCCAAGCCTCTCCAGCTTGGATGTGGCCCGAGTCCGTCGGCCTGCTGCTTTGTGCCTCCTCACATTCGCGCGCGTCCTACTATACTTCTAAAACCGAGCGCGTCGAGTCGACCTCGCACGCGCCCTGCCGTTGCCCAAATCAGACCCAAGGTATGCTTCCGTACGCTGTGCCTTGACCACAAAACCTGCTCGTCGTAATGCACATGGCACTTTGACTGCATCCCTGAAAAAACGAACATCGCACCTCGCCCTTCCGCGCAACGCGCAACCGAAGCCGAGACAGGCCATCGCGCGCGCCACGCAAGCGTTGGACCAAATCGCGCACCGCAGAAGTACGCGAACCAACCGCCCGCCGCGAAAGATCACCCACCCACGCCCTGCGGCCCATCCTTGGACGAGCCGCGCAAATCTGCTGGAAAATGGAATGCACAACAATGCGGGTAAAGCGGGTCCCGGATCGCAGCCCCTGCACGAGAGATTGGGCAGGGATCAGCGGCAACGTCCAGGCGCCTCTCTGCCCCAACGCGCGCACTGACATACACTGGAGCGCCTCTGGACGTAGTGCAGCCGCTGGAAAGCCCAACTTGACGCCGTCTGGCAGCGGAACCTGCCATTGGATACAATAGCAGAAAGACCCGGTGTCCAGCAGGCCGTGCCCCGACGGCACGCTGGGAACCTGCCCGACCTCCTCCTGTAGCGTCCTGATGACGCCTCTCGTAGCGCTGCCTTCCCCTGCAACGCAGCGCCCCAATGGGCCGCCGTCGCCTCGCTCCAGTCGCCCACCACTGGTTCGCGGATGAGCGACCAGACTCTGGCGAACATCGCGAGCAAGCCTATGATGCGATCGCACCCGCCCGTCTTCGGCAGGGGCCTGCCGAGCACGACCAGCACCTGGTGGGGCCAGACGACCTGATCCTCGCACACCATGTACAGCTGCGCCAGCTCCTCCAACGCCGCTGGCGGCAGCCTCTCAAAGTCAATCGGTGGCGCCTGATCAGCTCCCATCCCTGCTCGAGACGCATGCGACGCGCTGCAGCGCGCACCATCTATACCGTGATATCTGGTAACATCTCCAGCTGAGCCCTTTCCCTTGGCCTGCCGACAACGCTCACGAACCTCATCGGCATCCTCCCTAGTGGGACATCATAACTTGCGCCATTTGCCCGCCTTGTGATCGATGTTGTCCCTGGAGTTAATCAAAGTGGTACCACCCAGCTTCACTTCCATCGCCACCAGCGGGTCCTCCATGATTCCTTTCGTGGGGCTTGCCCAGTGCTGGGGCAGTCCCCCTTCAATTCGCCGAGCTCACGAAGTGGCGATGCAATCGCACGCCGTTGGCACCGACTTGCCACTCTCTCCGCGCCCCCAGCAAAACTGTCGATCTCGCTTTTGTCCGCCAGCTAGGTCTTCTTGAACAAGATCTGCCAGCGCCTCCACGAAGGATCACCTCTAGCCTGCCCCGACACTCGCAGCCCCGTGTGCGCCTGCTCTGGGCAGTATGATTCAACTTCTCCGATTGCTGCCAACAGATATTATCGCTGCTTGCGCCCGTTCTGGCGCTTGGGGCGCCGTCCCAGACGGCAAAGTAGCGCGTGTTCTCTGGCGAGCCATCCTGCTATCAGATCGCGCGATGCTGCTGCGCGGTGTCGGACACAGTGGTGGACGACGCTCTCTTTGAAATTGGGACAGTGCTGCGACTGATCCCAGACGTGTCCTGACAAACGTGGTGCTCCTGCAGCGAGGTTCCCACAGATCGCGCCCGCGAAGAATGCGGCGAGCTGACGGCCTGAGCAGCGCCCTGATTCATAAGCCGAAAGGCTACGGAGAAGAGGACAGCGGTGCGAGGGGCACACTGCACGGCAGAAGTAAATCCCACGTCAACACGACACTTGCTCCAGAACTCCTCTGGCATGTGAAACGCAACGGTTGACTCATTACTTGGTGCTCTCTCGCGGCTTGCTGGGATCGCCGAAGCGGGGGGCGGGGGCTGGGCACTTCAAACTAAACGACCAGGGAGATCGACACCCGCCCTGAGCACACGTCCCATCCGGGAGGACGCAAGAGCTCGACTCGCAGCTAGACGCGGGATCGACCTTCCCTGAATTCCCCCAATTATTCAACTGGGCAGACGCGCGGGCCTCATGCACCTCCGGAAGTGGACGAGTGGCGGCGACAAACTCCGTCTCGTGAGCCCAAAGATCCTCCTCGTCTTGGTAGGGGTCCTCCGCGTGGCTGGGCTCGAGATGCTCCCAGGGCCCCCCGTCGGGATCCGCGTCGAGGTCCTCCGGGCCCCCCACGCTGTGACCATTCTCGTCACACTTGCCTTTTATTTTATCAAGGTCTGAAATACTCATAAAAACACCGTTTGCGAGTCAACTTTATATGTGCTTGTCTCTCCGCTTGTTCCTGCCGCGCCAAGCTGGACTTCGATCAGGGGCAAGGCGCCGACACGTGTCGGGCTGCCTGCGGCAAAAGACGGTCCACCTCGAGGAGCCTCGTGAGAAGCTGCGCCCCTGACGAGCACAACTTGACATGCAACCCAGCATGAGGCTTCCATGGAAAGGACAACGCGCCTGAGACTGAAACGATGTAGCTCCTGGCCGACTGGAAGCAAATCCGATGCTCGATTACGGAGCCCGAGGTGTCCGCGTCGCAGGCGAAAACAAGGTTGTCCGCCTCCACAAGACACGGCCCCCCGATCAGACGGCCCAAAAAACGTGATCGCCGCATGGCGGACGACTTAACGTTCCAGTCGCCGATGACTACGCAGGGAAACTGGAAGGAATTGAACATGGCTCCCAGCCTCTGAAAGCTGCCGACACTGCTGCTGCTAAACTGCATGCTGGGGTGGCCGTAGAAAAAAAAAACTACGATGGCGCAGTAGCCCCGCATGTGGGCGATGACTGCCTGGAACCCGTCGAGCATCGACTGACCTGGCGCCCGCAGTCTCATGGCCGTGGACTTGATGAAGATATTTTGGAGCTGCAGATGTTGCTGTGCAAGAAACCATTCGCCACCTTTACATGCGCGATGTACCATGGCTGCACTGACTTGCTTCTGACTCTGCTTCGATCTCGCATGATTTGCAAACACATGAAGTCATGCCCCTCTGGCCTTCGTACCCCGAAGCTGAAAACTGAGACTCCACAGCGTGAGTCTCGCAAATGCCATAGAATTCGTGGTTCGACTTCCCGATGCACTCCCATGCTTTGTGCGACATCATGGTGACATTCGGGAACTAGAACGAGCACAATGTCCTCCCCTCCTGATCGTCGCGATTAGGTCGAGCACCTCCGTGCTGGCTCCCCCCCCTGACCCCTGCCGGGCCCGGTCGAATGTCGTCGGCGTCGTCGTCTATGGCGGGGCCCCCGTCAGCCGCCGTGATGTTCTTGCCAGCGTGGCTGCCATTGCCCTTGCCCTCGCCCTCGCCCATAGACTTGCCCACCGCCGACTCCTGCTCGTCGCGCTCAGCGCGCTGGGCCGCGAACTTCGCCGCTGACAGCCTGGCCGCGACCTGGTCGAGGCGCTGCTTCTCCGTTTGCTCTGAATCGGCGAGGGCCGCGGCCTCGGCGACGCTGGCGGGCTCGGTCTCCATCGCCGTCGGGGCGGCGTCGGGGGCGGAGCCGCTGCCGCCGCCGGCGCCACCTCCACTGCTGCCGCCTCCATGCGCCGTCTGCTCCTTGACCGACTTCTTTATCTTCTTGGCCAAGCGGTCGCCCACCACTTTGCGCGCCGCGGCGGCCTTGCCCAGCGCGATCTGGACGTCGGCCTCCGCGACGCTCAGAGCGCTCTGGAGCCCCTGCAGTTGAGAGTGGGCGCGCCGCAACTCCGCCCTCTCAGCCTCTTCGCACTCCACCAGCTCGTCGAGCCCCTTGAAGAGCTCTTCGTTCCACGTGGCCTTGAACTTCGGTTGAGCGGCGCCTCCAGCTGCTGAGTCCGCGGCGGTCGCGGCGGAAGAGATGCCCTCCGCGCGCGCCAGCGCCTCTGTGGCAGCCATATTAGCCTTCTCCGCCTTCGCCAGGACCTTGGCAGCCTGGGCCTTATTCCCGACCGCCGTCGCCAAGTTGTCCTGGAGTCGGACCGCGGCAGCAACTGTGCGTGAATGCATATGAGCGGCGTCGCGCCACGCTCCAGCGGCGCGCCTGGCCGCCTCAGCCCCCATGCCAGGGGCGATGGCCTCAGAGGCGTCCGCCCCCTGGAGCTTGACCAGCCCGGCCGAGGCCATGGGTTCGAGGGCCGCCGACTCCGTCTTCGCGGCCACCTGCTGCAATAGCTGATTCAACTCATCCTCCCTGACATGCTTCCCGGCCGTCGACTGGCTGGCGCCCTTGCCATTCGCCGAGGTCTTCGGCGCGAGCGGGCGAACATTGCGAATGCAAAGGAGGCAGCGCGGCCCGTTGGACTGGAGCCGATGGCCCCAATGGAACTCGCGGCAATCCTCGGCCCCCGGCGGCGGCCGTGGCGCCTGAAACTGCGCTCCCTGTCTCTAGTCAACGCCGGCGAGAATCCAACTGGAGCTCTCTGGGCGCGGTCCCCCCAGCATTGCGCGGGGGCGCAGGAGAGCGCCTCTAGGCGGGCCCCCCCGCCCTCGAACCTGAATTGCCTGAGGAATTAGGGGGGGGGGGCTGAGGAATTAGGGGGGGGGGGGCGGGGGGGGGGGGGCGGCCGAGGGGGGCGGCGGAAGGGGGAGAGGACGAGCAGGAGGACGAAGGAAGGAGCATGGAGACGTCATGAGGGGGGGCGATGATGAATGCGCACGCAAGGGAGGGCGCCGCCCTCCTCCTCCTTTTCCTTTTTCTGTCACTCCCCTGTTTCCTCCCGGCTCCCCGCCCGCCCCCCGCCCCGCCAAGCCCCTTTTTTTCTCGCGTCCTGCGCGGCCGCGGGGCCGCGCGCACCTCCCCACACAGCGACCCCTTCCCCCTCCTCTCAGGCGCTCGTCTGCCGCGGCGCGCGGCCAGCACGTGTCTACGATCTCCCTCTCAAGGTGCTTTGCTTCGTCCTTGGTGCAGCGTAGTATGAGCTTGGTGATGCAGGGGGGGGGGGGGGCAGGTGCGTCTGCTCTCTCCGCGCCCGGTGGAATCTGGCGGATATCGAGCCCAGCAGTGCCCGCTGGAGGACGCGGGCCCAGAGTGACCGCGAGCACTGGAACCCGAACGCGGTCTGGAATGCACACTGCGTGGGCGGGATGGGCAGCTGAAGCAGCACGCGGAGAGGATGATGCGTGAGCGAACACATGATTGACACGAATACTCGCGCAGTCGTGTCGCTCAGTTCCGCCGCGTTCACGTATGATACTTGTACGATCACCTCCAACTTGCATGCGCATATCTTGACTTGGGGGCGCGGCAAAGACCGGCTCGTTTCGTTGCAGACTGGCGTTCGTATTAGACCTCGTAAACGACCCTTTCGGCTTCGCCGCGCTGCTCAGATTCATTTGCCACCCGCGCTTCATGTGCGACCTGGTGCATCTGAGCTACGACCCGGCTGCCTCCATGCACTGCTGCTGGTTGCATATGTTCTCCCTTCGCCCGCATGTAGCTCAAACGAATGATCGCGCATAGGGAGATGGTGCCGCAGCTGCCTGCGTGGATGGACCACATGTTCAGCATCTCCCGGGGTGGGCGCCAATTCCCCGCCTGGCCCGATGTGACTTCCATGATCTCGGGCAACGACATGACGGGGTCGCGCGAACACGGGTTAGCGATCCCATGGATTTGGCGCGCGGTCGCCAAATTCATGGATCAGGGGAGGTCCCCTCCCCAAAATGCGGCCCATGCCGCCTCGTTCGGCGGCGGAAATCAGCGATTCCCCATGGAAGCGAGACCCGTCGCTAAGCCGCGCCCCCTTGATCCACGTTCGCGATCGCCTGAGACATCAGGGGTGGTAACCACGTCGGCGTCGTCATAGCACGGCCCCCCCTACGCTTCTCGCTCACCCGCGCACTGCTGCCAGGCCAATGCCGTTGTCCTCGAAGCGGGCCGCGTCCGCGCTAAAAGGGGCCCCTCTCGTCGTCGCCCTTCCAGGACGGGCGCGGAGGTCATCTCGTCGCTGGGCGACCCCCTGCGACAGGCGCTGCTGCCGCGAGGATCTCTCTGAGAAGAAATGGGAGATATCAGACGGCGACCGGCTGCTGCAGAAGGGGCCCGACCGCAAGAAACGTCTCGCAGGGAACACGACCCTGAGACCCCAGGGCGCCCATCGATTTTTGGCATAGGAACGCCGCTCTCCCCGTCGCAAAACCATCGAAACCCAAGAAAAAACAACGCGCATTGGAGGCCGGCGGGGTGTTTATTGGCATGGGTCTCCACTGTGTCCATATTCTATTGGCTGCGATGTGAGGCGCCGCTGTTCAGTCGCAGGGGCGACGCCTCGCGCGCGTGGACTGGGCGGCCCGGCGCGTTCCAGCGATGCGTGAACAACTTCGTTGGGCTCGACTTCCCCGCGCCATTCGCTGGGCAACTGCTCCTCGGGAGCGGGCAATCTGGACCCACGCGAGGAAGCATGGCGACAGGCCGCCCCTGAGAGAGCTGCGTTTGCACAACGAGCTGCTTCGGTGTGGATTTGGACCCCGGAGCAGTGGCCCCAGTAGCAGGTGGGCTTCCAGGAGATAAGTGGCGGGTCGATGCGCCTGGACGCGTCAGGGCAGAGCGCCTCGGACATGTTCCCTGCGCTTGATGGGGCGAAGAAAAAGGGATGAAGCAGACGTCGACTGGATCTTCAACTCCGCCATCGCCCGCGTCGCCCGCGCCCAGGGCGGGCATTCTATGATCGACACTCTGGACGGCGACGCGCGAGACAATGAGGATCCAGATGCGGGGGGCGCTGGCCCCATAGCCTGAGTGCGAAGCCCTTGCCCGATGAGCGCGCCATCCTATGCTTGCCGCCAGCAGCGATATGGCAGCAACAGCTGCAGGCGGCGGGCGAGCGCAACACCTGCACGCCTCGAATCGTCGTTGTTTGCGGTCGTCATCTGCAAGACAGGCAAAGGCTGAAGTCCGACCGAAGTGCTGAGGCCTCCCGCCCAGTCCGTCGCCAAATGTTCCTCTATCGGCCTCCGCCCTCCTGTGCCCTCTGCCCTTCGCGTCCTCCTGTGATGTGTGTGTGTGTCCTCTGTGTTCTCGCATTTCCTCTCCCTCGCGTTCATCCTGCGCTCGCGCGTGCGCGCGTGCGAATGTGCGCGCGCGCGTGCGAGCCGAGGCGTCGCACCTATCACTCTTCGGACTCGTGCCTTTGAGCACTTCGTGTTCGGGGTGTCTTCGTCGGGCCCCTCGGCCCTACTTAAAGTTTTCCATGGCGCCCCCTGATTGGATGACCAGTCGCGGCGGCGTGCCGACCGATAACTCGCTTGCGGGGCCCCTCCCCCGTCCAAGCGCACAGCGGGCGGTTGCAAGTCGCCGAAGGGTGCAGAGTTGACCGGGCGCTGCTGAATTCCGCCGCCACCACCGCCACCGCAACCTCCCCCGCTCTCCACCCTGCCTCCTCCATCTCCCCTATTCTCCCCATCTATCCCTCTCACCCCCCCTCCCGCTTCTTCTGCTCATGCTGCCGCCGCTGCCCGCTCGCCCACCTGCTTCTCTTGCGCGCGCTAGAACAGAGCGCGCTCGCGCGCGTGACGTCGGAACCTTCCACCTCCTCCGCCTCTTCCATCTTCCCCACCTCCCCCTCTTCCTCCTCCTCCTCCTCCGACGGCGACGGCGGCGACGTCGACGACGACGACGACGGCTTCGAAGATGTCTTTGACAGACGCCGCCGGCGACGTGGCGCCAGATCGCGGCGCCCTCGTTTGGAGAGATTCTAGGGCCAACGAACCTTTCCGCCCCCCGAATCCGGAATGGGGGGGGGGGGCGGGGGAATGTCTAGCCGCGTGGTGGACTGCGGTCTGGGCGCGAGCCTTGCAATCAAATGGCGGGGCAACGGAGGCCGCTCTAACTAGAGCGGTCAAGAGGAAGACGGGGGGGGATGGGGGGGGGTGGGGGGGGGCGCGACGAGGAGGAGGAGGGGAAGGGCGAGAGGAGGGCGAGTGCAACGGTGGAGGGAGCGCAGAAGATTCAGAGGGATGGCGCGCAAGAGAGAGGCGGGGGGGGGAAGGGGCAAGGGTTGCACGCGACAGGGGCGCCGGTGTCCATGGGGGCGTCGCCGGCCTCGGCAACCATGGCCAAACGATAATGCGATGCCGACGTTCCATCGCTTGCTACCTGTCGGCGCTGGCCCCCGCCTGCCGCGCCCAGGGCCCACCAGAGCCAGTAAACGTACTCGGGGCACCACGGTGTCAATCAATTACGGTGCATACCTCGACGCGCGTGTACCATTCACTCTGTCGATCCCCCCGCGGGCCCGAGGGGGGCAAAAAGCTTGCCTGGCTCCAGGCGGCCTGCACTGACCCAACCCATGGCCCTACAGGAAGTCACGTCAAACAACAGCAAACTGGGCAGCGCGAGCAACTCAAGAGCCGACTGGGATATCTACTACTGAACTTCGAACGCCTGCCTGCCTGGGGCACTGGGCCTTGCGTTTGCAAGCTTTGTTAACGATGGCCTCGGGCGCGCCCTGTAAAGGCCGGGGCACATCCTTCTGTTTCGCGGGCAACTCAATCGCCCCATCTTCCTGTTGGCCACCACTGAGAGTGAACGACGCGTTGAGATAGGCAGGAGCCGTCGCAACCTTGGAGCCCTCGTTGAATACATTTTCAGAGAGCACAGAGGTCAGAAGGCTGAGCGTCTTTGCGTCATCTCGCATGGCCGTCTCCCCGTGAGCCGCGCCCAGGCTGAGACCGAGGCGGTGCAGCTCCACGAACTTCGCAGAGTGCTTGTCCTTGTTGTTTGCCCACGCTTTGAATTTCGTCATCGCGGCAGCCCTGCCGAACGTCTTGTCGTCCAGGGCGTCGTCGTAGTGCAGTGCGAGCGCCCGAACCTGCTTCGCCGTCGTCTGGACTAGGTCCGCGAGCTCGGCCCAGAGGATTCTCTACGCGCACCCGAGTACCCGCGCGGCGTCATCAGCCCAAGCTTTCGCATGGCTCCAGGTGGCGGCCCACGGCGTGGGCGGATCGCGCCCGTCGCCCGCGGACGCGGCAGCGTTCTCCCCGGAGAGAGTGGACTGGGGCTCTGCGACATCGCGGTTGAGCACCTGCACCATCCTCGCGGTGCCAGCTTTCAGATTGACCTCACTGATCTGTAACGCACCTGTGCCGGGGTACGTCGCCAGCAGGGATGCGAAAAGCTGCGCCGCCTCGTTGAGGCGGACATGCACCTGCAGCATCGCGATGAGAATTGGGAGTGCGAGGCCAATGGCCTTGCCGCCAGCAGCGAGACGAACATCCCTCGGCGCCGGGCAGGCGGGCCGGGGGTCGCAGCCTGCTGCGCCGGCCCCCGCGAGTTCCTTGAACGGCCTGAAGGTCGAAGCCGCGGGGGGCTCAGCCAGGGGGTCGGCGGGGTTAATGACCCGCATGGCCTGGGCCGCGCCTTCATAAACATGGGAAGAGCGAAACAACCCGTCGACGGGCTTCACTGCGTCATCCGCGGGCTCAACTTTGATGGCCGATAAGCCGTGCAGCCCAAGAAGGAGATCCTGGGAGACCTGGGCCCTGCTCGTCGTAGCCCGCTCGACCAGCGCCTTCGCGCGCGGAGTGCGGAGGGCCATGGCGCATGTGGGACTTGCTGCGTCAGCGGGGTCGATGCCGTCAAGGTTTGCGTCGGCGCGCCGCCGTCCAGGATCGCCGGCGAGCCCCGAACTGTGTCCTGCACAGCGCGGCGCAAGATGCTGTTGTCCCCGATGCCGGCCCAGGCGGCGTCCTTCGCGATGCACTCAAGGAGCTCGGCGACCAGGGCGTCCGCCGCGCCCATGGCCAGCGTCGCCCTCTGGGTGCCCCTCGCGACGCTGTCGTCGCTGATGAACGCTTCCGCCAGGCTCTTCAACTGCAGAGCCATCTCGCCCAGGGGCGCGCACTCGTTCCTCACCCCATCGGGGTAGATGTGCCGAGCGAAGGGGTCGAAGGTGGATGCGAGGTCGACGCTGATGACGAGATCGGCGTTGACCGCGTCATCCATGATTGACCGAACGCAAGACTGCGCGTCGGCGCGCAACCCCTCGGCGCGCATCTCGCCCCACATGGGCATGTCCTCCGCGAGATGCCCGGAGGCCTCTTCGAGAGGCCCTGCCACCAAAACGCTCTTCACTGGGCTGGAACCCGTGACCTCGCAAAGCCGACCTTCGCCGAAGTAGCGGGCATGCGCGAGTCAAGGGTCGACCGGCCACTTCTTCGCAAGCTGAAGCTTCGAGTCGCCGATGTTGCCCCGTGCGCTCGCGGCGGAGAACTCGTCGATGGCGCGATCCACGCGGCGCCTCGCGCCCCATGTTCGAGGCGGCAAAGGCGCCCCAGAAGAGTGGCAGAGGCCACCCTTCTGGAACCTACCCCTCGCTCGGGCTGCCTTCGCTGGCGCCGCGGCTGGGGGCGACCGGGCGCCGCGGACCGCCTCGCTGAGCGAGGGGCGCATGGTCGTAGCATCGGACGAGCCACTGTCGCCCGCCGCCTTCCCCCGCGCCTCCAGCGCCGCCGACCTCGCGCCCGCGAGGTCGTCGAGATGCGGCTGGACATCGAACGCGGTCTCACCCGCAGGCTTGGTCAACTTGGCCGAGGTCGCGAAGCCGCTGGGCAAGACCTGCCGCGGCCGGACGTCGAGGGCCAAGCCATGGGGTTCCACGAAGGCGCCCTCCGCGCCAATCCACGCGCGCCCCGCGCCAGCGTCAGTCGACATCGCGAGGCAGCCCCGCGCGCCGACGGGGCCCGCGCCGGCCTGATCCTTCGGCGCCTTTGAGAAGTGACCTTGGAGACGACGAGCTTGGAAGATGCGCGGCCGTCAATGTCTTTGCGCCGAAGAATCTCCTGCGCGCCCAGGGCGCTGTAGATGCTCGAAATCATGGCGCGCTTGCCCCGCGCCATCCTGAACTCGCGGAAGCTGGCAATGCGCGCCGTGATTGTCGGGGCGCGACGTGTCGTCCTCCGCGCCAGTGGTGGGAAGCACATTGCAATGCGTTGCAATGTCCCCATTGATCATGGTGAACGCGCTCTCTTTCAGCAGCGTCGCCCAATCCTCAGCACCAAACTTCCGCAAAGGCAGTTCGGGCATCAACGGGCCCCCCGGCTTTTCGCAGCTGCTTGCTCACCCGAGGTCTGCGTGCTCACCCGAGGTGCTTCCTGGACCTGGCCCACGGGGGCAATAGCCGTGCTCGTTGCTGTTGGGCTCGCCGCCTGCGCGCCGAAACCCTCGAGGAGTTCAATGTCCTCGGCGCGCGTGCAACGGAGCTTCGGATGCAGCGGCGCGTGGCCATCGAGGCACGGCCCATCCATCATCTCCATCGCGTCATGCTCTATGACGGGCGCGCTGGCGGGGGTGGCGCCGCGGGCAGGCTGGCGCCAGCCCGAAAGTTGCCCCCGGCATCGACGTTCACCAAGTGACGAGAGATTTCACCAACGTTGAGCTCGAGTCCCGCACGGTTGGCCACGACGTCTGCCAGAAGGCGCACTTGCGGCGCCGCGCGCGCCCCGAGCCAACCGCGCAAGATCTTCAGCAGGGCGGCGCGCTGCGCCAGAGCAGCATGCGCGGCGTTCTTGCCATCGGACTCCTGCCTCAAGCTGGTGATTGCAATGGGCTCCAGCTGGTGGTGGCGGGCGACGTCGATCTTCTTGAGCTCGTCAACGTACATTGCGAGCGCGCGGTTGTGCGAATGGAGGCTGTGCCGGGCTTTGCAGCAATCCGCGCGCCATTTCCCCCGATCGTTCTGGTCGGACCAACGGCGCGGGTCTCCAGGAAGGCGTTCGCAACCTGGGCACGGGCGCTTCTCAGTCTTTCCAGCTTTCTCGGCCTTCTTCCTGAGGGGTTCGTCGGCCCGGGCGCCAGCGACGTCGGCGGAGGCCCCCGCCGTCGACGACCCGACGCCGCAGGTCAGCGAGTCGCCCAAAGAACAGCCGCTCGCACTGGCACTGCCCGGCGCGGCAATGGGCGCGATCGAGAGCGATGTCAACGACGGCGGAGGACTCGCCGTATCATGTGCCCCATGTCATGATCGAGTCGAGGGCATCAAGCGCGCCCATTACTGTCCTGACCGCGGCAGTCGCCAAGTGTCGCGGGCGCCGACGACTCGCGAGCGACGCGCCGCATGAACCAAAAATGGCTACAGAGGGCTGCCGGCAACGGCCCCGCTGAAACGGACTCCACTGGCAGCAGCGCGCATTTTACCTATGCGTGACCTTTTCCCGCGCAAACGAGCGCGCCCCACGGGTCGGTTGGGCGGGGGGGGATAGTTGAGGGCCCGAGCGCACGCAATGCGCCCCCCAGTGGGGGGCTGGATGATGTAGCCGAAAATTCTGACGATTGATGACCGTCGGTGAATCGCAAACTTGGGTTAGGAAAGGACGGGGCGAGGCAGCGGTCGAGGGCGGTAGAACAGCAAGAGGGGCGCCTCCGCATTCAATTGCGGGGCAGGGGGGGGGGGCTTCTCACAAACGCGCGCCGAAGGCGCGCGAGAGGACCGGGAGTTGAGAACAGTCGGGATGCGAAGGAGAAGGGGCACAGCGCGTTGCACGCGCGCTGGCAGAGGGGGAGGCGAGCGCACGCGCCCTCGCAGAAACGACCTGGAGGCGCGAGGCCTGGCGCGGGGCGGACATCAATAATGGACGAATGCAGGTTCGGACCGTCTGAGTTATACGAAGGCTGGGCCGCGCCGCCCGCCCTGGCGGCGGCGCCGCCCGCGCGGCGAGCCAGCAGCTCTGCCCAGCATGCCCAGAAGGCCTCGCCAAGCCCTCCGGGCGAGGAAAAATCGGCAACTCTCGGGCGCGCGGCCCAAGGCGCGGCCCAAGTCGCAAACAAAAAGAGAGAGGATGGAGAACGGGCCCAAGTCGCTGGAGAGGACCCGCGGCACACGCTGGGTTTTGCGATGGGCGTTGCGTGCCGCGTGCCACCGAGCGTCCACCCACAGGGGCCCTCATTATTTTCCCCGCCCACGCCCTCTTCCGTCTCCTCTTCTGCTCGCACGCGCAGGGGGAAGGCTTCCGCGGCTAGCGGGCGCGCGGGCGCTGATTCCCCCCTCAGATTTTCTGCGCAAGGCCTCCCTCGACTTTCAACCTTCGCCCAAGCGGGGGCCCGCCTGGCCCTCGCCCCCCGCGGCCCCCTGCGCGCGCCCCCTAGGTAGCCCCTGGCGCCCCGCAACAGGGGGGATTTCCGCGCGCGGCAAATGGGCCGGTTCGCCCGCGCCCCCCGAGGGGGGGCGCGCAGAAAATGCAAGGCGTTTTGCTGCAGGGCCACGGGGGGGGAGGGGGGGGCACGGACAAAAAGCGAATGTCCCTGCGGGCCAGGAACGGGCCGCAGAAACAACCAACAAGAAATCCGCGGGGCCAAGGGGGGCGCGCAAACAAAGAAAGCGTTCTCCTGCCAGAAAAAGCGCGCGCCCTTTTTCCGCGCCCACGCCGCGTCGCTCGGGTGCCTCGGGGGCAGCCCCCCCAGGGGGGGGCCGCGCGCGCGTTCTCGCCACGGCGGCCGCGGGGGGGGGGGGGGGGGGGCAGGCGGGGCCGCGCCGAGCGGGGGGGGGCGGTGGGCGACGAGAACTGCACCACGGACGGCGGCAGTGGCGAGCGCCAGCTAAGCTACAGGCAGACCCCCGCCCTTTCTGGGCGCAACGCCCCCTGACGTCCTCAAGCAACGGCGCAGGCGTTGCAGGTGGACCCCCCCTCTTTTGCCGCGCCCCCCCGGCGTCCTCAGGAAACGGCGCGTGCGTCGCAGGCAGACCCCCCCCCCTTTGGGTGCAACGCCCTCCTTGGGAAGATATGGCGAACGTGGGGGGGGGGGGGGGGGTAGATGCCCCATGCAACCGGGCGAGGTTTCGCTGCAGTCTTGGGGTCAGGAAGAGGAGGAGGGGGACAAGGGGGATAGATAGGCACGGCGTGGAAGGCGGAAGAGAAGGCTGAGCAGGAGTGGGAAGCTGACGGGGAGGAGGGACGGGTGATGATGAACTGTCCTTCTGAAACTGCATTGCTGCACTGCTGGTGGCTAGCGAGCTAGGAGGGCGGCTTCGGGCGTCAATCACCCTTGTCCCTGCAGCAACTGCGCAATCGCCAGTGCGAGATCCCTGGGCGCATCACACCATCCTTCTCATCCTCGCCACTCCTCTCTCCTCATCATTCTCTCAAGCAGCGTGCGCCCCTCGCCCACGTGGTCACCCGGGGCACTCTGGCGTTGATGCGCGCGCAAGCTTAATCCACGTGGCGCAGTGAAAGCTTGAATTACCAGCCGCCGCCCAAACCATCACACTCCTCACTGAAAACATCATCCCACGCGAACCTGCGCTCCACGGCGAGAGCTCGCTTTTCTGCTTGCTGCGATAACTTCGCGATCTGGAATCTTGCCAGACAGGAGCCACCTTAACAAAATGGTGTCGGACACCAGCCTCAGTGGCTTCGCGATGGGACGCGCAAGGTGGAGTTTGCACGACGTCGAGCATGATCTGAGCATTAATGGCTTCGGCTTCGGCCAGGCCGCGAGCCTGCCAACGATGGGCGCACTGCCCCAAGCCCCGACAGGGCAGCGTGCATCCCCATGCGCTGATACAGTAGCTGCATCAACTGCTGCGAGCTCAGACGGCACCGCTGGCTCAACAGGATTATTCCTTGTGCGCGGACGTGGAGGCGGGACCTCGGCGACGGGCGCCCCTGGCGGGTCGCCAGCTCCGACCCCCGCAGACCCCGCCGCGCCTGTTGCGCCGTCGTCGCCAGCAGGCTGCCCAGCAGCGCGATGCCCATTAAGACCCTCCTGATCATCTGGCTGTTCTTGCACCTCTTCAGGCCTATCGCCCAACTCATCATCATGTCTCCTCCAACATGCACGCCGCGGTGCTCGGGGCAGGGCAGACCGAGGCCGAACCATAACCCGCGGCCGTCGGCCCTTGTCCGATGGTGGACATGGGCGCCGCGGTTGCCTCCGACGCGGAATCGGCGAATGGGTTGCCCGGATCGAAGATGGACGGGGAAACTCTGCAACCCACTGGCTCTTTCAAAGGAGGCGCAGAGCCGGGGCCATCCCCAACCGCGCGCATATCGAGCAAACAATCGATACCTGGCAACACCCATTCTAGCACTCGGCAAGACCACTCCGCGGCATTGGCGATGTCAATGCACTCCTTCGCCACCTCGTCCGGCGTGAACAACTTGAGACAGCGCCACTTCCGCGATGCGCCCATGCGAGGGTAAGCAACGCACATCTTCACATCAAAAGGCGCATCAGCAAATACGCGCAATGCACATGCTGTCCGCTCCGCGCCCACACGGTGGCACGGCGCAAAATACGGCGCCCCCGGCTGCCATCGACAGTCCGACGCCACCATTATGCGATCAACAGGTGGCATGGGCGGCCCGCGGCAACCGACGGGGACATCCCTACCCTGCAACGCAACCGCACCAACTGGTTGGCGCTTATGGCGTCGCCCTTGAAGTGCCCCGCGAGCCCCCTGACCCTGGCCGAGGGCGCCTCGAGCTCAACCCTCGCTTCAGAGGTCATGCCGCGCAGTCTGCAAACGTCCTTCTTCAGGACCCAGCAACCGCGTGCATGTGGGTATGGGGCAAGCTGGTCACGCGAACAAGTGCAAGGATTCACTCCGTCCGAACGAACTTCAACGTCAAAGTCATCGCGCGCCCTGTCGTGGCAAGGTGGCCCTCTCCATGCATGCCTGCTGCAACGGGCCTGCTCGGCGGGGCGATGAAACCCGCAGCGCCCGCCGCGCCCCAGCGGGGCCTGAACTTCCCCCTTTCCGCGCCATCGGCCCCCGTCGCCGAGGCCGGGGCCGCGGCGCTCTCTCGGCGGCGGCGGCGGCCGCCACCAGCGCTGGAAAGTAGCCCCCATGCGTTGCGCCCCTCGTCGCACAGTGCACCCCGTTCTGCCTGGGCCAGCGTCGCGACGCGCGCCTGGCCGCCCATGTCGAGCGCCCGCCCTGGCGCGCGCATCGCTTTGTGCAAAGTCTCCTTCGCGTTGCGCAGCCTCAAGTGCGGGTTGCCTTTTGCAGCGCCGCTGCCGCGGATGGCGGGCTGCCCCGTGCTCGGCGCGCGCGGCGATCCGGCCCTCGACGCCGCCGCCGACATCTGCGACGGGCGCCGCCCCCTCGCCCCTGCGGCGCTCGCCGAGCCAGACGATCTTCTCGACGCGGACAGCCTGGGCGCCGCCGCGCTCGACGCGCGCGCGTGGCTGAGCGGCGCAGAATCCGATTGCATGCCAGAGCGCAACTCCTCGCCGACGTCGGAGACAGGGCCGCTCGCCGAAGTCGAGCGCGGGCGCGTTCGACAGAGCCGACGCTGATCCTCGAATGCTCCGACGCGCTCTTGACTAAGGAAACGCCGCGGCGCTGCCGGTCGGAGGGGTCGTTGAATTTGGATCGCCACTGCCGGCCCCTCCAAGGCGCGCGCTCGAGGTCCTCGTCGAAGCAGGCGGCGCGCGCCGAGCGGCCTTCCTCGGCGGCGCCGTCGTTGCAGATGTGGGCCAGGGGGGAATGGGGGTCGGCGCAATGCGCGATCCACGACGCCGAACAGGCCACTGAGCAAATGCAGCAGCTGCCTCCTCGCGCGAAGCCCCGCGCCGACGCCGCCGAAATCGCAGCGCGCGAGCCCCGCCAACTTCGGCGCCAGGTTCCCGACCGAGAACTCGGCGAGTCCCGACGTCCGCGACCGCCCCCGCGAAAGCGAAGAGAATGCTGATCACGGCAGCAACAACGACATCCACCGATTCGGCTCGCGACCGACAGCATGGGCCGCCGACTTCGCAGAGCATCGCGGTCGCCTCCTGGGACACCGCCGCTGCGCAGAAGTAGTGGACCAGTCGGCCGCGACTCGGGCCGCGGTCTTGAGATGAGTCCACCGCGCTCAAGAAGTCTCTGATGTACTGTGGCAATGGCTTCGCGATCTTTACGCCGCCCTTGAAGACTCTGTGCGCGTGAGTACCCTCTTCGCCCGCAGCCTCAGCCCCGTTCCCCGCGGCCCCGAACAAATGCTTGATGGCGCGGTCAGCCCGGTCGACTCGGGACGCTGGGCGCAGGCAACGCCTCGCGCCCAAATTGCATTGGGCATTCTTCTCGACCTCCACCTGCAAATCCTTCTTGAACGTGCCGTCCCGAAGCAGCTTGGCAAAACTCCCGGCGTGAGTGCCCTTGAGCTTTGCCTCGTTGCACCTTGTCTTTGAAATGCAACCCATGAACCTTGCAGCGCTCGCAATGCACATGCAGCCTTGGGATTGCCATCTGTTCGAGCACGTAGAACAACTGAAACACGAATATATCGTTACTTGGCGCCCTGTCCATGCACAACGCGATGACGAACGAATCTGCGTTGTTACAAAGGCAGCGAAGGTGTTTTACATTGCTAAATGGGGAGGTAAAAACACATGCAGAAGCCTGCGAAGAGATTGGGGGCACTGATTTGCCAAATCCTCAGCGCAGGTATCCAACGCGGGCTCACTATCGCTGATGACGAGCCATTATCGACCTGCACACAAACAGCACACCACGCGACTTGGTTCATCACCTGTGTGATGGACTGCTCGCGGTTGCTCAGGATATTTCGGCAGAGGGTGTCTGCTCAATTTCGCATTCGCACTGTACTTTGTGAAGCTTCGTCCCACTGGCTAGCGTACACATGGGTGCTCTCTGTGAACAAAGGTTGGCGCTGTGTAAGACGCGCACGTGATAGTATGCCCTGGCCGAACCGATATATATATATATATATATACACACACATATATATATATATATATATATATATATATATATATATATGCATAGAAAAAGTGATCTCGGACGTCGCAGACTGGAAATACTTGGCCACCCCATCGCTCACAATCTCCCGCAGCGCTGTAGCTGACTGGCACGCGACGGCAGCCTAGTGCGCACGGTGGCCTTTCGGCGTAGGCCGACATGCGAGCTGGAAACAACAGACAACAAATGGCCTCCTGTTTTGGCGTCAAGTTGTAAGACGTGGGCATGCGGATAATTCCGACAACGGCGTGGTGGCGTGGACAGCCGTCTACGCGCCGCGCCGGCGCTACACCTCCCTCACTGCTGTTGCTTTTCGTTCTGCGGCATTCATCTTGTTCACCTGAACCATGTGCACGCACGGCCCCCGATATGTATGCATGCGCATGCCGTCGTGTGATATATCCTGCTGCCACTAGGTGCTGGAAGTCGTCCAACTCCTCGTCATGTCGGTCGTCTCTGATGCACATGGGCGGGTCGTGAGATGTCTCTGGGCTGGCCCCTGGATTTGCAATTGCCATGATACCCAGGAGGTCGTCCATTGCAGCAGATCGGGTGGCACGAACAGGACACAAGCAGCGACGCGAGAGCCAGCCAACATAGCCACGGGCGGAATCTGCGCGAGTCTGTTTACAACGGGTATCGGTCCTGTGCGCCCCCGCCCCCGACTGAATTGTTGCTTGAATGGGGTTCGAATCAGATGGCCCAAGCTGTGTGACTGCCCCTATCGAAACACGATTCGTGCACACACAAGGGCTCGGGGCCCCAGCCCCGCCTGCCGAAACAAGGTCAGGAGAGAGGGGGTCGGGTTAGGGATATCATATGATGAGCCAGATTGGTTGGGAACGCGGCGGTGAGGGAGGACGGGGGAAAGAGGGTAGGATATCCTCATTGCGTTGTGGGGGGAAGTGTGGAGAACGTGTTTTTTTGGGGGGGGGCGTTGTCCTCTGGTCCTTTTTGAAGGAAGCTTGTAGGGACCGTCCCGTCGTACAACGACGGCGGACGCTTGGCCGCCCACCAGATTATGTTGATCGTCCCTCTCCTCCTCCTTGCCCTCCTTATCCTCAGCGTCCTCTTCCGCCTCTTCTCTCCCCCGCACGTCTCCACAGAGAAACGCCGCTCGACGAGTACGCACGTTGTCGACCCCAGCACGCCTTCCCCATACCATGTTTATTATATTGCACAGCTGTGCTCTCGAGCTCGGATATATTTATTTTCGTCGTGGTTCGTGGTTCGTGGCGGTTCGTCCCCCTCGGCCCCTCCCCTGAGCCTGAGCCCCAGCTCCCCTGGGCCACCCACCCTTCGGAGGCTTGCTCCGTCCAGGCGTCCCAAGGCAGCCCCCCTGGGCCGCGGACATCCTTATTTTCGTCGTGATTCGTGGTTCGTCGTGGTTCGCCCCCCCCGGCCCCTCTCCTGAGCCTGAGCCCCAGTTCCCCTGGGCCACCCACCCTTGGGAGTCTTCCTCCGTCCAGGCTTCCCAGGGCAGCCCCCCTGGGCCGCGGAACCCTTTATTTGGTCGTGGTTTGTGGTGATTCGTCCTTCTGCTCCCCCTCCCCCCCCGGGCTGCGGACATCTTTATTTTCGCCGTGGTTCGTGGTTCGTCGTGGTTCGTCGTGGTTCGTCCCCCTCGGCCCCTCCCCTGAGCCTGAGCCCCAGCTCCCCTGGGCCACCCCCTCTTGGGAGCCGTCCTCCGTCCAGGCTTCCCAGGGCAGCCCCCCTGGGCCTCGGAATCCTTTCTCTTTGGTAGTGGTTTATGGTGGTTCGTCCCTCCTTTGTGCAAGAGCCAGGGCAGGCGTGCCACTTGTTCTGCGTCGCACCCCCCCCCCCGCGTCCCCAGCGCCAGAGTGGGACCCCCGCGCCGTGGCTGTCTGCCCCGAGCCCCCCCGCGTCCCCAGCGTCCCAGCGGGAGCCCCGCCCACTGCCCCTTCCGCCACGAATGCTTTATTCCGCGTCGCGACGCACACAACCTCCCCCACCTCCCTCCCCGCGTCCCCAATGCCACAATGGGGGCTCCGCCCCGTGCCCCCTCCGCCCCGACATTGTTATTCCGCGTCGCGACGCACACCACCTCCCCCCCTCCCCCTCCCGTCCTCAGCGCCCCAGTTGGACCCCCGCCCCGTGGCCCTCTGCCCCAAGCCCCGCCCAGTGCCCCCTCCGCCCCGACCATTTTAATCCGCGTCGCGACGCACACCACCTCCCCCCCTCCTCTCCGCGCCCCCAGCGCCCCAGTGGGACCTCCACCCCGTGCCCCCTCCGCTCCGAGCACCTTATTCCGCGTCGCGACGCACACCATCTGCCCCCCCCCCCCCCCCCCTCCCGACCTGGGATTTGGGCCCCGTTGCTGGCTCTCCCCCCCTCCTCCTCCACCTCCTCCTCCTCCTCCTCCTCCTCCTCCTCCTCCTCCTCCTCCTCCTCCTCCTCCTCCCCCTTCCTCTTTGTGCAAGAGCCATGGCACATTAAGGCTCCTCCAGCACGGGCCAGGATCTGTCCAAGTCGTCTTCGGCCAGCGACGTGCCCGTGCGCGACGACCGGCGGCTGCGCGTCACAGCGCTGCGGTAGCCAGCCCACTGCGCCATGCCGGGGGGCTGCTCCTCTTCGGGCGGGCCTTCGGGAGGGAGGAGGCGGGGAGGGGGTGGAGGAGGAGGAGGAGGGGGAAGAGGAGGAGGAGAGGAGGAGGAGGAGGAGGGAGGAGGAGGAGGAGAGGAGGAGAGGAGGAGGAGGAGGAGGAGGAGGAGGAGGAGGAGGGGGAGGACATGGAGGAGGAGCAGGAGGAGGAGGAGGAGGAGGAGGAAGGGGGGGGGGGGCGGGAGGGCCTAGCCATCGCTCGGACGTCCGTGTCCCGTGTAGTTTTCGATGTCGAGAACATTACCCGCGCATTGTTCTTCGATGTCTGGATTTCTTGAATCGTCAAAGTGCCCCCGTGACCATTTTCCGCGTGTATGTTTCGAGAAGGATCCGCAATATCCTCCTCAAGGGTCCTCGCCGAGAAACAAAGAATGCCCCCCGAGCGATGCCGAGGACGGCAGGGCGGGGGAGAGGGGGAGAGAGGGGTGGGGAGGCAAAGCATGCGGGGATGCTGGGCGGGAAGAAGGAAGAAAAACAGCGTACGTAGGCTCTTCTTTCTCCTCCTCCTCCTCCTCCTCCTCCTCCTCCTCCTCCTCCTTCTGCTCCTCCCCCTCGTCCCCCTCCTCCTCCTCCTCCTCCTTCTCCTCCTCCTCCTCCTCCTCCTCCTCCTCCTTCTCCTCCTCCTCCTCCTCCCCCTCCTCCTCCCGCTCCTCCTCGTCCTCCCCCTCCTCCTCCTCCTCCTCCTCCTCCTCCTCCGCCTCCTCCTCCTCCTCCTCCTCCTCCTCCTCCTCGGACGTCCGTGTCTTCTTAGATAAGAAATGGAGAACTAATAGGAGGAGGAGTGGGAGCAGGGCGGCGACGAGGAAAGAGCGGGCCCTCGAGGAGGAGAGGGTGTGGGGGGGGATTGCGGGAGGAGGGGTGAAACGGGAAGGGGGGAGGGAGGAAGAGGAGCAGTAAGGAGGAAGAAATCACATACTCTTTGCCCTCGCGGGCTCTCAACTTGTTCCGTTTCTCTCTGCACCTCCTGTGCTGCTTATGTCGTCACCCAGGCGGTTCTACTGTTTTTTGTTATGCCACCATGTGCCGCATGAGCGCTACAGCTCTGTTGCTCAGCTAAAAAGAGGAGGAGGAACAGGAAGAGGGAGAAAGGGAGCAATGGGAGCAATGCAGAGAGCGTGCAAGTGAATCACGAGCACACCTCGAACTACGGAAAACGGAAACCGACCACTTTGGGACGAAAGTGGTCGGTTTTGTGCTGAGAGAAGAAAAGGAAGGCGCAAACCACCCCCATTTACGCATTGAGCTCGGGCTCCTGCGGGGGGGCCGCAGGGACCTCGAGCTCGGAGAAGACGAGCGGGCCGAGGGGCATGCCCGTCTTGGGGTGCAGGCCCCGACGGACCTGCTCGAGCATCGCCGTGATGGCCCCGTCCCCCCCACTCCCCGCCCCCGCCGACCCCGTCCCCGACCTCTTGCACGTGCGAGACAGGCCGGCCGACAGCCTATTGGGGCGCACCGTGTGCGCCCCGCACTTCCCACAAATCAGCACACGATCTAGGGCCTGGACCTGGTGTCCTGGCCCGACCTCCTGGGGATCGCAAGCCCTGGGCGCCAGCGACTTCAGCGACGAGGTAGTCGAGGCCTGCCGCCAGCAGGTTCGACCACGAATCGCGCCGCCCGAGAAGGCCACGAAATCGTGATCGGTCGGTCGCCGAGGCCGTCGGGGCCGAATCGCGGCCTTCGGAGGCGCTCGGAGGAACGGGGTGGAGAGGCGGGCCACACGCTCGGCCGCCCAGGCCAGACACCGCATCGTGTCCTGGGCCCGAAGCAGAGAAAATCTGCGGACCTTGACCACGGGGGTGGACCCAAGGAAATCGGCCGCAGCAATCTTGGCGAAAACATCCGCCCACATGTTTCCGAAAAAATCTCAATGGGCTCCTGGGGCGCCACGCAAGCATCAAACCCCTCAAGGACCGCGCGGTGGGCCTTCGCCCAGACAAAACAGACAAACGCAGGACTGACAGGGTCGTTCCTATACAGCTCATGCATGCTCCGCCAGATGGCCGCGCGAGGCGCCCTGGCAGACGCACGACGCCGCTCCCAGGCATTCCCCTCGACCTGCAGCTGCAAATGATCGGTTACGTGCGTGATGGGCCTTTGGGCCCTTTGCAGGGCCTTGAAACCAGCCGCCCGCCCGGCCCTGGGCACCGCCTGGATGGGGCCCCCGACGCTCCCGAACACAGCTTTGCACGGCCACAGGTCGGGAGTCAAGGCCACGACGGCCCACCCGCGGCGCCTCTCCTCAGGGAAATCATGTTCAAGACCCGATCCGTCACCGTGCAGCTTCGACGGCCACGGCAATCCGACCGCTCCCCACTCGCGCTCGGGCTGAGCGCGCGCAGGCAGAGGCCCGAAGGCAGGCCTCAGAGGCAGCGCGTAGAGCACGTCCAAGGCCGAGAAATCCTGCGCCTGGCCCCCGTCCTGCCACGGGGCTGCCTCCAGGGGGTCCTTCCTCATCCTGGCTACGTTCTCAGGGTACGGCTCCGTCTCCTCATGCTCCTGCTGCTGGTGCAAGACCTTGCGCCCGAAGAGCTCGCGCGCCAGGTCCGCGCTGGCGTCGCCGCAGAACTCGCGCGTGCTGTCGTCCGCGTAGCCCGCCGCCCTGCGGCGCACTGGAGACCAAAAGACGTTGGACTGCAGCTTGGCCAGGGCCCCTGAGTGGCCAGGCGCCAAGGGGGCGTGGCCCTGACGAAGCCCACGTAGCCACGCGTGCTGCCGCCTGCCTTCGCCATCGGCGGGAGGCGCCTCAGGGAGCTGGTCGAGGATGCGGTTGCTCTGCCAGCGGCCCAGGCTGCGATGCAGGAAGAACAGCACCTCGCTCGGGCTATTCTGCAGCAAGCTGATGTGCAATCCCTCGCCGTCGACCAGGATGGTAGAGCTCGCCATGTTCCAGTTGACCCTCCTGAGCGTTAGCAACGGCGCCGACGGCGGGCCCTGCGCACTGGCCCAGGTGACGCGAGTGTCACGGTCATCCTAAGCATCTCGCAGGCTCATCCAGGCCCGCTGCAGACGGGAGAGCGCCACGCGCCCGTCCCAGACCCACGCCGCGCCACAACACTGCAGGCGGCGTAAAAAATATGGTCGAAGTTCCACTTCTGGGCCGCCAGGTACAGCGTCAGGGATCCCGACCCCCCGTAGCCGCTGAAGACGCCAGCCATGTTCCTCATCATCTGCTGCAGCTCCGCGTCGCTGATGCCGCCGACCGTGGCGCCATGCCCCACTGAGGGCAGGGCGCCCGTGGCCCACAGACGAGCCGCACGCTGTCGCCCAGCGCCACGCTGCAACGCACGCACACTGGCCTTCTTGCCATGCATCAGCTCCACAGGGTCCTTCTGCACGGCTCTGGTGGCCGCTGCCCCTGACAGATCATGCCCAAGGTGCCGCGCGTGCCGCTTGCCAGTGATCTTCAGCAGACTGGCGTACTTCCTGAAGTGGTAGCTGGTGCGCCTGGAGGTCGTGAGGTGACCCGACTTGCCCATCTGCAGCGCAAGTCCCAGGGGCCAGGCAGCCCTGCAGAAAGCACGGGTAGCAATCGCCATCTCACGAACTCCACGTGGATCGCTGCCAACCCAGCACAACGCCACATCGTCCACCAAGTCCCCAGGTTGGACCTGAGGGGCGACCGACATCGCCTGGCGAGTACTTCTAGGCAGCAACACCATCAACATAGTCGTAGCGTGGGTGCAACCCGCCAAGATGCCCTGACAGGCCTTACGCGCCACAGAGTACGACGAACACGAATACACAGAACGTAGCTGCTGGTACATCTGCACAAGCATGAAGGCCATTCGCATGGGATATCCACTGGCCCTGCACTCCAACAGGATGGCCTCGTGCCTGACCAGCTCGTAGCACTTGAGCATGTCCAGCAGCACTATGATGGCATTGTCACCGCACAGGGATGCCATCTCCTTGGTGAGGGCCAAGTCAAAGGCCGCGTCACTCGACGACTTGCCACCAGTGTGGCACCATGGCACCACACCTCGGGCAATGCATGGGCCTGCCCCCATGCTGCCGAGACAGGCCTGACCCGCCCCCAAATCCTGACCAGCGTGTTCATCAGCACGACCAGGTGCCCCCCACCACTCGGCTTAGGGAGCCGCGCGAGTTTTGAGATATGTCTCCCGTCCGGCCACGCCAGGAGAGACTCGCGCTGCTCGAAGAGGCGCGCCATGGCCGTCAGCGCCCCGAAGGAGAGGTGTTACATGGCCCGGGGCGCGATGTTGATCTGCCCAACGCCTGTCTGCCAAGAGAAACAACGAAAGGCCTCGAGCACGCTATCAGCCCCAAGCCGTGGTAGCTGCCCCCAGGTATCAGCATCCGCAGGTCGGCGGACCACGCCGTCGCCATGCCGCGCCCAGAAACTGCCCCAGAACTCCAGCTTGCGGTCGGCCAGCACGCGCCCGCGCTGCAGCCCATTGCCCCCGTCCACAATCTCCTGGAGCGCCCTCGGCTTCAGGAGGCGGCGCGCTCCCTTTGCACCAGACGCGAAAGCCGTCTGCGCCCGCTGCGTCCAGCTCAGCGCCGCCGCCTTCTCGTGCCTGGCCTCCGCAGCTTGGGGAACGCTGCGGACGCGGTCGGCCTGCCGCTCGAAGTCGCCCTGCGCCATGGCCAGCAAGCCGCGCGAGAAGAAGCCGACAGCCTCGGAGTCGAGGTGCGGCCAGACGCCCTTCCTGCGCCAGATCCCCAAGAAAAAGTTCTCGCACTCCAGCAAGTGGCTCGCCGCCTTGGCGCGCAAATTGGCCCACGAGAGCCCCTTGCCTGCAACCCGTGAGGACTGGCGTTGCTCGTATCCAGCCTGCGAACCAAGCCTGGGCACGAAACCATGCAACGCAACTCGCACTCGGCGCAGGTGGCGGGCCCGGCGCGCTGCCAGCGCCCACGCCTGGTTGGTAGCTGACCTCCCGCCCCAAGCACCCTTCACCACAGGCTGGAAGCTCACCAGCTCGAAGGGCGGGGGCCCTAGCACCGTGGAAAAACCCGCTGCCTCGTTCACGAGGTCGCAGCGGCCCTGCAGCTCGTTCTCAATGCCACTCAGCACGACGTCCCAGGCTCGGGCGATGCCCTCGCTGCCAGTCGCGCACGGGATGGCCACCATGATCGGATCCCAATCAGAGGGAGGCCTCGCGCACCCAGGTGCAGGCGGCCTGCGAATGCCACGAGGCTCGGCAAGCCTCCTGACCTTAGCATCAAAGGCCTTCGCGGTGAACTCCATGGTCACGGGCAGGCGCGGCCACGTCTCCGCGCCCACCACCACAGGTGGCCGAAGGCGAGGTAGAAGACGGCAGGAAACCATGAACATGTCAATGGTGCGGCCAGGAAGGCTCTGCACGCATGTGGGCTCCCTCGGCGCCAGCACCGCCCCGTTGGCCGACTGCGGCCAGGACAACGAGCCCAGCTTGCCCACCTCCATGTTGAAGTCGCCACCGACGACCCAAGGGGCGCCCATCGCCTCCAGCGACCTGACGTACTGGTACAGCTTGTACAACATGGCCAGGTTCTCGGGCGAGAGCTGCGCGTCCACGATGAAATAGCACGACAACATGACGGAGCCGCCCTTCACACCCGCGTGGATGTGGGCCGCCATCATCCGGCCCTCCTCGAGCACGTGGCTGTCGAGGCCAGGCGGTTTGGTCACGACCGCGCGCAGCGGGGCCAACACCGCCACGCCGCCTTTGCTGCCTACACCTTGCCCTGGCAACGCGGGTTCCCATACTCCATGGTACCCTGATGCTCTGACCTTATTCTGCAGACGCGCCAGGGCGCCTCCTCAACCTTAGCATGATGCTCCTGCACGGCAATGCGCAAACTGGAGCATGTGGGCAGGAAGCCGACGAGCGGGCCACCCGAAGACACATTCACTGTAGTGATACTTGAAAACGACGCCGTGGTTCCAGTAACAAAGAACAAACAACAAGCAAGACACCGACCAAGCAAGCTAGGCAGGGCTGATCCTTGGCTTCTTGACCTTAGCACCCCAACGCATGATGATTTCCTCCAGCCTGTGTTTCTCGCCACCTGCCGCGACGACCTCTTCCATGAACTCAACATCTTCAGAAAACGCTGCTGACTGTGGTGTACTGGGGGCTGGCACAGGCTGCGGCTGCTGAGGCTGCTCCTCCTGCGACTTTGCCTCTGCCTCAGCCGCCGCCTGCTCTTTCTGGGCAGCCAGCCTCGCGTTCTCCTCCTGCTGCAACCTCCGCAACTCCTGGAAGCTGGCCGTGAGGCTGCCCGCCAGCTGGCGCTCGGCGCCCAGGCTCTGGAGGAGGACGCCGGGGCCTTCCAACGTGGCCCCCACGCCTTTGATCGGCTCATCAAGCGCCGCCTTCTCACCTGGAGTCGTTACTTGCCCTTGTAGCTTCTTGCGCTCCTGGTCCAGCTCCTCCATGCTAGCGTCGATTGCCGCCAGCTTGTCACGAGTGAACCGCTCCTTCTCCTGTAAAACACGAATCTGCGACTGCAGGCTGTCCACCTTGTGCTGCTGGTCGTCCCGCAACCGTTGATGCTTGGTGAACTGGGCCCCCATCTCCCGCAATATCTGCCCCAGTGGCCGCGACGCCGCCACCTTGGCCCGAAGCTCGGCCTGCTCAGCCAGCAGCTGTTTGCGGGTGGCCACGACCGATGGCTCCGAGATGCCCCTGAGCTTGCTGATGAGTTCGTCCACCTCGCGCAACCTGTCCTTGGCGACAGAGTCGGAGTCGTCCCCGTCCGCCGAGGGCTCCATCTGCACGTCTTCCCCGCCAGGCGGCTGCTTCTGCACCGCTGCCAGCCGCTTGTTGGCCGCAGCGAGCTCGGCCTTGAGCTAGGCCACCTTGACGGAGTCTGACCAGTAGTCGTAGCCACCACCGCCCTGGCCGCCCTTCTTCCTCTGGGAGGGTGTGGTCGGCTTGCGCACTCCATCGAAGACCAACCCCTTGCCGAGTTTGCACTTCGCGCACTGCCTCGCGTCTGCGTGGTTCCACCAGGGCCTCCCAGCGGGCCCGCAGCAGCTCTTGCAGAACCATGGCAGCGCCTGCTCCGAGCGGTAGTGCGGCGGAGGCATGAGAGGGACGCGCCAAGGCAGGGCGGGCCCTCTCGACTCTCGCTCTGGGGCTGACTAGGGAAAAGTTTGAAGACTGGCCGCGGACTAGCGGTATACACGTGTTCCGCTGTTGAACAAAGCATCTTCAGCCTAAATGGCTACGGAGGAAAAGGGAGAAAGGATAATGAAGGAAGGCGGAGGAGGAGGGAAGCGAAGGGGGACATCGAATTGGATCTGGATTCGGCGCTGGTCGACGCAAGACCAGACCGGAGAATGGCATAGGCGCGTCTAGCACCTGCGCCTCGCCTTTGGCGGTGGCTGGGGTGTAATATGCCATTCGTTGAAAACGTCGGTGCCAATGACACCGCATACATAACAACCGTGTAGGCACCAGATGTCGACCGTGGCAGATTGTTCTCGTAACGCTCCTGCAGCACGAATCTGGAACAGGGGGGGAGGGGGCGCATAACATGTGCAATTAGTTATCAAGGCAGAGCTTATCGAGCAGCTTCGCGTCGCCTTTGGCGGGGCCAGGGCGCATTATGTGAATCATGCGCTGCCAATAGTTTGGTTGTGTGCGTTTGATGTACAACCGCACGTTCTTGACGCAGGCCCTGGGCTCGCTGGCCTTGGCTTAGCCGAGCGCACGGGCTGCATTTGAGACCGAGCTGTAGACATCAGGTCAGGCGATCTGGATCCTAGGCGAACGTTGGTTTGCAGCAGCTGCGCTAAAATGTAATGCTGGCCAGTGCAAGCCTCAGTTCAAGAGGGCCCATCATATTAGCAACGTGGATAGCATACGGTGCAGCTCGAGACGTTTAGAATTACAAACGTCCGCCTGTGAAGGCCGTGCCCCACAGGCTACCTGAAGCCGCGCCCTCAGGGACTTGGGTGACTGTGGGACCTGGCATGAGGCGACCATCGGCCGAGAAGCTGGGCGGGCGCGGCTGCGGCTGAGAAAGGGGCGGTGGGAGGGAAGGGGGGGACAGAGGAGGAAGAGAAACCTCCCTCAGCCGAATTGGCCCGTCCCCTGGCGCTATGCCGAGCCTGGCCTATACTGGCCCGAACTATCGTCGCAATACCTTAGCTGTAGACAGACCTGCCTGCCCTCCTGGGGCCCGCTCTATGATCTTGAGCGCCGCCTCCGTTCCAATTGCGGGGTTTTGGCGAGGCAAGGGAACATTCTAGGGCTCTAGCGACGAAGTTGAAATACGTGTTCTAAGCTGTAGCCATGTTTGCCTGCGCATTCAGCTCGCCATTGAAGGGTGGGAGTGCGAATCGTCTCCTATCTTGGCTGGGGAAAAATAGGACGACGGGACGGGGAGGGGTGAGGAGCGGGAGGAGATGAGCGCAACCAAATAGAGCGGGGAGGAGGGGGGAAGAAGGGATGGGAGGAGGATGGGAGGGGTGTAAGAGGGGGATGAGGATGACGACCTCCAGGAACTTCTGACGGTCGCGGCGATGATGGCACCGCGCCCACCTCTTTGAACTGATCTGGGTCCTGCCCTTGTCCAACGTGGTTGCAGAGCTTCTGCGTGACCGCACTCTGCGTGTTCTTGGGCGAAGCGACATCGAAGATCCCGCAGAACTCCGAAACCTCGCCCTTTCTCCTGGTAGCCCGCGCGAGGACTACGCCACACATCCCACCAACACAGATGACCCCCAGAACAAACATCAAAACAATGGCGACGTTGACGGTCTCCTCTTCGTCTTCTTTGTGCGACAAGGTGGTGCTGCCCAACGCGGTGGTGGTGATCGCCTGTATGACGCCGATTGCACCAGTCTGGACTGTCACGATGCCAGGCACGGCCTGCACGGCCTGCAACACCGCGTCGGCGAGAGAGTCGAATGAGCCCAAGTTGTCGGCTACTGTGGCCGCAGAAATTGTATCCGGAATTGTGACAAGGGCCGAGACGATCACGGAGCCGTCGTACACTGTCACATGCACATCGCTAGACGCGATGCCTTGGCCTGCTTGCGCTGCAACTGCCTCCGCGCACGCCAGCTTGAACGACTCCATGATGGACGAATTGGCCAGCAACGAGTCGTAGTCCACGTTCTGCACCAACATTGCAACAGTCTGGGTATGGGCAGTGTTACTAAAGGCGGTCGTGGTCGATGTCACTCTTGCAGCTTGCGTAGCACTCGTGGTCGAGGTTGCACTTGTGGTGTGCACGGTCGTGGTAGAAGACGCGCTGATAGTCTTGCTGGTGTCGGACGTGGAAGTGCTGGTCGCGCTGGAGGACGATGTGGTCGTGCCTGTCTCGGTGGGGGTAGTCGCGCTTGAAGTCGATGTTGTTGTGCCTGTCTCGGTGCGAGTGGTCGCGGAGGTCCCTGTGGCGCTGCTGGTCGCCGAAAGCGTGGAGGCGGTGCTCGTGTGAACCGTGGTAGTGGAGGTGGCGGATGTGGTCTCCGTGGCGGAAGTTGTATGAACAGAAGTTGTTGTGCTGACCGTCGTGGAAGCAGAAGTGGCAGTCGACGTTGTGCCGCTGGTAAGCGAGAGCGTACTCGTCTCAGTGGTATTGGTCTGCGTCGTTGTGGTGGTGGTCGTGCTCGTCGACGTCGCCATTTCCAGGGTCGGCTCCGAGACCTCAACCAGAACATCCTCGACGTCGGCGCCCAACGCCATGGTGGCCTCGCCGCTGGCCACTTTCTCTTGGAACTTGGTAGCGATCTCCTGGAGCGCGGCCAACGACTCCACGTTCCATGAGACTCCAAGATCGACCTCGCTCGAACCATTCGTCGAATTTGTTTCATTCGTCGAATTGGTTTCATTTGTTGAATTGGAGGCATTGACCGCATCGACCGGCACGGCTTCCTCTTCTGCGATCTGAACCGTGAGGGACAAGCCTGAGGCTGCAGAGGTCCCGTTCTCGTCGGCGGTGTCGTTGGAAATGTTCGCAGCTACGAGGCGACGTAGCCGACGGGCTCTGACCTGCACCGAGACCACCTTGATCCGGGATGGGTCGATCTGGAGGAGCAACGCCAAATTGTCAATAAAGCTTGAACTGTCGAACTGCTGCGCGGGGATCGAGACAGTGAGGGAGAGCTGCACGACCTGAATCATCTTTAACATGATCCACCCGCCTCCCCGAGTCGCCTCCGTCCCGCTGTGTATGCCGCCGTGCATCACCAGATAGAAGCGGCGCGCGTGGGGGTCGAAGGCGTGCGAGCCGTGGGGGTCGGAGAGCACGGGCAGCCGAGCCTCGGCTCGCGAGGTGCTCTCGGCCGACTCCGCCTCGGACCCCGGCTCCGCCTCGGACTCCGGCTCCGCCTCGGACTCCGGCTCCGACTCGGACTCCGGCTCCGCCTCGGACTCTGGCTCCGCCTCGGCCTCCGGCTCCGCCTCGGACTCTGGCTCCGCCTCGGACTCCGGCTCCGACTCGGGCTCTGGCTCCGACTCGGGATCTGCCACCGGGGTCGCGGTGGAGCACGTCGCGCAGGCGATGCTGGTGTCGAACTCATCCCCGAGCAGCACGCCGTCCACGTACACCTGCAGCTGGAAGGGCTGGGTCAGGAAGATGTCCAGGCGTACCGAGGCCGGGATCTCGCTGAAGTAGAACAGCCGGTGGTGCTTTGGGGGCGAGGCGAACATTGTCAAGTTGTAGCGGTCGCTGGGCCGGAGCAGCCAGTACCGGTCCTGGTCGGGCGGGTCCGGGATGCAGCCGTCGTCGTACGGGCCAGATGACCACGTTGACCGCTCGTCCGACTCGCGCCAGGCCTTGAACCTGCTGAAGACCGCAGGGATATTGACGTCATAAGCTTCCCACCAGAGCACCCGCGGCTTGAGATCTGGACAAGCGAAGTGGCCAGGCCGTTCTTCGCAGGAGCTCGTCGCGAGGTCGGGGTTCAGGCTCGTCACCGCTGAGCCTTCGGCCCCGACGCCCAGCAGGCTCCCGTCCATGTCCAGCAAAGCCGCCTGCAGGACGCCGTCGCACGCTCCGTCGCACTGGACGCGATTCCACGAAGCAGCCCCGGACCAGTCGGCCAGGTCGATGCGGGCGTCGTCGGAAACCGTGCTCAGCCAGACGACATCGGAGAAGCGATTCGGGTGAAACATGTCGATCCCCGTGGGATTGTTCGTGAAAGCCACAGAGGGTGTGCCGCAGTCGTCGCTGCTGAAGTGCCCGAAGGTGGGCGACGTCCAGATCACCTCCGAATAGCGCGAGCCGTGGCTGCCGAGGCGGTGCTCCCAAGGCATCACGCACAACTTCTGCGGAGTGTTGGGTGGCCGGCACACGGGGACTTGGCCGCCAACCTCGCACAACTTCCCGATGCCGTTGACGACGTGCGAGAGGAAACCGACCCGCCTGAACACGGAACCCACCACGGAGTTGCACCCAAATCCCACCATGTCCGACCTACCGTAGGCGCGGCAGCCGATGGACGCATCGCACGTGGAAGCCGCCGTGGAGCCGAAGATGGTCACGTTGTGCATGTAGACACGGTGCTCGTTGTCGTCGCGAGCACGGTTGAAGTGCAGAGAAGTGCCGATGTGATTGTCGGACAGCAGAACGGAATCCATGCGGAAATTCATGGTTTGGTCCACCGTGAGTACGCCGATGTGACTATTCTTCCAGGCCACGGCCCCGCGCAGCGTGGCGCAGTTGCCAGCCCACCAGCCACGCAGGATGAAGAAGCCGGTCATGCAAGCCACGGCCTCATTCATCATATCCTCGTCCAGTGGGGCCAGCCCAGCGTCTCCCTCGACGCAGGCGTCCAAGGAGGGGCGGATCATGAAGCCTGTATCAGCGGATCCGGCGGCGATGTTACCGACGAGGCTCGCCACAGGCACCTCTATGAGGAAGGCAGCGAAGCCGGTGATCCAGACGGTGGCCTCGAGCGGGTGGCGGAGCGTCTCGATAGCCACGTTACCCTGCACCACGACACTGTCCCCGACAGCCGTACTCATGATCCACAGGGCCGTGCGGTACGTCCTGTGGAAGATGTTGCCGCTGAGCGTGAGCCGCTGCACGCCATCACCCACCACCGCGCCCGCCTGCGAGGAGCTGAAGAGGCAGCGCTCCACGCTGCTGCTGTTGCCGGCTCCGATGCTTCCGCCCTGGAACTTGAAGTACAGGGCGGGGTACTCGTGGAAGAACTTGCCCATCGACACGAAGTCTACGGCTCGCATATGCGCAGAGCCCACCCACGTGCCGTCCTGCGAGCCACCGATCATGACGTGACCCCCGTGGTAGTACGCGTCGCTGTCCCCCGTCATGAAGACGACGTTGGAACGGCCCGAGAGCAGCGCCACCGTGGCCTCCAGCCGCACCGTCGGCCAGTGGCCGGCGCCACCCTGCGGGATCTCGCCGCCGAAGTGCCGGATGCTGAGGGGCTGGCTCAGGCGGATCAGCGTGGAGTCCTGCAGGCACGGTCTACAGTCATTGTGCTACCACAAGGAGAGGCACAATGAGGAACGAAGAGGCTTTTCTGGCCACGGCGGGCCTAGGCCACAGACAGGCTCCACGACGCACATCGAAGGCACGGCCCGAGCACCCGAGCCCCTCCTGAACCCAAAGCGGTCCTTATTCCAGCGTCTTGACTGCACACCGCGAAGTGCATGGCAGGGTGCCATGATGTGCCCATCTTCCACCACCAACACTACCATAGGTAGGAGAGGTAGGAGAAGGAGGAGGAGGAGGAGGAGGAGGAGGAGGAGGAGGAGGAGGAGGAGGGGTAGGAGGAGGAGGGGTAGGAGGAGGAGAAGGAGGACGAGGAGGGGAGGAGGAGGAGGAGGAGGCGGAGGAGGAGGAGGAGGAGGAGGGAGGACGAGGAGGGGAGGAGGAGGAGGAGGAGGAGGAGGAGGAGAAGGAGGAGGAGGAGGAACTCCCCATCTTCCCTCCTCCCCCGTCCTATCCATGGCAGCGGTGGTGGATAATCGGCCCACCATGCCAGGGAGCTGGATCTGCACATGACCGGATCCGCATGCGGAGCATGCGGCGGCCACGCGCGCGCACGGGCACGCCTGCGGAGGCCACGCGCACACACGCGGCCACACAAGGGCGGAGCGCTGGAGAGACATGCAGCCACACACGTATCCAGCTCCCCTCTCAGGCCAGTCTCGCCATGGGCATCCAGCTTCCTGGTAGTTGAGGGGGAGGGGAAGGAGGAGGATGAGGAGGAGGAGGGGGAGGAGGGGAGGGGGAGGAAGACAAGCTATGTGCGCTCGCGTCATATCTGACGTCCTACCCCTCCCTCCCATCCCTTATCATGGCGCTGATTTTCTCTATCCGCGGAAGCGTGTCGTAGCGGACCTGTGGCTCCGCGTGCGCGTGCGTAGTGGGTGGTGGTGCGCGTGCGTGCGTGCGTGTGTGCGTGGTTGTGGTTGTGGTTGTGGTTGTGGTTGTGGTTGTGGTTGTGGTTGTGGTTGTGGTTGTGGTGGTGGTGGTGGTGGTGGTGGTGGTGGTGGTGGTGGTGTGTGTGTGTGTGCGTGTGTGCGCGCGTGTGCTGTGGTGTGACGTGGTGTGGCGTCTTGGTGGTTTGGTGGTGGGCCAGGTGCGCGCGTGCGTGATGGCGGTGGTGGTGGTGGCGGTGGTGGTGGTGTGGTGTGTGTGGTGTGTGTGTGTGTGTGTGTGTGTGTGTGTGTGCGTGTGCGTGCGTGCGTGCGTGCGTGCGTGCGTGCGTGCGTGCGTGCGTGCGTGCGTGCGTGCGTGCGTGTGTGTCTGTGTGCGCGCGCGTGTGATGTGGTGTGACGCGGTGTAGCGTGGTGGTGGTGGGTGGGGTAGTGGGGTGGTGTTGGCGGTGCGCGTGCGTGCGTGCGTGCGTGCGTTGGTGGGTGGAAGTGGCGGTGGGCGGGGCGGGGCGCGGTGCGGTGGTGGCGGGCGGATGGGCGCGCGAGAACGAGGCCCGCGCTGGGGGGAGAACGCCATCCTGAACGACGGAGGCAAAACACCGATCCGAAGATGAGACCCACGCTGCAGCGGGAGCACGATTCGGAACGAGCGGGGCCCGAAAACGAGGCCGGCGCCTCAGCGAGAGCAGCATTTTGAAAAAAAATGCAGGCGAAAACCCAACTCCCGGGAATCCTGTGTAAAAAAGCAGGACGCGGGGGGGGGGCGAGCACTCCCAGCACGTCATCAGGGGAAGAGGGAGAGTAGTATTCATATTGAGTAATTGTCGAGGAGGAGGAGGAGGAGGAGGAGGAGGAGGAGGAGAAGCACGCAACAGGCTAGCCTTATGAGCAGGAAACATGCCAAGGATGCGTGCGCGTTCGCTGTAGATCTGCCCTGAAGTCCGACGTGGGGTCGTAGACGGGCTGCCCCTCAATGTTGGCAACCTCCGTATCCGTGGTCGCCGGAGGCTGCGGGTACTCCGTAGCGGAGATACCGATCTCCGCGCCCGCTGGCCACTCGCTCAAGTTGCCTCTCAGCACAATTTCCTGCGCCCCGGCCTCAACGGTGACTTTCAGCTTGGCCCAGAGCGCGCAGCCGATGTCCGATCCGAACGCGGTGAGCGTGCCGAGGACCCCGACCACCTTGTTGACCATGAAGAGGCCCTCGACCATGATCACTGTCTGGTCCGTCTCCCCGCCGTGCAGCGCCACCGTGGCGCTCACGCCGGGAGGTATCGGGTCGTCCGCGGTGCCTGGGGAAACCAACACGTACCGGTACGGCTACTCCCCAGACCTCTCCCGGGGTGCGTTCTGACCAGCATTGCGAGGCGAATCCAGCGGTGGCGACGAGGGCCTCCCAGGAGGCCCGAAAACAAGGGCAAGCGGGCAACGGGTCGCGGTATGTGGGTACCTCTTTCTCCTCCGAGCTCCGATGTCAAGAGTGCCCCAGACCTTCGCTGAGTGGATGTTCAGCCTGCTGCTCACGTTGCGGGAGAACTCTAGCCGCCCCTCCACGACCAGCCACTGCAGCAGCGGCGTCTCGACGTCGAGCAGGACGTGCTCCGAGGCGTTGATCACGACCGTGTCGCCCGCCTCCGGCAGCCGACCAGAGGGCCACCTCGACGCGTCGGACCACGGCCTGATGGGTACGAGGACCACAGGCTCCTTGTCAGGGATCGGCCTACAGTCAACCCGCATCATTAGGACACACGATAAGGATGCAAGCGCCCTGGAATGCCATTTCGACGCTTTTCGAGCGGGGCGCGGCCAGCGAAAATGGCCAATGATCGGCGGACGGGGCAAGGATGCAAGGGCACCCTTGGGAAGGTTGCCCATCCTTACTATGCAGGCTGACAGTACAAAGTGTTTCTCGTGTTCGTTTTGTCGTTGGTGTCCCTCGCTTCGCCGTCGTTCCGCCCCTGCTGCAAAAAACGAAAGCGGCACGAGAGCGGCCGACGGAATCGCCCAAAGACGCAGGTTGGGTCGAGCCCCGCTCCTCGTGGAACGTGGGCGTCGGGCAGCCCTCGCTGGCGGTGCGCGAAAGGGGGGCGGGGCAAGAGGGGCGGGCCTTCTGCAGCAGGCGGGGGGGTGGACGGTTTCCCCCGGAGCCGTAGGCGACCCGAGGAGGAGGAGGAGGAGGAGGAGGAGGAGGAGGAGGAGGAGGAGGAGGAGGAGGAGGGAGGAGGAGGAGGAGGAGGACGAGGAGGAGGAAGAAGAGGAGGAGGAGGAGGAGGAGGAGGGGGAGGAGAGAGGAGGAGGACGGGTCGCCGAGGCCCTACGGAGAAACCCTCCAGGGGGGCGGAGGGGCTCCTGGAAGGGACGGGAGGCTCCCGAGGAAGGCCTCCTCGGCGGGCGGGCCCCCTCCCGAGGCTCCCCCCCCCTCCTCGCGCGCCTCCCGGGGGGCTGGAGCAGGGCGAGCCGAGGCCACGGCGAGCTCGGTCCCCGGGCCCCTCCCGAGGGGGGGGCCCAAGCGCGCAGCAGCAGCTGCCTCCCAGCGCCGTGGCGGCGAAGGGGCGCCCCCGAAGGCCAAGCGCGCGCAGCCGTGGCGCCGAAGGTGCGCCCCATAAGGCAAACTACCGATGTCGCGACTCGCCCTCTGCCGAGACCCCCGATACTGCGAACACACAATCCAACATCGCGAGAACCGTAGACCTAGACCCCATCTTGCTGCGGCAATTGTTCGAGATCGATCCGTGAGGGCTAGGACCATGGCAACATCGCCCGTTGGATCTCGGGGTCCTCTGACGAAATGCTCTCGTTGTGGCCTGAGAGGGGGGGGGGCCCGAAGGCCAACCGCCGCTGTCTCAAACTGGCCCTCCTTTGATCGGGCGTGAACTAGCCAGCCGCAGGGCAAACCCAGCTCAGCCAACTTAGAGCACATGTGCTGCAAGTCCCCAGGGGCCTCTCAAACCCCAGCCCAGCCAATGTGCACGGCCACCTCTGGGGCCGCGAGCGGCTCCCCAGCCCGGCCCAGCCAACCTCCAGCTTTGCCTCGCCGCCGCTCGGACGCGCCCCCTCCCTGCGCACAGTTCGGTGTCGTGCCCGCTTCTGTTGGCCCCAGGGTCGAGGATGCTCCTCGATGGCCCCCGCCGAACAAAAAAAACGCACACGTCCGAGCGATGCCGAGCCGCAGGATCCTGCAGGCTCCAGCGCTCGTGCTGCGACCCGTTTGCGCGGCACCCTGGCGGCGTGCGCCCAAGGATAGCCCCAGAGTCGAATCGAGAAGTCGGATCGGCGATCGACATGAGCCAGATCGGCAGAATTCGGCAGCCGAGTCGGGAGAAGCCGAATCGGCAGAAATCGGCAGGCTAGTAGACCTCCATGGAGGAATCCGCATCCAAGTCTGCATCCGAAGCCGCGTCGAAACGAGCCTGCGCCCTGCTCCGAGAGGAGGCCCGCCGCCCCTGGCGCCCGCTACCCCGCCGCGCGCCACCCGCCTCGTCGGGGCACTCCCGCGCCCAGAACGTCTGCGAGACCGGCGACGGCGAGGCGACGTGCGCGGAGAGGGCCGCGGTAAGGCGGCCGCCCACCTAAGCGGAAATG